TACTGGAATGGTAGTCGAGGACAGCCCAAATGATGGGATAACATGAAACACTGCCTCTCAAATCTGGTTATGTACAGTAGTCACTGGTCTTTGTGTTTTATTTTCTGGTAGAAAAAGTTTTTGTTTCTTTTTTTAAGTTTGGGTAACCACATATTTTCCTTTCTGATGCACAGTTAACTAGAAGCCTAGCACACAGCTTCTCGCCCCATCTTGAAACCTCAGTGGCTTGATTGTTTCACAGTAGCTGAGGGTCTTCCTGTCCTGGTCTGAGTGAACGACAACTGAATAGCCACCAGCGTGCAGGGGAGGATGCTCTGAGTCATTTCATCAGCAAGAATGGCCCACCCAGGTTCCCACCTCCTTGGTGATTGGCCTTAAAGCCTCTTATGCCACTGGATGCCCTTAGAGTAACAAGTAGAAATTTCTAGTTGGAGATTTCCTGTTCTTCTAGCTATTCCATCTATCTTTATCTTTACCACCTTAGCAATTCTCATGGTGCCAGATAAATATTTATTTGTGCGAAAAGTCTAAGTCAATGGGCTTTAAAAAAAATACCAAGAAAGAGAAGGAAATCTAGACAGCTATTCCAAATCAGGACATCTTTGATATCTTGATTAAATGCATTGCATTTTGTAACAGAGAGAAAAATACCACTATCAAGTTAGTGGAAAACATTTGAAAATGGTTATAGATTAGATCATAATACTGTACCAATGTTAAATTACTTGATTTTGGTTCTCATGACATAGTTATAAAAGAAATGATTATTTTCTTTGGAAATGTTTAGACATGAGGATATAGTGTCTTCAGTTTATTTTCAGATGACTAGGCAATGAGACAGAAGCAAAGGGGAAGAATTCGATGAATTCAGCACAGTACAAGTAATAATTGTGGGTCAAAGTTATGTGGCAGTTCCTTGTATTTCTTCTTCTTCAAATATTTGACCTGTTTAGATGTAAACATTATAGGAACATAATCCTTAAAGTTGATGCACGCTCCTGGGTAGTACAAACAGAGCTCTGTCAAGTTCTTCACTGTGCTCTCAGATCACATGTAACTGGCATGGTGTATCCAATTTCTGAGGGAAAGATGCAGACTAATCTATAAAATTCCCTAATGGGTCCTGGCATGATTCAAAGGAATGGAAAGAATAAATCCTCAGAACCATGATGGAAGTGGCAGCTCATCCCCAAACATAAGGGACTTTCACTTGTGCACGGGGAGAGGATGGCATTTGGTATCCTAGGTCATCGCTCAGAAGAACACTTTCTTCCTCTTCCAGCTCATCTCTGTCTCCACCACAGGCCAAGCCCTGCAATCAAAAACACTTGTTAGTCGCCATCCCACCCTGTTACAGGAAACAACAATGGGACAGCATTTCCAAGGGTACCTTTGCTTCTAAGTGCACACTGAAGCACAGAAAACACAATCAATTTTCTTCTTACAAATGCAACCATAGGTTCTAGAGCAATCCATCTGTGTTACTCCTGTTGAGGTTAATAGTGCACATTCTCTGCTTCTAGAAGGCAACTTCATCCTTGCCAAATTCCTGGAGAACAGAGAACATAAGAGCCAGCTATTTCAATCTGTCTTATTTTTCAGCAACATAATTCATGAGTTTTAAATTTTATTTTCTAATGTCCTGATATATGGAAATGTTTCTCATAACTCCATCGTTGAATGGTGTTTATTAACACCATTAAATGGCATTTGTGATAAACCAAATTACTTTTTTATTTCTTTTCAGTAACAATGAGATATTTAAAGAGGACTCAACATTTGTAACTTAGATAACTACGTCTTGTGTACATATTGGGAAAATGTCAAAGATGGGATTATATGGCTGATGTTTTTGTTTGTTTCATTTATTTGTCTTCCCTCCCCATAACTAATAGTTGAACTAAATTAGGGCAAACACACTGAAGACTACCAAGGCACGAATTCATTTTTAAAAAAGCAAGTAGAATAAATATCAGAACCACTTTGTTGTTGAACATAATTAAAATACTAGGTAAATAAGATGCTGAGCCTTCGTGAATATATGCTCAACTGGCTAGAAGCAAGCTCACATCAGGTGGAAGGTTTAGTACTCATGTGAGGGGCAACACAAGGATAATTAAAGCACTAAAGACAGATTTTTCCACTAAGGAATGGGCTGGATTGAGTGATGAATTCTGTCCTAAATAGAGGTTGTAAATGCAAGATAAATCACGTAGGGCTGATGCTCAAAAATGAAAAAGCCTCAATATAAACCACTCTAGAACTACCTGACTCTTTAATTCAATCCAAAGAGAAAAAGCATAATCTCATTTAAATTCAAAAGCAAACAAAATCAAGTACATAGCTTGCATTTCCTATATTGCTGAAGAGTAGTCAAATCTGCTACAGAAAAAAAAAAAAAAAGAAGACAAGCAGGAAGCAATTTAAACAAACTATCTTCAAAAACAGGCAGAATGTGTAAGATGTGTTAGGAATGTTTAGGCAAATTAGTATCTATGAGAGGTGGGGACATTTCCACAGCAAGCAGATCATGTATGTGGTGAGCTTCAAACCCCCATCCTTCCCAAGAAAGAATAAAGGCCCAACCAGAGTAAAAATGCAAACAAACTTTCACAAAGCATGTACATATTCAATGTCTAGGGCTTAGAATTCATCCATTGGTGCTGCCCATTCTAACCTTTGCTCACACTAGGCTCATCAGCTTGATCTCATAGCTGCACCTGTAACCAGGCTAAAATACACCTATGTGCCCCTGATAATGTGTGTGTTGGCCACAAGAACCTTCTTCTCTTGGGCTTTCTTACTCAGACCTTCTCCCAGCCCTGAAAATCACACTTGTACAGTCAGGGTTATGCAACAGAGGGAGTCACCCAAGATACAGGTGATCTTTCACCCTCATGTTCTTTATCCTAACTGGCAACCTATCATTATGCAGTAGGCTATGGGTCCTAAGATGACATAAATGATTGTGGAATGAGCACCTTAATTTGGACTGTGAGATTTTCTGTGCTGTGTTCTCTAGCACAGTCAGTATGCCTGGGAGTACATTGGAAGATAAAATAACAGTAACGAAATTTTGAAGATTAGAATTCTCAGAAGATAACTATTAATGAATTTTTACAACCTTGTAAGAAATGAAAGATGGCTTGAAAACAGTAGCAACTAACAAAGATATCTGAAAATGTAAAAACACTAATACAGTGTTTACACACACATTGCTTTTTTACTGTCAATGAACTTTTTGAAGCGCATGTATGTGTGTATGATTACGTTTATGTGCACATTGCCTATACCAATACCCACTAATAATATACAAATATAATGATGCTACCATATATATAAATATACTAACAAGACAAATCACATGGATGAGTTTCAAATCAATTTGGGGATAGTTGGGCTCCTCATTTGTGGATGATGGAGGACTAATTATGCACATTTTAGGATGTTATGATCACTGAGGATGATTGTTTTATTTATGTATCTTATAAAACATGTTACATGTACTTAGAACACTTTTAATAATAAGAATTCTGCATGGTGTCCCTCTTTTAATTTATAAAATATTTACTCTGGTTCTTATTCTACTAATAATCTCTACTTATAATAATTTAAATTGTGTAAAATGAGAAATGACTCTTTTCAAATACAATCTGGACAATTCAACAAATTCCGGAAACTTACATTCCAGGTGATGTGCCAGTATCAACCCATTTCCATTTACTTTCTTTTTCATCATATGACAGTCCAATCCAGTGTCTATTTTGACCAATCTGAACCTGAATGAATTCCTTTCAAGGAAACAAAATATATCACAGAAATGAGTTTCCATGTAGAACATCAAAGTGGTATGTTTTATAAGTGACTTCATTTATTTTTCAACATTATTTACTTTACTTCGAAGTCAGACTTGCAGATATATAGAGAGATCTTACATCCATTGAGGCACTTCCCAAACGGTGCAAGTGCCAGAGTTGAGCCCAAATGAAGCCAGGAGCTGGGAGTATTTTCTGTCTTCCGTGTGGTAAGAGTCCCAAGAACCATTCTCCGTTGCTTTCTCAGATCATAATCAGGGAGTTAAATCTGAAGTGAAGTAGCCGGGACACAAACCAGTGCTTTTGTGGAACACTGGCACTGCAGGCAGAGGATTAGCCTGCTATGCCCTCATGTCACACCACCAGTGAGTACCATTTCAACGTAGGTTTAAATTTATGGTTTAGGGTCTGGTGGTGTGGCCTAGCAGCCAAAGTCCTTGCCCTGAATGCACTGGGATCCATATGGGCACTGGTTCTAATCTTGGCAGCTTTGCTTTGCATCCAGCTCCCTGCTTGCGACTGGGAAAGCAGTCAGGACAAACAAAGCCTTGGGACCTGCACCCATGTATCTCTGACATTGCAATAAAAGTAAATAATTTTTTAAAAGAAATGCTTCAAACACAAAACTTTTACATGGCATTATATTATGAGCTCTTGTATTATTGATTTTAAACATGTGTTGTATTTGCACATAATTTTCAATGATATTTTCTTAAGTGGTAAACAGAGGTTTCAGGCTAACTTTGTGCAAACATTTCACTATAAAGGCACATTGTGCATTGAGATAATTTTTTATACTAATAAATCAAAAAGACAATATCATTTTGTTGCCACTATTTTTTTTCATGATTCTTTTATAAGATATGCACTTTGGTAGTGTAATGTTATTTATTGATCAGCTAAATGTGACATAAAGATTCACTAAAATCAATGCAAGGCTAATCTGCATAAATGAAAGCACTTTCATGGTGCTCATTATCATCTCCATTTGGTAGATATACTCAGAGAGGTTAACTAATACACTGAAGGTCACCCAGCAGCAACTGGCAAAGCTTCCCGGGATTTGATCCCAGGAAGTCTGAGTGCTGGGTTCCTGTTAGTAACAGCTACACTATGCTGCATCCCTGTTACTTACCACCCTACAGGGATAACTAACTGTGGCTCCAGGGTAGAGTACAGCAAAGGTTAAGCTAAGTGCTTCATCAAAGCAAAGACATTCTTTGTTGTAAGAGGCACTACTGCACGCTCCTGAAAAAGGGAGGGACATTACTTACTCCTCATAATTAATAAAATGATCTTTATAACAATTAGGTGCATTGGACACTTAATGTGTAGCAGGATCATATGCTTGTTAGCAGACAGAGTGTGCTGGGAGATGCCTAACCATGAGATCTTTGCCCAGACAACAGTCATGCAGAAAGAATGCTTAAGATCCCTCTTTCTGGAACAACCCCCTCTTTTCTCAGTATCACAGGTTGTAAAGTGAGACAGCTGATGACATTGAGAATAAAAGCAAGAGTCCATGATACCTTTTCCTGCTCATTGTCTATCTTCAAAAGCGAGGAGCTGTAATCCTGGCAAGTTCGTTTACATTCCTGCCAGTTTTTCTTTTCCTGAACAAAATAGTAGCAGTTGACATGGAAACAGGACCAGTGGTCCTCACAGTGTAGTCCTCCTGCAACATATAAGAGAACAAAACAGTAGTTCCCCAGGGCTGGTGGAAGGAGAATTTATTGGTCTTGTGGGCATCAAGTTCCTGTCAGGCAAGATGAACACACCCTGTGCTCCACTGTGCAGCTCAGTGCCCACAGTTAAAGATGCTGTATGCATACTTCATATAGGTGTGTGCACTTTCAATTGTAATATTTCACATTGAGTGTTCTTACCATAAGTAAGCAAGCAAACAAACATAAGGAAATTTTGGGAGGATGTATGTGTCCATTGCATTGAGTCATAGCTTTTGAAATCCTTGCAGCATTTTTAATAACGTGTGCAACACTCTAATTATCTAAATTCTAGGGGTGCTGGCATCTTGTTTCACCCTATGGAATCTTAGAGAGGTAAAAAACTGCCATTGAGTTTGGGGAACAGTACAACTGTATTTACGCAAACATTTTTCCAGGGATTCCACATCCTAAAAAAACAAATTACAAGTTGTCCAGTAGACTCATACATCACTATATAGAAGCTTATTTATTAGACCTCACGTCCTTTAGTGAGAGGACAAATGAGGGAAACACTACTATACGTCATTCCAGTTTTCTTCCATACCTGGATTTTGTAGGGATTTTGAAGGAACAGATCCTTTTGCACAGCATCCTTCCTTTTTTAAAGATGATGCCAGCTTATTTTTCTGCAGAAATCTTTCATTTCTGAGAGTGTTGTATTCTAAGGTTTTATTGGCCAAAAGTTGCTCCTTGATGTTGCACTTTTGATTGAGATTTCCTAGAATTTCCTGATGTTCATGCTTTTCTTGAATATGGTGAAAATCTAAAACAAGCAGCATAGAAATCACTTTTAAAAATAATAAAAATAAATCTTTAAAAAAAAATACTCCTAAGGATCTTAGAGCAAAATTAAAGACAAGAGAAAAAGCAGTATTTTGGCAACCAACTCTTATCATTTCAGCTTTTTTGACATTTAAAAAGTAACCCCTCAGGGAACTGGCCACAGAAATGGAAACATCAAGTTTTTCACTACCAGCAACTTAAGGGTAGATAAATAAAATACCTGAATAAAACTATCAGTGTTAATATTATACTTTATAGTTTTTAGTTAATTTTTCATAGCACATCATGTACAAATAAATACCACCTGAAAATTCAGTTAATTCACATTTAACAATACACCTTTGAAAACAGAACCTAAGCTGGGGCCAGAGTGGTAGGCTAGTAGCTAAATCATCGCCTTGGATGTGCTGGGATCCTATAAGGGCTATGATTGGTGTTCCAGCTACTCTGCTTTCTGTCCCTCTTCCCTGCTTGTGGCTTGGAAAACCGATTAGTGGATAGCCTAAAACCTTGAGTCCTGGCATTCATGTGGGAGATCCAGTTGAGGTCCCTGGCTCCTAGCTTCACCTGGGGAGTGAACCAGCAGACAGAAACTGTTTCACTGTCTCTCCTTCTCTCTGTATATATTGCCTTTCTAATAAAAACAAACAAAAAACTAGGATACTAGGCAAATATTTGCCCTCATTGTCAGAATGTCCTTGATCTAACTTAAAGTACCCAGATTCAGTAGCATGCCCCAGCACTGGACCCTGACTCCAGCATCCTGGGAGGTAGCCTTTAGGCCAAGAATCTGAGTTTCTGCCAGCTACCTGGGGACCTGGAGCGGGTTCCTTTTGGATCCCAGCTGAAGCTGCAGGCTCTTGGTGAGTCCAAAGGTGAACGCCAGATGGGTTCTCTATCACTCAAATTAGAAACAAAGTTTAATCTGGACTATATATATATATATAGCACAATTATCATGAAGTAAATAAAATATCTAATAAAATGTGATTTTACCCAATTGTAGTATATCCATTGTTTCCTTTAAATATGTAAAGAAATGCAAGTACAAGATAAAACTTAAATTCACGGTCATTTTTGTGTATGTTTTAGTTATTCTTACTAAGGTATTACTTTATTATATGCTAAAAATTAAACAAATACACAAAAGCAAGGCCAAGGACTGTTTCTCTCAGACTTCAATGATGTAAATTCAGATAACAGAGTATTACAAAATTCTCTGTCAAAAGGAGTATTATCATGCATTATGTAAAATGAGACAGTGCATCCCAGCTTCAATTGGTCAGATTAGATAAGCAAAAACCAAAATCACAGTGTGATATGACCTTGACAAAAATCATCAACAAAAATGAGAACCATCTGGTAAGTTCCCAGATGTTTCAAGAGCTAACATTGTTGAAATCTACACAATGAGTGGTTCCTGAAACTCCTAAGACAACAAAAAAGAATCTACTATGTTACTTACTCTTTATCACCAAACCTACGACTGCAAATAAGAGAAGAAAACAGAGGATTCCAAGAGTCACCACAATGAGATGCCAGGGCACTGAAAACTCTTTAAAGAAAAAAAAGTTAATTAAAATAATGAAACAGCCACAAACAGGGACACAGTTTGAAGCAAAGGGATGATTTTTTTTAAAACATTTTACAAGCACATAATATACAAAAAATTATTTAGATGTTTAACTTGGAAATAACAGTTTTAAAGTTTAAGAATTCTGAATGATACACAGTCATGGTGCAAGCACAGGTCTCCAGGGATTCTAAAGCTCAGCCCTCAGACAGCACCAACGCCAGTCGGGGTGAACATAAAAGCATGTTCTAAGAGACACAGGCACTGCTTACCCTAGTCACATCTAGTCACAAAGCAGCACAAACAAGCAAGATTCTAGAGACAGTGGACACCAATAATGAATATTCTGAGATGTGAAAGTGATGGATCCCATCCTCACAGCAGTTTCTAAAATTCAGTTTTCCTTTTTTTTTTTAATCATCAGTCCTTTTTTCTCCAAAGAACAATGTATCACACTGTTGCCTTTGAAGTTCTTATAATCCAAAAAAAAAAAACACCTCACTGATGATCATGAAACTAAAATAATAATTCTTGTGATAATATTTCAAGTAGGGAGAGAAGAGAAAAATTAAAATGTCCACTTGATATAAACATTTTTGCATCTTCATGGGTTTTGAGGCCAGACATATATTCTTTCTTAATCACCAGAGTTGGAGCGATGCCCCATAACCCCACCAGGCCTGCCCACTACCCTGGTTCCCATGCAGGCCACTATGTACTGCAGACTTGTTCAGTCTGTCCCACATCTCATTCAGCTCTCATACATGTCAATGGACAATGAAGCCTTGTTCAACCCAATCAACCCTAATATCCAGCCAACACATACTAGACATATATTCATAAGCACCTAAAATGTTTACTCTCTGAATAATAACATTGTCTTCAAAACACCATTTTCACTTCTTATTTCAATAAGATGTTTATTTATTTCAATAAGGATTGCTGTGTTTTTGAGACACTATTCTGTGCTTTATTTTAAAAGAGTTACAATTTATTTGCATCAGATCTCAATAGTGTAGAGTTCTTCAAATTCAAAGAATTCACTCATTTTCTCCATTCTCTCAACATTTTGGAAAAACGTTTTCAGCTCAGCTACCCTGGTGGGTAATACTTTGTCATAAGCACTCAACAAGCAGAAGTACGTATAAGAACTGTTTTTAAACCTCAAGCTTGGAAACTCATAAAAGGCAGGTGACTTTAGATGCTTCAAATGTACACCTTTGGTGTTGGCGTGATGGCACATTAGGCTGCTACTTGCAATACCCACATCCCACATTGTAGAACTGATTTGAATCCACACTGCTCTACTTCTTATCCAGCTCCCTGATAATGCATCTGAGGAGGCTGCAGAAGACCCAAGGTCTTGAGTGTCTGCCTCCCCCCTGGAGGACCCAGATGGAGTCCTAAGTTCCTGGCTTCCTCCAGGCCCAGCACTGGCTGTTGCGGCCATTGGAGAGTGGTCCACAGATGACAGGTCTCTTTCTCTCTATCATTCTCACTCTCTTTCTGTCACTCTGCCTTTCAAATGAATCAGCAAATCTTTACAAAAATACACACACAAACCCTTCTCACCAGTTCCAGACCTTGGAGTGCCATCAGGGTTTGATCTTCTCTGAGAGTCTGAAGGAGACCGAAGAAATCTCAGAACTTCATAAGGTTCCTCCCTATGGCTCATCTTTAGAAGAGACAAATATGATTCACACCAAAGCAGAACTTGGAAAATATGTTTATATATATATAATTGATAGCCCCTGAAACCTCAGAAATATCTTTAAATGCTCAAACAGAAAATCTGACAATCTGAAAAAGAATCATGTTTTTAAAAACACCTGCCATGATACACCTATCACTCTTTATAAAAGCTCTTACAATCTTTTCAAGCCCACATGTCCCAGAGTACTCCCCATGGTATGTCTCATATCTTATCTGTAAATGATTCTGAGGGTGACTATCACATATTGATAAACACTTCAGAATCTAATGTCCAGGGTAAGATAAGCTGAATGCAAATCTCTTAGGTTCCCATAACTGAAGTTGCCATGGAAACCTTTGTGAAAATAAAATGTCAATATATGGTCATTAATGAATGTCCACTAAGACTCATTCTAGCAATAAATACCAAATATGAAAGAAGTTATTAAAAAGTAAAATTGAAACTTCACTTTGCTTTATGTTAATCAATGAGAAAAAACTACATTCATCAAGCAGGAAATAGTGAACACTAATTATACATGTGAATGTTTACTTCTATATGCTAATGTGCAAATTTTTCTGTTTAGGTTATTCACATTTTCTTGAATGTTTCACTGAATATTAGGCTTTTCTAACACAAAATCTTTCATTATGAATGGTTAATACATAGATCATACAGCCAAGTAAAAAAAAAGTAGCATCTCACATCTCATTTCTTCATGTGGATAACACAAATTAGGCTCACAGCCTATGGAGGAGACAAGTTGTCATGAACACTGAACTACAATCTTTACATCCTTCAGATTTCATACCATTAGAATGCAATGCAGAGAGAATTTTGTCCTTTCAATTTCCTTCTCGTGCCACGTTACTTGGAATTAAGCACTATATTCCTAGAAGAAGTAGAATTAATAGGATAATCATATTGAAAGATGCAAGGGAATCAAAGCAGGTGTTACCTGGATCTATGCCGTGTAATGAAGCAGGTGGAAGCACTGGACCCCAATAGAACAAGACGCAGGCCACTGCAGTCCCACAGCTCTTGCAGGGCTCTAGGAGGAGAAGTGAGGTGTCTGAAGGATGAAACTCCAACTCAAACGTCCTGCCCCTCTTGTTGAAACAGTGGTGAGAGGAAACCATATGCTGAAAGCTGTTGTTTACAGGAAAGGGAGGATGGTCATGAGCTGCATCTGCCTCCATTTCAATAACCAATCACTTCGTCCTGCTTGCAAAGCAGCATCGAAAATCAGAATTTGCGGACTGAAGAGAGAGCAATTATGGTTCACAAAAACAAGATGAATATCTTTTAACACAAGAGTAACATATGTAAAAGAAGCCACTATTTAAGTGAGTGAGAGAACTGTCTGTGTGAATACACACATATCCAAGAATGAATACGACTCATTTCTTCAGTTCCAAATTTAGATAATTTCCTCTCTGTTAGAAATGTTCTATTACATTTACATTTTTTAGAAAAGTATATATATATATATATATATATATATATGCAAACGCATTTTTAAAGTTATTTTAAAACATTCCTCATTCCACTAAAATATTTTTGGCTCTATTCTAGTTATTTGTTTATCCATTATGCTTATCACAAAAGTTGGTCTCATTACGCAGGGCATCGAGTTTATCCTTTTTTTCAATATGTATTAAACATTTCCCTTAAAAATTTCAAACCTCAATAATTTATTTATATGTATCTGAAAGGCAGAGCAAGAGATCAACAAAGAGGCAGAGCAAAGAGAGCTCTTTAATTGGCGGATTTACTTTCAAAATACAAACAAGAAAGTAGAGGTGGTTTAATAACTTACACACCAGTGCTTTGTTCTAAAACATGATTTTTTTAAAAGTTTTTTAGGTGGAGCTGCGGGGGAGGTGGCAGGCAGATTCACAGAGTGAAGGAGAGAAAGAGAAAGATCTTCCTCTTCTGGCACACTCCACAAGTGCCACCAGCGTTGGAGCAAAGCCAATCAGAAGCTAGGAGCACAGAGTCGTAATTTTTAAAACAAAATATAATTATTACTCACTTGGGACATGCATTCTTTATTTAAACACTCCCCAGCTACACATAGTTAAGTTTCTCAAAACAATCTGTACTAGTATAACGAATAATGAGCTTGTGATTTTAACAGTTTTCTTAGAAAATAACTTAAAGATAAAACAATGGGATCAAAGTGCATATCCATTCAAACAAGTGTGAGATGCATTACTAAGCTCCCTCGAGAAGAGTTGTTCCCATTTATTTTCCACCAGTTGTATACAAAAATACTCATATTTTTAAATATATATTTATTTAAAAGTCATAACAATTGAGGGAACATTGAGAGAGAATGATCTTGCATTCACTGGTTCACTCAACAGATGACTAGAGCAGCCAGAGCTGAGTCAGACACCAGGGACTCTATCCAGGTCTTCCAGGTGGGTAGCAGAAGGAGGCCCAGTACTTGGGCCACCATCTGAAGTCATTTCAGGCATATTAGCAGAGGGAAAGAGGCTGCCACAATGTCACCTAAACAGTCCCACAGTCACAATTCCTTACATCTGAAATTTGAAATGAAATTATTCCTACACTGCATTTTGGACCACAAACACTACTTCAAAAATATGCATCAACACCCCTCAAGGTTCACATTCTCACATACTTTAAAGTTTAAAAAGAAACTCCTTTGCATCATTTGGGTGCCAACAGTCAGACCCTACAAGAACATACTCAAATCTCACATTGAAATTCACTTTCCTTCCACTGAGGCCTTTGCATCATCGACTCCAGCTCTATGAAACCATTCAAGGAACCTTGGTTAAGCAACCCCTTGGGATGAACACAGCAGAGTTCTCGGTTCTCAGCTCAGCTCTCTTTCTGATTCCAGCTGCCTGCTAAGTGGCACTCCAAAGGCAGCAGTAGTGTCCCAATAGCTAGTGCCTTACTATCCTGTGGGACAACCAGGTTAAGTCTGGGCTCCTGGCTTCAGCCTTGACCCAATCCAAGACATTGTAGGTCTTTACAAAGTGAATTTTAGGAAGTTTTTTATTTCAATGTTTGTACTTAATTAATCAGTTCATCTCTAGTCCTGCAAACACAGGCTATTATGGATAACAGATTTGGGGGATGGAAGTGTGATGGAGAACAAAGTGGAGATGTATTAGGCAGAAACATCCCCACTCTGAGACACACACTGAGTTAGATTATCTGTTCTAACACACGGAACTGGGAGTGCAGGTGTTTGTAAGAGTGGGTGGGGATAGCACATCAACTCAGTGTGACAGATGGGGAACTACTCTAGGCTAGTGATATTCTCCAGAGAAACTATTTTACAGCCTCGAATCTGTATTGATTGCTGTCCCATGGATATAGTGGAGGACATATTGAGGCTACTTTTCTGCTGTGATTCTTGCATGTACAGCTGCTGACAGGTTGGACAGTTCTTAGGATGGAAGCTGGGAATGCAGAGTACATCATTTTATACTTGCTATGTAACCTGTACCATAACAATGTAATTATCCATCAGGTTGAGTCCCACATCTGCCTTGCTCATTGCTGTCTGCACTACAAAGCAGGTATGATGCCTACAAGGACACTTGCTAAACAAAGTAGATAATGTTAAGAGGAACTGATCATAAAAAATCTAAGTTCTTGGTAGTTTTAGAAAGAGGCAGAAGGAGACTAATGGATAAAAAGCCAAATTGTGTAATTAGTTTTTACTGCCTTCTGATCTCTATCTTCTGTTTGTGACAATGGTCTGTATATCTAGGAAAGGAAGTCCATCTTTAAAGGAGAAGGCACTAGATTACATTAATTTAATATTTTATTAGTGGTGAGGTGGGCATTGTGAAGCAGGTAAACCTGCTGCCTGTGATGTTGGTATCCTATATGGGCACTGACCTGTTGCTCTACTTCTGATCCAGCTCCCTATTGATGCACGTGGGAAAGCAGCAGAAGACAACTCAAGCGCTTGTGGCCCCTGACCCCCTGAAGGTAAACATGGAGAAAGCTCTTGGCTTCTGGCTTTGACTAAGTTCAGTCCTGACTATTGTAGTCATTTAGAGGAGTAAACTGATACAAGATCTCATTCTCTGTCTTTCCCATGCTGCTGTCTCTCTTCCTCTCTCTCTCTCTCTCTCTCTCTCTCTCTCTTCCTCTCTCTCTTTCATTCTGTAAATCATTCTTAAAAAGTAAGTCTTTTAAGAAAAGTATTAGTTGCAACGTTTAACACAGTCCTTTGATTCACAAACTTGCAATCAATACTTGATCAAAATCACAGTAATAAAACAGAAAGATGAAAGTTGAATCATGTGTTTAATGTTCTTGTATTTTCTTTTCACAAATGTGGAGACAGTGTAGTCACTTGCTTTCTGGCTGCAATAACCTTTTTCTTCCCTTCTCTTCCTCCTTCTTTTACTTTATCTTCTTCATGTTTTTCTTCTTCCTCTCCTCGTCCTACTCTTGGTCATCCTCTTCCTCCTTCTTCTTTTCTTTTTCATTTGGTTAACCACACATTTTCTTTCTGATGACACAGTTAGCTAGAAGCATAGCACACAGATTCTCACCCCACCTTGAAACCACAGTGACTTTATCATTTCACAGTAGCTGTGGACTTCCTGTCCTGGGCTGAGTGAAGGACAGCCGGAATGGCCACCAGAACGCTCTGATTCACTTCACTAGAAAGAATGAATTATCCAATGTCATGCCTTCTTGGCTATTTACTATCTTACTTACCACTAAATGACTTTAAATTTCCTGAGTTTTATGATAATAAATAGAAACGTCCAATTTAAGATTTTCTGTTCTTCTAGCCAGTCTGTTTATGCTTATCTTCAGAATCAAAGACAATTTATGGCCTAGTTTTATTACTTATTTGAAAGACAGATGGAATCATGTAGCCCAGTAGGTTTATCCACCACATCACATGCAGGTTCATGTTTCAAGTTTTTTTTCTTTCATGAGATGTGACAAGAAAACCAGACTAAGGTCCCACGCACTGGTGCCTTAACACCCAGAGTGTCCACAACACCCCAAATGCCCACAATATTCAGATTTAGCCCAAGCTGAAGCTGGCAGCAGGAAGCTCAGTGTAGGTCTCTCAAATGTGCAACAGCAACCAAGCTAGTGATAACACTTCCTGTCTCTCAAGGTCCTCAATGCAGGGAGCCTGAACCAAAAGTGGAGCCAGCATGCAAAACCAGATACTCTGATGTGTTGACAAAAAATATGACTTTCCCTCCCACCACCACCACTCTTAAGGAGGATTTTGAATGCTTCAGTCCATTTGAAGTATACATTTGTCAAAGTCACCAACTCACACCACTGCTTCTCTAAGAGTGATCCTGCAGCACTAGCGTTGATGCCATCTGTCATCTCCTTATTCTGAAGTGATTGTCCATGTTGGGGGCCCAGCCCAGACTTCCATGTGGTAACACACATAGGGCTGCTATGAACAATGTTCCATAAATGCCATGATTTATAGCAGCAGAATTTATGATATCGCTGCTCTGAACTCAGAAGTCCCAAATCAAGGTGTTAATAGAACTGTCTCTTCCTTGGCTCCCAGAGAAGGAATCTGGTCTGTGTCCTTCTCTAGCCTCAAATGGCTGCCAGCAATTCTGGGTGCTTCTTGCCTTGTTGATCTAAATGGCAGCTTGTCCCTCTGCCATCACCTCACTCTCCCTCTGAGTCTCTTTGTGTCTTTGCCTCGATGTTTTAAGGATGAACTTTATTGTATTACTTGGTACTCACAATTCCCAGCACAGTCTCAAATCCCCGACCTAAATTGTATACAAGTTAAGGGCATCCATTCCAAGATATTATAATTATTTAATTATTTAATTATCTATAATTATGTATTTAATTATAATAAATACATATATTATTCTGAACACGAAGGGGAAAAAAAGCTATATAGGACAGAAAAATAGCATGTATCAGGTAAATGCACAAAAATTTGAACATGGTTTATGTATTACATCATAATGCTGTATCAATGCTAATTTTTCTGATTTTGATAATTGTATTTTGGTTATACAGGAAAAAACATTTTCTTGGAAAATATCTACACAAAGGAATATCATGTCTTCAATTTATTATAAGTTGGATCACCAAACACGGACATGAGAAAGAGAATAGAGCAGGTAGGGCAAAATAAAAACAATTGGCAACCGCGGGTAAAAGTTGTGCAGGAATTCCCTGCACTACTCTTTTCAGTGTTCAATAAATTTAAATTTAACTTTCATTGTTAAAGATGAAGAATACTTGTAATAGTAAAAAGGTAACCACATTCTAATTCTTATTTGTGTTGTCAAGGTCAGAAGATGCAGCATGTTGAACCCATTGAAGTGGGAAAGATCCAGGCTTTATACCAGCATTGTCCAATTGGTTTCATGGATGACTCAGAGAAACAAAACAAACAAACAAAAAGAATAATTCCTTGAGGCTGTGAAGAAACGGGCAATTCCTTTCCCAAAGTTAAGTTTTGCATCTGTCCTCAGGAAGAAGATGGTGTTTCTTGCTTTTATAGTTCATTCTGTTTCCACATTGGGCTAAGGAATGCATTTAAAAAAACATGTATTAGTAACAAACACAAATTAATACAGGAAACAAGAATATTTCAGCCTTCTAGTTTTACCTTCTAAGTACACCTTGAAGTGGGGAGAATACAATCAATGCTCTTTTCACAGATGCAACTGTAATTTTTAGAACAATGAATAGCGTCTACTCTCATTGAGGATAAAAATGCACATTGTTCTCTCCCAGGGAAATACATTAATGAAAAATTCCTACAGAACAGAAAATATAAAAGTCAATCCCTTAATTCTGAATTCTCCAAACACATCATTTGTGAATTTTAAAAACTGTGTTTCCTAAATTCCTGATACATAGAAACGTTAATCATAATTTCAATACCAAAAGATTTTATTCTGTGTTTAGCCCATTAAATACATTCATCCATAATCTCCCAGCTTATTCTACACTGGTATTGATGGTTAACAGAAAAAAAAATACTTTTCAATAATACTCTGAAATTATGGTATGTTAAATCTCTTTTCTTATTCCATAATTTCAATAAAAGTGAGAAATTTTCAATGAGGAAAAACTGAATTACTGAGCACATATAGTGTAAGGAACAACAATATAGTTCAGAGATTAGAATGATTAATCCTTTCACTGTTTTTATTTCTTTGCCTTCTCCATCTCCTAGACAGACTAATTACACAAAGGAGTTACAATTGAATTTGGGGGCATGCATAGAAACCACATTTAAGGGTGAGAGGGGAATAACTTGCTATGTCAGATGGCACAGTCACTTCATCTCTCAGACTCACGATTGCATTTCAGTTTGTATCTCATAACACATCCTGAATGTATTTAGTATACCTTTATCATTAATAACTCCGTATGACACTTCTCCTTTGTCTTTGCTTCCCAAAATGCTTTCTTACTCTTATGCTTACCAATGAGGACTACTCAAAGTTAAGTTAAACTGTGTGATGTGAAAGATGATTCTTTCTAGACATAATCCTTCCAACTCCTACACCAAAGTTAATGTTTGAACACACACCAGAAACTTACATTCCAGGTGAGAAACCATCATCAACCCATTTCCATTTTTTCTCCTTTTTGTCATACAACAGTCCAATCCAGTAATAATTACTATGAATGTGAGATGTAATGAATGTCTATAAAGGAAACAAAACGTATGAGAGAACTAAGTTCCCATCTGCTGCATGAATGTGAAGAGGCACAGGGGTGGGGACAAGCTGTGCCTAAGACCAGGGCCCTGCCATTCTCCACACCTCCTTATCTCTGCTTCTAAGAAATATCTCTTATCCTTCTCACATCTACTATTAATTTCAAAGTAGCTTTCCCATAGCAGACTATATATGTGAAAACCGTCTATGAGTTTCCTGGATTATTTAAAACATGAAAGACTTTAAAATCAAACCATGTACTAACAAGAAATCACTTAAATAATTTGACACTTAAGTAAATTATTAAGTTCACACTCCAAAACAATATGTAATGTCATAGAGAATGAATCAATCCATAATCTAAAACAAAGGAGTCGTTAAAATAAATTTCTTAAAATAAAGACTTTGTGTAAGATAGTACAATCAGTTTTCAGACTCACAAGAAAAATAAATAATAGTTTAATTTAGTAGATGGGAGCGATAAAAGGAAGAGAAGCAGTATTTCCAAGTATTAAATATGTCTAAAATGCAATAGGTTAAAAGTGATACATTACATAAATGCTGATGATTAAAATGTAGGTTTAAATTTATGTTTTAGGAAGAAGAAATAAAAAATTTGGAAACAATGATCACATCCACTTTTCCCTACTCCTCTATCTTTCCCACCCTGATCAACTATGTAAATATCATCTAAAATTTAAAAATTAAATGTAATAAATACATTATTGTTTTACCAAATAAAAAGTTATTCACTAGTTACGAAATTATTTCATGATTTGATATCATGAATTCAACTTCAGGCATTTGTTATTTTTGCATATATTTGTAAGTCATTTTTCTAAACGATAGAGATTTCAGGCTGATGTTGGAAAACTTGTCTAAAGAAACAAACTTTGTATTTTTCTTATTAATACATTAAAAAGGCAACCTCAAGGCCAGCATTATGGTGTAATGGGTTAAAACACCAAACTTCAGTGGATGCTGGTGTATGTGGTATATGTTCCGGTTGATTTACCTTTGATCCACTTTCCTGCTGATGACCTGGGACAAGCAGAGGAGGCTGGCCCAAGTGTTTGGGTTCCTACCACTGCCACGGGAGACCTAAATGAAATTCCTACATCCTGACTTCTGTCTGGGCAGCCCTGACCTTCACAGCCAACTAGGAAGGGAATCAGCAGATAGATCTCTCTCTCTCTCTCTCTCTCTCTCTCTCTCTCTCTTTCTCTCTCTCTCACACACACACACACACACACACACAGTCTCTTCCTATCTCTCTCTTTCTCTCTTACTCTCTGTGTGCGTGTGCTTTTCTATAACTCTGAATTTCACATAAAGAAATCCATGTTAAAAGGCGCATTTCAATATTGCTGCCTCTGTATTTTCTCTTCTTACAATTTTTGAGGATATAGATCTTGGTATTATAAGATTAATTAGCAATTAAATGTGATATATAAATGCACTAAAATCAATGCAAGACTACTTTGTATAACTGATATCACTGTAATACTGCTTATTATCATCTCTACTTGATAGATGGGCTCAGCAGAGTTAAGTAATTCATTGCATATCACCCACCAGCAACTGGCAGAGCTGAATTTGACCACAGGCACTCTGACTGCTGAGTTCCTGGTAGTAACACCTATGCTGCATCCCCTAGGCTAAACTTGCCACCCTACAGGGATAGATGTAGGGATAAAAGGGACCAGTAGGCAAAGGTTAAACTAATTGCAGCATCAAAAATGTACATACTTTCCTGTAATAGTCACTACTGCAGGCTCCTGGAGAAGGGAGAGGATTACAGACTTCCCCTATAATATTGTTAAAGATGACTGTCATAACAAATAATATACTTTAAGCAATTGATAAGCACCTTAATCATATGCTTATTAGCAAACAGAATGTCCTGGGAGATTCCTAGCTGTACAGTCATGACAGTCAGACAACAGACATGACACAAAGAACACTTGAAGATCCCTCTTTCTGCATGCCCCCCTCCTTTCTCAGTATCACACGTTGTAAAGTGAGACAGTTCATGACAATGAGAGTAAATGGAAGAGTCCATGATACCTGTTCCTGCTCATTGTCTATCTTCAAAAGCGAGGAGCTGTACCTCTGGCAAGTTTGTTTACATTCCTGCCAGTTTTTCTTTTCCTCTGTAAAATAGTAGCAATTGACTCCATGACAGGACCAGTAGCCGTCATAGCTTTTACCTATAACACAGAGCCAATAATTAAATTTTTATTATATGATCTTCTAGTAATCAGAGCAATATATTAATCAGCCCTCCATAATAAACTCAAAGGTTCAAGATCCCTCTATGACAATAGCAACAACAATATGAGGATCTCCATGGTTCAGGAATGCCAAGAGATACCTGCACTCCCATGTTCAAGACAGCGTAATCCTCAATAGCCAAGAGATGGAGACTACCTAGACATCCACAGATGGATGAATGATGTGGAACATGCATACATACAATGGAATTAATAATTAAAGAAGTATATTCTATTGTATGTGACAGTATGGAGAAAACAGAGAGGACATTATGTGTGAGGAACAGAGTCTAGGGGTATGAGGTTTAACACAGTGCTTCTGATTAACAATGTTGTTTTGTACACTCAAAAATAAAAGTACACTAATGTCATAGTGTACTTATCAAAAATAAATATAGAAATTAGCAAATAAATATTGAGAGTCAATGGATATCTTGATTATTCCTATTATGATCATGCAATGCTTATGTCCAACTTATCAAAGTACATATATTTAATCTATAATGTTTCTCTATCCTGAACCTATTTAAAAATTCTAGCATGCTTTCTAACTTAGGAATATATTTGCAAACTTTTCTTTTGTATATTTATAATTGTAACATTACAATGTAATATTGCAATATACAATACATACAATATGTTTCAGGAAGTATATGTGAGTGCATTTCAAAAAGTTCAGTGATAATGGAATTAACATACAAGCTGAGTTTGCATACAAGACATTTTGAATTACTCTGTATTTTGCATGAATGTTAAAGTTATCTGGTATTGATGGTCATAAATACAAACACACAGGAGGTCTAGATACACACACACAAACACACAAGGTATCTTTATAACAGCATTCAACTAAAACTCCTTGTGTCCTTTGTAAGTCAGTTATGCTTTTCTCTTAAAGCTTTCATATTTTGTGTGAGCCACACCCTAATTCTCACTAGACCAAATCATCTGACTATCTCCTGGGGTGCTGGTCCTCTCTTTCACTGTTAGTAATAGCAGGGCAGCAAGAATTGCCATTGTATTTTGGGAGTGACAAGACTCTACTAATCCAAATATGATTCCAAGGATTCCCAAATCCCATATTTGAAACAAGAAAACCAGACCATCCACATTTCATCTGAAAGACACAAATTGAAAATTGTCCCGTAGACCCAAGTCACTGAGGGCAAGCCTGCATATAAGACTAAAGAAAGGGGAATGCAAAGCAATACAAACTTTCACTCCACATTCCTTCCATACCTGGATCTGTACAACATCTAGTCTTTTTTGAAAGGAATGACTCCAGTGTCTTTTGCTGTAGAAGGGTTCGATTTCTGAGAACTTCACATTCTAAAGTCTTCTTTGCCAGAAGTTGCTCCTTCAAGTACTCACTCTGACTGAGATTTGCTGAAATTTCTTGCTGTTGATGTTTTTCTTGAGTTAACTGATAAACTAATATTTGAGACATAAATATCATAAGAAAATGCACTCATGGAGATCAAACAGTGAAATTAAAGACTTTAGAAAAAGTCTCACTTCAACAACCAACTGTACTCATTAGTTCAGTAATTTGGCATTAGAAAGTCACACCTCAATGAACTGACCACAGTGATGGAAACATCACATTTCTCACTATTGGCAACTTAAGGGCAGAAAAGCAAAATACCCAAATGAAATTATGATGGCTAACACCATAGCTTACACGCTGGTTTATTTTTAGCAGTATATCATTTACAAATATCTACCACCATAAAATTCAGTTCGTTAACATTTACCAATTCATCATCTGTAGATAAAGACCTAAACTAGGGGGCAGATGCTTGTCCTTGGGGTTAGGATGCCCATAACTCACATCAGAGTCCCTGGATTCAATCCTGGCTCCTGACTCCATTTCCTGGGAGCTGATGGGCATCTGTGATGACTCAGTGAGTTAGTGCCATCCACATGGAGCACCAAGATTAACAGTTCCAAACTTTCAACTTCAGCTGCAGGCATTTAAGGAGTGAACCAACAAATCAAACTTTTTCTATTTTCTCTTTCCTTCTTAATCTTTCTTTTTCCCTTTCTCTTCTTTGTTTTTCCTTCCTCCCACCCTTCATCCTTTCTTTCCTTTCTCTCTCTCTCTTCCTTTCTTTCAGTGCTTTTTTCCCTCAGTTTCTTTTCTCCATCTTGCTCTCTCTGCACATTCTCTTTCCTTATTCTCCCTTTCCTTCTTTCTCTCTATCCTTCTTTTCTTTCTTTCTTTATATTTTCTTTTTTATTTATTCTTTCTCATTCTTTCCATCTTACCTTCTTTCCTTTATCTCTCTTTCTCTCTCTGTCCGTAAATAAAAGGAAAAAAAGGTGAACTAAACAACCATGAAGATATAGCACAATTATTATTGTATTAGCTGTAACATCTGAAAATGGGTGATGTTATCCAATTGTGGAATGTCCATTGTGTTCTACAAATATTTGAGGCAATCCAAATACAAGATTAAGCTTAAATTCAACATCAGTTTGTATGTATGTTTTTGTTCTGCTTACCACGTTCTTATTACATATTTAAAAATGCACAAAGTTATCAACCAAAAGGAATATTACTGTGTGCTATACAGAATAAGTTACCTTCAGAATAATACACAACAAACGTAGCCTCAGAATCAGTAGACTAAGTAAACAAAATGAAATGCCACTGTGACATGTCCAAGAAAAACAATCACCAACAAGGGCCATTACCTTGACTTAGCATGTAAAGCCACTGCCTCAGCGCCAGCATTTTACAGCGGCAATGATTCGAATCCCTTCTCACCCCCTGCTATCCAGCTCCTTACTAATATGTCTAGGAAAGCAGTGGAGGCTGGTTCAAGTGCTTGGGCCCCTGCACCCATGTGGGAGACCTGGAAGAAGCCCCTGGTAGCAAACTTTAAACTGGCACCAGCTTCCAATGGTTGACATTTGGTGTCTGAACAGATGAGATGGATGAAAGATTTCTCTCTCTCTCCCTCCTTCTTGTGTGTGTGTGTGTGTGTGTGTGTGTGTGTGTGTGTGTGTGTGTGTTTGTGTGTGTGTATGTGACTCTGCCTTTGAAATAAAATTAAATACTGCCAAATCAGCTTTTGAAGTTTTATTTTATTATTTTTATTGCAAAGTCAGATATACAGAGAGGAGGGGAGAGAGAGAGGAAAATCTTCTGTCTGATGATTCACTCTCCACGTGACCAAAATGTTCAGTGCTGTGCCGATCCAAAGCCAGGAGCTAGGAGCTTCTTCTGGGTCTCCCACGTGGGTGCAGCATCCCAATGCTTTGACCTGTCCTCAACTGCTTTCCCAGGCCACAAGCAGGGAGCTGGATGGGAAGTGGAGCTGCCGGGACTAAAATAAGCGCCCATATGGGATCCCGGCGCATTCAAGGCGAGGACATTAGACACTGGCCCATCAGCTGGGCCAGCACAATCATTTTTTTGATCCCCAATACAATTCAGAACTTTCAAATGTTCTAACAGGGAGCATTATTTAAATATCTGCACATGTGATTCTACAATTCCCAGAAAGATCTGTTTCCATTACTCACTCATTGTCACCAACATTGTGATCTTCATCAAGAAAAGTAAAAACAGGATTCCAAGACTCACAGCAATGCGATGCCAGGGCACTGCAAACTCTTTAAAAAGAAAAGTAAGAATTAGCAGTGAAAAAGTCCAGCTATCTCTCACCTTAACCAGGGACATGGTTAAAAACAAAGGAAACTCTGACAAAATATTTTACAAGACTATATCTTACAAAATGATTTAGATTTTAATCTGGAAATTACAGCTTTACATTTTATGTTTTCTGGCTGATACAAACTGTTTCTAGAAATGGCCATGAACAAGATGGTTCTCCAAAGTTTCAAAATTATGTCCCATAAAGAGGCACCAACGACATAAGACATCTGGGAGAGTGTAAAGTGGCATGTGCAATCTTTGCTGTGATCAAGCTAATCATGACAAGAACAAAGCAGGCAATGCTCTTGACAAAGTGGTCACCACCAGAGAATATTCTGATTTGCAGACATGATCAGCATCCATCCTCACAGAACTATCTAGAAATCCACTTTCCTTTCCTCACTGTCAATTCTGCACTTCAGTAGGCAATGGTGTATGCATCTTATTGTTTTGGTGGTCCTCATTGTTGGATAAATTGCGCCTATGATGATCACTAAACTGAAACACTACAGGTTATTCTCAACTAGGAGTTAAATAATGACCAGAAAAATAAAAATTTTCCTTCGATGCAAATGGTGTGAATCATGGTGGCCCTTCAGTTTATGTATGTGTGTGTGTGTGTGTGTGTGTGTGTGTACCTAAAGTCTTTCTTGTTTGTATAACATTTTTTAAATGCTTATTTCTATATTAAAAATCTAATACATTTGTTTCTCTAAGAAATGCTAGGCTTTTATTTTAAATATTTATTTTTATTACTTTTTTTATTGGAAAGGCGGATATACAGAGAGGAGAGACTGAGAGGAAGATCTTCCGTCCGATGATTCTCTCCCCAAGTGAGCGCAACGGCTGATGCTTTGCCGATCCGAAGCCAGGAGCCTCTTCTGGGTCTCCCACGCAGGTGCAGGGTCCCAAAGCTTTGGGCCGTCCTCAACTGCTTTCGCGGGCCACAGGCAGGGAGCTGGATGGGAAGCGGGGCTGCCGGGATAGAACCGGCGCCCATATGGGATCCCGGGCGTGCTAGGCGAGGACCTTAACCACTGCACTACTGCGCCGGGCCCATAGGCTTTTTTTTTTTTTAATCCTATTATGTTCTTTGCTTTTAGACACCTCACAAATTATCCCTGGCCAAATTTAAATAAGCATATTCTATTAGTACTCATATTTCTGAAAGTGTATTAATGTCCTCATCCTCTCAGTTTCTTGTAAGATCATTTAAAAAAATAAATTATTAAACAAATAATAAAGTAATTCTTCCAGGTTAGCCAGTTCCAGTTTTCTTTTATAACTGGAAATAATGGCCAGAAGTGAATATAAGATTGTTTTTAAACCTCTAGTTTGTCACCCCATGACATCGCATGAATTTGGATGCTCAGTTAGTATAACCTGGGGTGACATTATGATATAGGAGGGGTTAAGCTATCGCTGGCAACACCGACACCTCATTTTGTTCTGGTTCAACTCTGCTACTCCAACCGAGTTCCTGGCTAATGAACTTAGGGAAGCAGAAGACGACCCAGGTACTTGAATGCCTGTCTTCCATGTGGGGGACCGGGGTGTTTGCCCAAGCTTCTAGCTTGACCAGACTCCAGCTGCTGCAGCCATTTGGAGAGTGAACCAGTCAGTGAAAGATCACTTTCTGGTTTTCTCTTTCTCTCCTTGTAATTCTGCCTTTCAAATAAAACAAGTAAAGCTCAAACATAATATACATAAATACCTTTCTTGGCAGATTTCCCAGGCCTTCTGGTGCCATCAGGCCTTAATCTCTTCTGAGATTCTGAGGCAGACTGGAGAATTCTCACAGATGAGCAAGTCACCTCCTCCTGATCACCCATCTTCAGAAGAAAAGAAATGTTTGTGCAACAACTCTTTACAATACAATGATTTCTAAAGAACTATCCAAAGAGCAGCCCACAGGAGCATACAAGGACTTGATGCTGAGAGGTCATTTTGTGTGTGTCTGTGAATACCTGTGAATACCTGTGTTTATCTGCTCCAGTAAGTGCTTAAAGCATGTAGACTGAATTAATTTATACAACAAATGGAAATGCTGTCATATATCCATGAAAATCATTTATGATCATCGGGACTATTGCCATCAATATCAGAATCTATAGAAAGAATTGAAGGGACTGCTAGTATATTATTATACTATTTACTCAGCTATCTTCACTTACAATATTTAGCGTACATATAAAAAGATTGGGCACAATCAGTGCCTTCTCATATCTTGGTGGCATCGTTAAAAAAAGAACTTAAAGCATCAAAAATTCTATATTCTGTAAAACTATATGTATGTTAGTTTAAAAAAATACATACCTTACTAGACATATAACTGTTTTAAAATTTCTTTCTTTTCAATTATCAAGAGTCAATCAGAGAGCTTCCTGCGGTATATCTCATACATTATCTTTACATGATTTTGAGGGGTGATTATAAAAAAAAGGTTAACATTTCAAAGCCCAGTGCCTTATACAAGACAAACTGACTACAAAATTTTTACCGTCTTTCTAACATTGCCATAGAAACCTTTGTGAAAAATTATGTCAAAAGCTATTCATTAATTATTTAGTGACTATCAGGAGACAACCTAGTATTAATACCAATGAAGTAAGAAATCATAAATGGCAAAATTTTTAAATTCACCTTGATTCCTAAACTAATCAGAAAGAAAAGATGATATCAAAGGAAGTTCAGGAAAAAGTGTAGCTATATTATTTCATATGCATTATCAACTTATAAAATTTGGTATACTAACTGTTCACATTTTATCTAATATCCTATTAAAATTAGACTCTTCTACTCCAGAATTTTCAAATACACTCCTTTATGGATGGATAATACATAAATCATTTGTGTCAAATTAAACGTAACTCCTCAAATCTGTCTTCTTTAAGTGGTTAACTCAGAGCATATGGAGAGGGAGACAACAAGTTTCCATGAACACTAACTACAATTTATACATCCTTCAGTGTTCACGCTATTGTAATACAACACAGAGGGAAATCTGTCCTATAAATGTCATGCCACGTTTCTTGGAATTAAGCACTGTATTCCTAGAATAAGCAGAATTAATAGGATAATCATATTGAAAGACCACGGGAATCAAAGCAGGTGTTACCTGGATCTATGCCGTGTAATGAAGCAGGTGGAAGCACTGGACCCCAATAGAACAAGACGCAGGCCACTCCAGTCCCACAGCTCTTGCGGGGCTCTAAGAGGAGAAGTGAGGTGTCTGAAGGATGAAACTCCAACTCAAACGTCCTGCCCCTCTTGTTGAAACAGTGGTGAAAGGAAACCATATGCTGAAAGCTGTTGTTTACAGGAAAGGGAGGATGGTCATGAGCTGTGTGTGCCTCCATTTCAATAACCAATCATTTCGTCCTGCTTGCAAAGCAGCATCGAAAATCAGAATTTGCGAACTGAAGAGAGAGCAATTAAGGTTCACAAAAACAGGATGATGCCTTTTAACAAACAGGTAACATATATAAAAGAAATCGCTATTCAATGGATGCCTAAAATATCTACATGTGTATACACATATGCAAATAAGGTCACAATTCGATACCTTAGCACACTTTTAAAATATTTTTCTTTCCTTGGGAAAACATTGATTAAATATATTCCTCTTTTGGGACTCATGCTTACTGTACATAAATGTGTTTCAGAAGGGTTTTTTTTAATATCCATGATTTCATTGTAAAAATTCAGTTTATATTCCTCTAGTCTTCTCTTCCAACACAATGCTTACCAGTGAAGTTGGTATACATCAGTGCTTCTGATATATTTTTTTATAATTATTCTTTTACACTAATGTTTCTTTGCTTCAGAACCATTCACTTAATGCAGAAATAATTTCTATGTTTTCGAAGGTATAACAACACAGAAACAGACAGAAAGTAGATAAATTTTGCATTTGCTGATTCAATCTTACTACGCACATAGTAGTTTTAGTGGGGCTAGGTAGAACCCACTGTACCTTTGCCTACTGTGCCACAATGTCCGTACTTAAAACAGGATGCAATAATATATATACAGTTACTGTCCACATAAGCATTACTCCCTTAACTTATTTAACCCTTCTCCTACAAGTGGACTTCTAGTTTTTTCCAGCCTTTTTTTAATATTAAAAAAAAATTGGCCTGTGCTTTTTAATATTTTTAAGACATCATTTTAAGCATAAAATTGCAAGGTTAAAGGGTATTACGCATGTAAAGAATCATGATACAGATTACCAAAAAACCTGCAGAGATATTGTCCCCCTCTATATTATACCAGTTGTGCATGAAAATATTCACATCTGGCTGTTTAAAAAACATATTTCTGTAAATACGGTCACAGAAAAAAAGGAAGAGATGAGGGTCTGAACTTATCATCCACTGATACAACCCAAGTTGAACCCATCCAGGTCTCACACATGGATGGCAGAGGCCCCAGTGCTTGACATTTGACCTTCTGCTTTTTCAAACACATTAGCAGCAAGTCAGAGGGAAAAGAAGCAGCCAGGGGTCAGACAGTGCTGGCATTTCAAATGGCAACTTAAGCCAAAACACTGGATTTTTAAGAATATTCTATTTGAATTGTTCATATGTCTTAACTCTAATACTATTCTCCAAACACGTTTTGCAAGTTCTCACCTATAATTTTTTTCTTTTGCTTCTGAAATCATTGGTTCTTTTTATGGACCTATCTTTTGTGTAAGATATTTGACAATCAGATATTTACTTATCTCAGGCTCAATTTTTTTTAATTAAAAAAATGATTAAAACTAAAGAGAATAGATTTCCTGTATTGTATAGGTACACTTCTAAGGAGATAGTTATGCTTCCTTACCTCCTGTTTCTCTCTGTTAATTTTCTCTTTTCCTTTTTCTTTTTAATTTCATTTTTGATGATGTTTGTGATGGCTGATGTGTCTGGGCTTATACCAGACCCCACAAGTCACTCAGACCTCAGCCCAGGACCAGAAAAGGCCACAGAGCCAAACATGTCACTGGGCCAGCAAGACTCTAACTGACCAATGATAAATCTAGACTGACACTCCTTACCCTAATTAGGATCTAAACAGAGCCTCTGCCAGCCTCCAAGTTGGAAGAGGTATAAAAGCCTCCCACAAGTTCCCCTGCCTGCCTTTTCTCCACACCCCTCTCTCCTTCTCCCTTCCTTAAAGAGTGATTCTCAAAGTCTCTTTGCATCTTTCTTACAACTGGCAGGTTTTGGAAGGGTGCAGGGTATGGGGAAAGTGGATGAGACCACGGTTTCCACATTTTTTTGTCTTCTTCCTGTGTCCTGGGGAAGGCAGGAAGATAAGTGGAGAAGAGGCACCAGCCTCCCAACTGCCTTAGAATCGAGGATGGGAAATGGCCACACAATGTCATCATCCCAGGGTCCCAGCGAAGCGCATACTCTGAGCTTTCTGCTCAGGTTGTATCAGTCATTCTGAAATGCTGTCAATCTCACCACTCCAAGGAGAAGGAACTCCTTCCAAGGTTCACTGACTGACAAGGAGCACCTTAGTCTCCATTCGCCCAGATATTTGCTACCAATGCTTGATTGTTGTAGTTGATCGATTTGTTCTGCCCTCCACCCTCTTCTAGGGCATCAAATGTCTTCTGTCGGCCCCAGTGGACTGTCATATAATCCATGTGAGTCTGGGTATGCCATCTACTGCTCCGTCTTAGCCACTGAGGAGACCCAGTTCTGAAACATGAACTCTATGATCAGACCACAGATCCTGAAATTCTCGCCATAGTTGGAATTCTGAGACCAATGAATGGTTCAGTTGGAGGAGTCCCCCAGAAATACCTGATCTGAAATGATCTCAAACCTGACTGTTGCGTGTTTTTACCAGTACTGGTTCTGGCTCTGTCTGTCACCAACATCAACCTCCACATACACATTGGTAGATTCAATTGATTGATCAGTTCTGTCTCCAACCCCATCACCTACACAAACCAGTGAGTGTGATAGACCAGGCTGACGTTACCCCCAACACACTTGGCCCTGACATGCTACAGCCTAAACAGAGTGACCACCAAAAGCACCCACAAAGGCCGCCTCCAGCCCTGGTTCCTGTGTTTGCCAGTATGTGCAACATACTGGTCTAGTCTGTCCCACCTCCCATGCGTCAATCAATGGGCGCTGAAGTCTATCTCAACCCAACCAACCCACTATCCAGCCCACACTGTGCCAGCAGGTGCCTCCACCTATCTAGCCAGGCCTGCCGCCAGCTCTGTTTCTCATGCTCACCAGTAAGAGTTGCAACCCATCAGAGAGGTAACCACAGTTTCTTTGCCAGTCCCAGATCTTGTACTCTGCAGGTGATTCTGCAGTCTAGCTTGACAGGATTTACCCTTAGTTCCAGCACTTGCCAGCTGATGCTATGGCAAAGCCCAACCAGCACACACTCACTCTAGCTTATGCATGCATCAGTGGGTAAAGTCTGTCCAGCCTTCCTGCTCTCCAACCTAGCTCACATGAAAACCAGCAAGTGTTGCAGCTCTGCCAGGCCTATTCTGCCCCTGATCCCAGCTCTCATACTCACCAGTGGGAACAGTGGCCCAGCAGGGATCTCCCCCAAAGTCCCCGTATCAGAGTCACCCCAACCCATCCTGCCCTCCCCCAGTCTCACATGTGCTGGTAGGTGTTACGACCCAATCTGGCATGGCCCGTCTCATCTCGGCATTTGCTGGAGGGTGCTGTAACTAGTCCAGCCCAGCATATTCCCAGTTCTAGCTCATGCTGGTAGGTACTAACGCCTAGCCCAGCCCAGCCAGTTTCCAGTCCTGGTGCTAATGTTAACTGGCTGATGTTGTGGCCTGACGCATTCTATCCTGCACCTCATCCTGGTTCTCAGACCTGCCAGTGGGTGCTATGGACAGGCCCAGCCTGGCCCACCCCCATACCTGACCCACATGTAAGCTGAGAGGTATCGTAATATTGGGCTGCTCTCAGCCTTGGTTCCTACAATTACCTGCACGGGCTGTATCCTGACAGAGAAGTTCCTCAATCCCTTCTATCAGGTCTCCTCCCAGTGGCAGATCTTGTGCAATCTGGAGGGTCCTTGGCCCAACCTAACTTAGTCCACCTCCTGTCCTGGCAGGAACAGTAGCCTTGCCCAACTAACCCACATCATTCCAGTTCTTACTGTTGGGTGTTTCAGCCCAGCCACACGTCATCCACACACTGACACAGCTCTCATGTGGTTCAGAGGGGGCAGAGACCTAACCTAGCTTTTTGCACCCACACTCTGGTTCACACAAGCACCAGTGGGTGCTGGAATCTATCCTAGTCTGGCATCCCTAGACCCAGTACACATCCATGTCAAGGGACACTGCAGTCATGTCCAGCCCAGATTGCTGCACCCATTCCAGCTCTTGGGCTTACCAGTAGAAACCATTACCCAGCTGAGGCATACTCCTAGCTCCCCAATCAGGCCTGTTCCCAGCCACAGACCTTGTGCATGCCAATGGTTGCTCTGACCCAATCAAACATAGCCCATCACCCGCCTTGGCTGCTGCCATCAGATGTTGCAGCTTGGCCTGGACTGGCCTGTGCCCAGTCCCAAATCTCGCTGTTGAGTGCTGCTTCTTGGCCCTGTTTAGTCTGTTCTCATTCTTGGGTCATGCAAACCAGTAGGTGTGATAGCCTAGCCTGGAATGAGCTGCACTCCAGCCTGTCTCCAGCACATGCCTGTGGGGTAAGTTTGGCCCTGCCCATCTTCCCCACATCCAGAACCAACCTACACACTTGCCAATGAGTAAAGCTAACTTCCCAGGCCTAACCATCACCCAGGTCTGATCCCAAAGCTCACCAGCAGGAACTTCAGCCTACCAGGGGAGTTTCCCATGTTTACCCACCAGGCCCTTGCCCAGAACCAGATCTCACATGTGGCACCGGGTACCATGCCCTTACCCAGAATAGCCTGTCCTCTCCATTCTGGCCTATGTATGAGCTGGTGAATATTGTGGTGTAGCTTGCTGCATACCTCCTTTTTGGGTATGGCTGCAAGTGCTGCAACCTGGACCTTCTCAGCCTTTTCTCAACCCCAGTATCCATGAGTGTCAGAGGGTTCCATGGCCATGCCTAGCTCAGCCCATCATTGCCCTCAACTGTTAATCTAACCTGCAGAAATAGCAGTTCCACAGAGGTAGGCCCACATATCTGCCCCAGGACGTGTTCTCTCATGTGCTGGTTAGTGTCTTGGCTCAGGCTAACATTACCCATCCTATTCCAACTTTCTCTGGCAAGTTCTGTGATCCATCCCTGCCAGGCAGGACCCCAGCCCTAGCTTTCGTGTGCACCAGTGCATGATGGCCTGCTGTGAATCATGCTAACCAGCCCTTCTGAGATCTCCCACCTGGGCTGGTGCATCTGTCTGACCCATTAAAGTGCTGCAGCTTCCACCCCCTGATTCACTCGGTCTCAGCCCCCTTGCTTACCTAAAAATACAGTGGTGTTTTTAGATGGGGACCTCACCTGCAACTTATCCCTTCAGCAGTCTTCTCTCCCACTCCCTCTCCTTATCCCATCCCTGATTATGTGGGAAGATTTCCAGGCTTGCTCCACCTACCTGGATGTGAAGCCCTAGCAATCCCCGGTACCCCACAGGCTCTATCCTCATAGTTCCCCATGAGACTGAATGGCCAGGCAACCATGGGCAGAGCCAGGCCCCTTGCGTCCTGTCTGGGGCTGCACGCTCTCTCTCCTTCATTTATTTTTATTCTTTAATCATTATAAAAATTATAATTTCAAATGACTCTGTAATCAGTCTTAGTGCACTACTAACAATAATATTCAGCAAGTAAAAAGTAGAAAGACCACAATTCCACAAGAGTTTGATATAAAAGACTGTATTTCACCCTTTTCCTGGCTGAGTACAAGTAACTCCTTCGTATGCTGATTTCATTTCCTTAGATAAATTTCCAGAAGTGGAAAGGCTGGTCATATAGCAGGTCCATTTTCATTTTTCTGTGAATCTCCACACTCTCCTGTGATGATGTACTGCTTTATATTCTCACCGATGGTGCTTTAAGGTACCTTTTCACCCATATTTTCTGTAGCATTTATTATTTTTGTAATGCTAGTCATTCTAATTGGGGTGAGGTAAAACCTCATTATGGTTTTTATTTACATTTTCCTAGTGGCTGGAGCCCAACGCCATATCCTAGTGGCTTAAATCCTCACCTTGCATGTGCCAGGATTCCATATGGATGCTGGTTCTGATCCCAGCAGCCCTGCTCCCATCCAGTCCCCTGCTTGTGGACTGGAATGGTAGTCGAGGACAGCCCAAATGATGGGATAACATGAAACACTGCCTCTCAAACCTGGTTATGTACAGTAGTCACTGGTGTTTGTGTTTTATTTTCTGGTAGAAAAAGTTTTGTGTTTTTTTTTTAATTTTTTAAGCTTGGGTAACCACATATTTTCCTTTCTGATGACACAGTTAGCTAGAAGCCTAGCACACAGCTTCTCGCCCCATCTTGAAACCTCAGTGGTTTTATTGTTTCACACTAGCTGAGGGTCTTCCTGTCCTGGTCTGAGTGAACGACAACTGAATAGCCACCAGCATGCAGGGGAGGATGCTCTGAGTCATTTCATCAGCAAGAATGGCCCACCCAGGTTCCCACCTCCTTGGTGATTGGCCTTAAAGCCTCTTATGCCACTGGATGTCCTTAGAGTAACAAGTAGACATCTCCAGTTGGAGATCTTCTGTCCCTCTAACTATTCTATTTATCTTTATCTTTACCACCTTAGCAATTCTCATGGTGCCAGATAAATATTTATTTGTGCAAAAAGTCCAAGTCAATGGGCTTTAAAAAAATACCAAGAAAGAGAAGGAAATCTAGACAGCTATTCCAAATCAGGACATCTTCGATATCTTGATTAAATGCATTGCATTTTGTAACAGAGAGAAAAATACCACTATCAAGTTAGTGGAAAACATTTGAAAATGGTTATAGATTAGATCATAATACTGTACCAATGTTAAATTACTTGATTTTGGTTCTCATGACATAGTTATAAAAGAAATGATTATTTTCTTTGGAAATGTTTAGACATGAGGATATAGTGTCTTCAGTTTATTTTCAGATGACTAGGCAATGAGACAGAAGCAAAGGGGAAGAATTAGATGAATTCAGCACAGTACAAGTAATAATTGTGGGTAAAAGTTATGTGGCAGTTCCTTGTATTTCTTCTTCTTCAAATATTTGACCTGTTTAGATGTAAACATTATAGGAAAATAATCCTTAAAGTTGATGCACACTCCTGGGTAGTACAAACAGAGCTCTGTCAAGTTCTTCACTGTGCTCTCCAGGTCACATGTTACTGGCATGGTGTATTCAATTTCTGAGGGAAAGATGCAGACTAATCTATAAAATTCCCTAATGGGTCCTGGCATGATTCAAAGGAATGGAAAGACGAAATCCTCAGAACCATGAAGGAAGTGGCAGCTCATCCCCAAACATAAGGGACTTTCACTTGTGCACGGGGAGAGGATGGCATTTGATATCCTAGGTCATCGCTCAGAAGAACACTTCCTTCCTCTTCCAGCTCATCTCTGTCTCCACCACAGGCCAAGCCCTGCAATCAAAAACACTTGTTAGTCGCCATCCCACCCTGTTACAGGAAACAACAATGGGACAGCATTTCCAAGGGTACCTTTGCTTTTAAGTGCACACTGAAGCATGGAAAACACAATCTGTGCTGTGTTCCCTAGCATGGTAGGTATGCCTGGGAGTACATTGGAAGATAAAATAACAGTAATGAAACTTCGAAGATTAGAATTCTCAGAAGCTAAGGATGAACTTTTTACAACCTTGTAAGAAATGAAAGATGGCTTGAAAACAGTAGCAACTAACAAAGATATCTGAAAATGTAAAAACACTAATATAGTGTTTACACACACATTGCTTTTTGACTATCAATGAACTTTTTGAAGCGCATGTATCTGTGTATGATTATGTTTATGTGTACATTGCCTATACCAATGCCCACTAATAATATACAAATATAACGATGCTACCATATATGTAAATATACTAACAAGACGAATTACATGGATGAGTTTCAAATCAATTTGGGGATAGTTGGGCTCCGCATTTGTGGATGAGGGAGGACTAATTATACATATGTTAGGATGTTATGATCACTGAGGATGATTGTTTCATTTATGTATCTTATAAAACATGTTACATGTACTTAGAACACTTTTAATAATAAGAATTCTGCATGGTGTCCCTGTTTTAACTATACTCATAAAATATTTACTCTGGTTCTTATTAGTAATCTCTACTTATAATAAATTAAATTGTGTAAAATGAAAAATGACTCTTTTGAAGATAGACAGCTAGCAGGAGCAGGTATCATGGACACTTCATTTACTGTCAGTGTCATCAATTGTCTCGCTATTTAACCTGTGATACTGAGAAAAGAGGGGGTTGTATCAGAAAGAGAGACCTTAAGCATACTTTATACATGACTGTTGTCTGGGCAAAGACCGCATGATTAGGCATCTCCCAACACACTCTGTCTGCTAATAGGCATACGATCCTGCTACTCATTGAGTGCTCAATGCATATTCTTTATTATAAAATCATTTTTATTAATAACAAGGAAGAGTCTGTAATCTCCTACCTTTTTCAGGAGCATGCAGTAGTGTCTCTTACAAAAAAGTATGCCTTTTCTTTGATGAAGCACTTAGCTTAACCTTTGCTGTACTCTACCCTGGAGCCACAGTTAGTTATCCCTGTAGGGTGGTAAGTAACAGGGATGGGGCATAGTCTAGGTATTACTAACAGGAACCCAGCACTCAGACTTCCTGGGGTCAATCCTGCTCTGCCGGTTGCTGCTGGGTGACCTTCAGTGTATTAGTTAACCTCTCTGAGCCCATCTACCAAATACAGATGATAACAAGCACCATGAAAGTGCTTTCATTTATGCAGATTAGCCTTGCATTGATTTCAGTGAATCTGTACATCACATTTACCTAGTCCATAAATAATATTACACTACCAAAGTGCATATCTTATAAAAGAATCATGAAAAAAATAGTGACAACAAAATGAGATTGTCTTCTTAATTTATTACTATGAGAAATTATCCCAATGCACCGCGTGCCTTTAGAATGATAGGTTTGCAAAATTAGCCTGAAACCTCTGCTTAACATTTAAGAAAATATCATTGAAAATTATTATTGCAGTAGGTGGTGGTTAGGTCTGAAAAGAGAAGATGTTCTCAGTGTAGTCAGACATCAATACACAAGGGCACAAATCCTCTATGATCCCACTTCTCTGAGGTTCTACAGTAGTCAGACCCATGGAAGCAGAGAACAAAATGATGGTTCCCTAGGGGTGGAGGAAGGAGAAAAAAAGCCTGCTGTGTGGGCATCAGTTCCAGTCAGGCAAGATGAAAGCACCCTGTGCTCCACTGTGCAGCACAGTGTCCACAGTTAAAGATGCTGTATGCATCACAGAGGAGTGTGCATTTCCAACTCTAAGATTTCACAGTGCCTCTTCTTAGCATAAAGATACAACCGACCAAACATGATGATTTTTTAGGAGGGGATGTATCTGTCTATTACCCATACTGTAACAATTGATTCATAGGGGGATATGTGTGTGTCCATTGCATTAAATCATCACACGGACATCTTTGTTGTGTTTTTAATAAAGTGAGCAACACACTAATCATCTTAATGTTTAAGAGTGCTAGCATCATATTTCACCTACTGGAGTATTAAGGGAGGCAAGGAAGTGATTGAGTTTGGGGAACAGTAGGACTCCATTTACACAAATTGGTTCCAGGGATTCCACATCCTAATGACAATTACAAAATTATACAATCAATTACAAGCTGTCCAGTAGATCCAAAGATCACCATGTAAAACCCTATTTATTAGACCTCAAGGCTTCTAGACGGGGGACAAATGAATGGACACACTGCAATGTATCATCCTACTTTTCTTCCATACTTCGATTTTGTAGAGACTTTGAAGACACGTGTCCTTTTGCACAGCATCCTTCCTTTTTTACAAAAGATGATGACAGCTTATTTTTCTGCAGAACACTTTCATTTTTGAGAGTGCTTCATTCTAAGGATTTATTTGACAAAAGTTGCTCCTTTAAGTGGTTCCCTCATGCCTGTACTTGTGAGTTAAATTTGCTATAATTTCCGCTTGTTCATGTTTTTCTTGAATATGATGAATATCTAAAAAAAGTAGCATAGATATTGTATAAAAAATTGTCCTGAGGATCCAAGAGTAAAATTAAAAACAAGAGAAAAAGTCCTATTTTAGCAACCAATTTTTATCATTTCAGGGTTTTTTTTTTTTTTGACATTTAGAAAGTAACACCTCAGGGAATTGACCACAGAAATGGAAACATCACGTTTATCACTATCAGCAACTTAAGGGCACATAAATAAAATACTTGAATAAAATTACCAGGGCTAGCATCAAATTTTACACTTTTAGTTCATTTTTAACAGCACATGATTTACAAATAAGTAATACCAACAAATTCAGTTAGTTAACATTTAACAATTCATCTTCAAATACAAAAGCCTAAGCTGGGCAAGGTGTAGTAACCTAGTGGCTAAATCTTCGCCTTGGATGTGCCAGGATCCTATATGGGCACTGACTGGTTTCCCAGCTGCTACACTTCCCATCCAGCTCCTTGCTTGTGGCCTGGGAAAGCACTAGAGGACAGCCCAAGGCCTTGGAATCTGGCACTGACATGGGAGACCAAGAGGAGATTCCTGGCTTCTGGCTTCACTTGGAAGTGAACCAGCGTACAGAAGATCTTTCAACCTGTCTCTCCTTCTCTTCTAGTATTTGCCTTTCCAATAAAAACAAATGAATCAGTAAAACAAACAAACAAAAACAACAAAATACCACTAAGCTAGCTGGCAAATATTTGGCCTCATTGTCAGAATGTTCATGACCATATAAGAGTACCCAGATTCAGCAGCATGCCCCAGCCCAGGCTCCTGACTCCAGCTTCCTGGGAGGCACTTGCGAGGAGTCAAGGCCCTGGGTTCCTGCCAGCCACAAGGAGACATAGATCAAGTGCCTTCTGGTTCCTAGCTGCAGCTGCAGGCATTTGGGATTCCAGAGTGAGCACCAAATAGGTTTCTCGCTCTCAAATTAAAAAAAAAAAAAAAAAAGTTTTATTTGAGCTAAAAAAAAAAATGTACAGCACAATTATCATTGAAGGAAACGAAATGTCCAAGAAAATGGGATTTTTCCCAATTGTAGTATATCCATTGTTTTCTTTAAAAATGTAAAGAAACCCAACACAAGATAAAACGTAAATTCAAGATCATTAGCTGTTCTTACTAAGCTCTTTCCTTATTATGTACTAAGAACAAAATAAATACATAAAAGAAGGCCTAAAAGAGTTTCTCTCAGAATTCAATGATTTAAACTCAGATAATAGATTATCACGAAAATCTCTATCTAAATGAATATTACCATACATTAAGCAAAATGAGACAAACCATCACAGCTTCAATCGGTTGCATTAGGGAAGCAAAAATCAGAATCACAATGTGATATGACAAAAAAATCAACAAAAATGAGAACCATCTGGTAAGTTCACAAATGTTTCAAGAGCTAACATTGTTAAAATCTACACAATGAGTGGTTCCTGCAATTCCTGAGACTATAAAAAAGGACAACATCTCCAGTACTTACTCTGAATCACCAACACTATGAGTGTCATCAAGAGAATCAAACAGAACATTCCAAGAGTCACCACAATGAGATGCCAGGGCACTGAAAACTCTTAAAAGAAACAAAACAAAGCAAAAAGTTAATGAAATGATGAAACAGCCTTAACTAAAGACACAGTTTGAAGCAAAGGATATTATTCCTTAAAAGATTTACAAGTACGTATCAGGCAAAATGGTTTAGATGTTTAACTTAGAAGTTACAGTTTTAAAATTTAAGATTTCTGGGTGACACACACTCATGGTACAAGAACAGGTCTCCAGAGCTTCTAAAACTTAACCCTCAGACAGCACCAACACCAGTGGGGGTGAACAAGCAGGGACGTTTTAAGAGACACGGGCACTGCTTACCCTGGCCACAACTGATCACAAAACAGCACGAACAGACAAGATGCTAGAAAGTGAACACCAATAACGGATATTCTGAGATGTGAAAGTGATGGACCCCATCCTCACAGCAGTTTCTGAAATTCACTTTTCCTTCTTTAAATTCAGCCATATTTTATCCAAAAAAACACTGCATCACCTTTTTGCTTTTGAGGTTCCTCTCATCTGAAAAAATGTCTCTCTGATGATCGTCAAACTAAAATAGTAATTCTCAAGTTTAGAATTTGATTGTGAATTATTTGAAGCAGTAAGAGTGAATAAAAATTAGAATGTCCACTTGATACAAACATTGTTTTTAAAATTAATCAATTGAGTGATTAATTGAGTGATTAATTAATTTTCATTTTTTTGCATGGGCAGATATATACAGAGAGGAAGAGAGACAGAGAGGAAGATCATTTATCTGCTGATTCAATCCCCAATGACCTCAAAGGCCAGAGCGGCACTGATCCAAAGCCAGGATTCAGGAACCTCCTCCAGGTCTCCCACGCAATTACAGGGTCCCAAGGCCTTGAGCTGTCCTCAACTGCTTTCCCAGACCACAAGCTGGTTACTAGATGGGAAATGGGGCGCCTGGATATGAATCGATGCACATAAGGTTTGCCGTCATGTGCAAGACCAGGACTTTAAGTGCAAGGCTAACATGCCAGACAAAGATACAAACATTTTTAAATTTTCATGGGCCTTGAGGGTAACTATATATTCTTAAGGACCTAAAATGTCTATTGTCTGGATAATAATAACATTGTCTTCAACACACCATTTTCACTTCTTAATGATTCTCTAGGATGTTTATTTCAATAAGAATTGCTGTGTTTTTTTTTCCAGACACTATTCTGTGCTTTACTTTTAAAGGAGTTACAATTCATTTGCATCAGATCTCAATAGAGTCTAAAATTCCTCAAATTCAAAGAACTCACTCATTTTCTCCACTCTCAGCTTTTTTCAAAAATGTTCTCAGCTCAGTCAGCTACTCTGGTGGGTAATACTTTGTCATAAGCTCTCGACGACCAGAACAACATAAAAGAACTGGTTTTAAACCTCAAGTTTGGAAATTCATAAAAGACAGGTGAATTTAGAGGCTTCAAATGTACACATTTGGTGTTGTCATGATGGCACATTAAGCTGCTGCTTGCAATACCCACATCCCACGTTGCAGAACTGATTTGAATCCTCACTGCTCTACTTTTTATCCAGCTCCCTGATAATGCATCTGAGGAGGCTGCAACAGACTCAAGGACTTGAGTGTCTGCCTCCCCTGTGGAGAACCCAGACCGAGTCCTGAGTTCCTGGTTTCCTCCAGGCCCAGCACTGGCTGTTGCAGCTGTTTGGAGAGTGGTCCACAGATGACAGGTCTCTTTCTCTCTATCCTTCTCACTCTCTTTCTGTCACTCTGCCTTTCAAATGAATCAGTAAATCTTTACAAAAATACGCACACAAACCTTTCTCACCAGTTCCAAACCTTGGAGTGCCATCAGGGTTTGATCTTCTCTGAGAGTCTGAAGGAGACTGAAGAAATCTCAAAACTTCATAAGGTTCCTCTCTATGGCTCATCTTTAGAAGAGAGAAATGTGATTCACACCAAAGCCTCACAAAGCAATGCTTCCTGAGGAAAAATCATAGAGGCAAGCTCACTGAAATGTGGCTTGATTTGATGCTGAGAATGAACTGTGTGTGTGTGTGTGTGTGTGTGTGTGTGTGTGTGTGTGTGTGTGTGTTGTGTACATGTGCTTATCTGCTCAAATAAAAGCTTAAAGCAGGTAGACAGAGTCTGATGTATAATGGAAATGGAAATCCTGCTGACATTGCCATTTAGATCATGTAGACCCCTAATAATCCTTGGCAGATTTTCAGAAAATATGAAAAGCATGAAAAAGATGGCCACTACACTATTGCACTATTTACTCACTGAACTTGGAAAATATGTTTATATATATTTATATAATTGATAGCCCCTGAAACCTCAGAAATATCTTTAAATGCTCAAACAGAAAATCTGACAATCTGAAAAAGAATCATGTTTTTAAAAACACCTGAAATGATATACCTATAACTCTTTATAAAAACTCTTGCAGTCTTTTCAAGCCCACATGTCCCAGAGTACTCCCCACGGTATGTCTCATATCTCATCTGTAAATGATTCTGAGGGTGACTATCACATATTGATAAACATTTCAGAATCTAATGTCCAGGGTAAGATAAGCTGAATACAAATCTCTTAGATTCACATAACTGAAGTTGCCATGGAAACCTTTGTGAAAATAAAATGTCAATATATGGTCATTAATGAATGTCCACTAAGACTCATTCTAGCAATAAATACCAAATATGAAAGAAGTTATTAAAAAAGTAAAATTGAAACTTCACTTTGCTTTATGTTAATCAATGAGAAAAAAACTACATTCAGCAAGCAGGAAATAGTGAACACTAATTATACATGTGAATGTTTACTTCTATATGCTAATGTGCAAAATTTTCTGTTTAGGTTATTCACATTTTCTTGAATTTTTCACTGAATATTAGGCTTTTCTAACACAAAATCTTTCATTATGAATGGTTAATACATACATCATACAGCCAAGTAAAAAAAAGTAGCATCTCACATCTCATTTCTTCATGTGGACAACACAAATTAGGCTCACAGCCTACGGAGGAGACAAGTTGTCATGAACACTGAACTACAATCTTTACATCCTTCAGAGTTCATACCATTAGAATGCAACACAGAGGGAATTTTGTCCTTTCAATTTCCTTCTCGTGCCAAGTTACTTGGAATTAAGCACTATATTCCTAGAAGAAGTAGAATTAATAGGATAATCATATTGAAAGATGCAAGGGAATCAAAGCAGGTGTTACCTGGATCTATGCCGTGTAATGAAGCAGGTGGAAGCACTGGACCCCAATAGAACAAGACACAGGCCACTCCAGTCCCACAGCTCTTGCGGGGCTCTAAGAGGAGAAGTGAGGTGTCTGAAGGATGAAACTCCAACTCAAACGTCCTGCCCCTCTTGTTGAAACAGTGGTGAAAGGAAACCATATGATGAAAGCTGTTTACAGGAAAGGGAAGATGGTCATGAGCTGTGTGTGCCTCCATTTCAATAACCAATCACTTCGTCCTGCTTGCAAAGCAGCATGGAAAATCAGAATTTGCGGACTGAAGAGAGAGCAATTATGGTTCACAAAAACAAGATGAATATCTTTTAACACAAGAGTAACATATGTAAAAGAAGCCACTATTTAAGTGAGTGAGAGAACTGTCTGTGTGAATACACACATATCCAAGAATGAATACGGCTCATTTCTTCAGTTCCAAATTTTGATAATTTCCTCTCTGTTAGAAATGTTCTATTACATTTACATTTTTTAGAAAAATATATATATATACTTTATATACATTATATAATATACATTATATATATAATGTATATATATATAATATACATTATATATATATAATGCAAACACATTTTTAAAGTTATTTTAAAACATTCCTCATTCCACTAAAATATTTTTGGCTCTATTCTTCTAGTTATTTGTTTATCCATTATGCTTATCACAAAAGTTGGTCTCATTATGCAGGGCGTCGAGTTTATCCTTTTTCAATATGTATTAAACATTTCCCTTAAAAATTTCAAACCTCAATAATTTATTTATATGTATCTGAAAGGCAGAGCAAGAGATCAACAAAGAGGCAGATCAAAGAGAGCTCTTAAATTAGTGGATTAACTTTCAAAATACAAACAAAAAAGTAGAGGTGGTTTAATGCCTTACAGGCCAGTGCTTTGCTCTAAAACATGATTTTTTTTTATGTTTTGTGGGGGAGCTGCGGGGGGAGGTGGCAGGCAGATTCACAGAGTGAAGGAGAGAAAGAGAAAGATCTTCCTCTTCTGGCACACTCCACAAGTGCCACCAGTGTTGGAGCAAAGCCAATCAGAAGCTAGGAGCCCAGAGTCGTAATTTTTAAAACAATATGTAATTATTACTCACTTAGGACACGCATTCTTTGTTTAACCACTTCCCAGCTATACATAGTTAAGTTTCTCAAAACAATCTGTACTAGTATAACGAATAATGAGCTTGTGATTTTAATTGTTTTCTTAGAAAATAACTTAAAGATAAAACAATGGGATCAAAGTGCATATCCATTCAGAGAACTGTGAGATGCATTACTAAGCTCCCTCCAGAGAGTTGTTCCCATTTATTTTCCACCAGTTGTATACAAAAATACTCATATTTTTAAATAGATATTTATTTAAAAATCACAACAATTGAGGGAACATTGAGAGAGGACGATCTTGCATTCACTGGTTCACTCAACAGATGACTAGAGCAGCCAGAGCTGAGTCAGACACCAGGGACTCTATCCAGGTCTCCCAGGTGGGTAGCAGAAGGAGGCCCAGTACTTGGGCCACCATCTGAAGTCATTTCAGGCATATTAGCAGAGGGAAAGAGGATGCCACAATGTCACCTAAACAGTCCCACAGTCACAATTCCTTACATCTGAAATTTGAAATGAAATTATTCCTATACTGCATTTTGGCCCACAAACACTACTTCAAAAATCTGCATCAACAGCCCTCAAGACTTCACATTCTCACATACTTTAAAGTTTACAAAGAAACTCCTTTGCATCATTTGGGTACCAACAGTCAGACCCTACAAGAACATACTCAAATCTCACATTGAAATTCACTTTCCTTCCACTGACGCCTTTGCCATCATCGACTCCAGCTCTATGAAACCATTCAAGGAACCTTGGTTAAGCAACCCCTTGGGATGAACACAGCAGAGTTCTGGGTTCTCAGCTCAGCTCTCTTTCTGATTCCAGCTGCCAGCTAAGTGGCACTCCGAAGGCAGCAGTAGTGTCCCAATAGCTAGTGCCTTACTATCCAGTGGGACAACCAGGTTAAGTCTGGGCTCCTGGCTTCAGCCTTGACCCAATCCAAGACATTGTAGGTCTTTGCAAAGTGAACTTTAGGAAGTTTTTTATTTCAATGTTTGTCCTTAATTAATCAGTTCATCTCTAGTCCTGCAAACACAGGCTATTATGGATAACAGATTTGGGGGGTGGAATTGTGATGGAGAACAACGTGGAGATGTATTAGTCAGAAACATCCCCACTCTGAGACACACACTGAGTTAGATTATCTGTTCTAACACACAGAACTGGGAGTGCAGGTGTTTGTAAGAGTGGGTGGGGATAGCACATCAACTCAGTGTGACAGATGGGGAACTACTCTAGGCTAGTGATATTCTCCAGAGAAACTATTTTACAGCCTCGAATCTGTATTGATTGCTGTCCCATGGATATAGTGGAGGACGTATTGAGGCTACTTTTCTGTGGTGATTCCCATTTGTACAGCTGCTGACAGGTTGGACAGTTCTTAGGATGGAAACTGGGAATGCAGAGTACATCATTTTATACTTGCTATGTAACCTGTACCATAATAATGTAATGTCAATCAGATTGAGTCCCATATCTGCCATGCCCAGTGTTGTCTCTGTGTTACAAAGCAGGTATGATGCCTACAAGGACACTTGCTGGACAAAGTAGATAATGTTAAGAGGAACTGATCATAAAAAATCTAGTCCTTGGTAGTTTTAGAAAGAGGCAGAATGAGACTAATGGTTAGAAAGCCAAATTGTGTAGTAAGCTTTTTCTCTCTCTGATCTCTATCTCCTGTGTGTGACAATGGTCTGTATATCTAGGAAAGGAAGTCCATCTTTAAAGGAGAAGGCACCAGATTACATTAATTTAAGATTGTATTAGTAGTGAGGTGGGCATTGTGAAGCAGGTAAACCTGCTGCCTGTGATGTTGGTACCCTGTAAGGGCACTGACTTGTAACCCGTTTTTCTATTTCTGATCCAGCTCCCTGTTGATGCACCTGGGAAAGCAGAAAAAGACAGCTCAAGTGCTTGGGGCCACTGACCATCAGAAGTAAACATGGAGGAAGCTCTTGGCTCTTGGCCTTGACAAGGTACAGCCCTGGTTGTTGCAGAATTATCTTTTCCATCTCTCTCTCCTTCATTCTGTAACTTTTTGTAAATAACCAATTTTTTTAAAACTATTGGATTAGTTGAAGCGTTTAATGCAGCCCTTTGCTTCATAAAGTTTGGATCAATACCAGATCCAAACCAAAGTAATAAAACAGATAAATGAAAGTTGAATCATGTGTTTAATGTTCTTGTATTTTGTTTTCACAAATGTGGAGTCAGTGTAGTCACTTGATTTCTGGCTGCAATAACCTTTTTCTTTCCTCCACTCTCCTCCTTGTTTTTGTTCTTTTTCTTCCTTCTCCTTCTTCCTCTTCTTATTCTTGTCTTCCTCCTCCCAACTCTTCATCCTCTTCCTCCTCTTTCTCCATCTTTTTTTTTTCCTTTCTCATTTAGGTAACCACACATTGCCTTTCTGATGACACAGTTAGCTAGAAGCCAAGCACACAGCTTCTCACCCCACCTTGAAACCACAGTGACTTTATCATTTCACAGTAGCTGTGGTCTTCCTGTCCTGGGCTGAGTGAAGGACAGCCGGAATGGACACCAGAACAGGGCAGCCTGCTCTGATTCACTTCACTAGGAAGAATGATAATCCAATGTCACAACTTCTTGGCTGTTTACTGTCTTATTTACCACTAAATGACTTCAAATGTTCTGAGTTTTATAATAATTAGAAAGATCCAGTTTAAGATTTTCGGTTCTTCTGACCACTCTCTTTATCCTTATCTTCAGAATCAAATCTATTCTATGGTCTAGTTTTATTATTTATTTGAAAGACAGACGGAAACATGTAGTACAGTGCGTTTTGCCACCACATGAAATATTAGTATCCCACACTACTTGCAGGTTCAAGTCTCAAGTTTGTGTTTTTTTTTTTTTTCATGAGATGTGACAAGAAAACCAGACTAAGGTCCCACGCACTGGTGCCTTAACACCCAGAGTGTCCACAACACCCCAAATGCCCACAACATTCAGACTTAGCCCAAGCTGAAGCTGGCAGCAGGAAGCTCACTGTAGGTCTCCCAAATGAGCAGCAGTGACCCAGCTAGTAGTAACACTTCCTATCTCTCAAGGTCTGCAATGCAGGGAGCCTGAATCAAAAGTGGAGCCAGCATGCAAAACCAGATACTCTGATGTGTTGACAAAAAATATGACTTTCCCTCCCACCACCACCACCACCACTCTCCTCTTAAAGAGGATTTTGAATGCTTCAGTCCATTTAAAGTATACATTTGTCAAAGTCACCAACTCACACCACTGCTTCTCTAAGAGTGATCCTGCAACAGTAGCATTGATGCCATCTGTCATCTCCTTATTCTGAAGTGATTGTCCATGTTGGAGGCCCAGCCCAGACTTCCATGTGGTAACACACATAGGGCTGGTATGAACAATGTTCCATAAATGCCATGATTTATAGCAGCAGAATTTATGATATCGCTGCTCTGAACTCAGAAGTCCCAAATCAAGGTGTTAATAGAACTGTCTCTTCCTTGGCTCCCAGAGAAGGAATCTGGTCTGTGTCCTTCTCCAGCCTCAAATGGCTGCCAGCAATTCTGGGTGCTTCTTGCCTTGTTGATCTAAATGGCTGCTTCTCCCTCTGCCATCACCTCACTCTTCCTCTGAGTCTCTTTGTATCTTTGCCCAGATGTTATAAGGATGAACTTTATTGTATTACTTGGTACTCACAATTCCCAGCACGGGCTCAAAACCCCGACCTAAATTGTATACAAGTTTTAAGGGCATCCATTCCAAGATATTATAATTAAATACATATATTATTCTGAACACGAAGGGAAAAAAAAGCTATATAGGGCAGAAAGATAGCATGTATCAGGTAAATGCACAAAAATTTGAACATGGTTTATGTATTACATCATAATGCTGTATCAATGCTAATTTTTCTGATTTTGATAATTGTATTTTGGTTATACAGGAAAAAACTTTTTCTTGGGAAATATCTACACAAAGGAATATGTCTTCAATTTATTATAAGTTAGATCACCAAACATGGACACGTGAAAGAGAAAGAGAATAGAGCAGGTAGGGCAAAATAAAAACAATTGGCAACTGCGGGTAAAAGTTGTGTGGGAATTCCCTGCACTACTCTTTTCAGTGTTCATTAAATTTAAATTTAACTTCCATTGCAAAGTAATTGTTAAAGATGAAGAATACTTGTAATAGTAAAAAAGTAACCACATTCTAATTCTTATTTGTGTTGTCAAGGTCAGAAGATGCAGCATGTTGAACCCATTGAAGTGGAAAAGATCCAGGCTTTATACCAGCATTGTCCAATTGGTTTCATGGATGACTCAGAGAAACAAAACAAACAAACAAAAAAAAGAATAATTCCTTGGGGCTGTGAAGAAACGGGCAATTCCTTTCCCGAAGTAAAGTTTTGCATCTGTCCTCAGGAAGAAGATGGTGTTTCTTGCTTTTATAGTTCATTCTGTTTCCACATTGGGCTAAGGAATGCATTAAAAAAAAACATGTGTTAGTAACAAACACAAATTAATACAGGAAACAAGAATATTTCAGCCTTCTAGTTTTACCTTCTAAGTACACCTTGAAGTGGGGAGAATACAATCAATGCTCTTTTCACAGATGCAACTGTAATTTTTAGAACAATGAATAGCGTCTACTCTTGTTGGGGATAAAAATGCACATTGTTCTGTCCCAGGGAATTTCATTATTGCAAAATTCCTACGGAACAGAAAATATAAAAGTCAATCCCTTAATTCTGAATTCTCCAAACACATCATTTGTGAATTTTAAAAACTGTGTTTCCTAAATTCCTGATACATAGAAACGTTAATCATAATTTCAATACCAAAAGATTTTATTCTGTGTTTAGCCCATTAAATATATTCATCCATAATCTCCCAGCTTATTCTACACTGGTAATTGATGGTTAACAGAAAAAAAATACTTTTCAATAATACTCTGAAATTATGGTATGTTAAATCTCTTTTCTTATTCCATAATTTCAATAAAAGTGAGAAATTTTCAATGAGGAAAAACTAAATTACTGAGCACATATAGTGTAAGGAACAATCCCGGACCTCTGGACATACTATAGAGCAGTGGTTATCAAAACAGTCTGGTACTGGCACAAAGACAGAAAGGAAGATCAATGGAATAGAATAGAAGCTCCAAAAGGGAACCCACACAAATACAACCAATTAATCTTTGACAAAAAGACCAATGACAACTCAAGCAAGTGGGAAGGCCTCTTTAGTAAATGTTGTTGGGACAACTGGCTGATAGCCTGTAGAAACAAAAAGATAGACCCACATCTATCACCGTACACCAAGATCCAATCTACATGGATAAAAGACCTAAACCTACATCCAGAAACCTTCAAACTCTTGCAAGAAAATGTAGGAAATACCCTGCAAGACCTAGGAGTAGGTTCCTACTTTCTAAGAAGGACACCAAAAGCAATAGCAGTTGAGAACAGAATAAACAAATGGGACCTCATCAAACTAAGAAGCTTCTGTACAGCAAGGGAAACAATCAACAAAGTAAAAAAGCAACCCACAGAGTGGGAGAAGATCTTTGCACACGATATAGGCGACAGGGGGCTAATTTCCAGGATATACAAAGAACTTCAAAACAACCAAAAAAACAAAACAAACAAGCCACTCAAGAAATGGGCACGGGAAATGGGCAAACATTTCACAAAGGAACAAGTCCAAATGGCAAACAAACATATGAAAAAATGTTCCAGCTCCCTAGCAATAAGGGAAATCCAAATTAAAACATCGATGAGGTACCACCTAACACCAGTAAGATTGGCCCACATAAACAAGAACACCAACGACGCTTGCTGGCGAGGATGTGGGGAAAAGGGAACACTACTCCACTGCTGGTGGAGCTGCAAATTGGTACAGCCTTTATGGAAATCAGTCTGGAGAACACTCAAACAACTCAAAATCTGCATACCATATGACCCAGCAATAGCACTCCTAGGAATATATCCAAAACACCTGTTTTACGACAAACCAACATGCACCCCTATGTTCATTGCAGCACAATCAGTAATTGCAAAAACATGGAAGCAACCAAAATGCCCATCAGCAGAAGATTGGATAAGAAAGCTTTGGTTCATCTACTCCATGGAATACTACTCAGCTATTAAAAAAAACAAAATGCAGTTCTTTGTGGCTAAATGGGCACAACTGGAAACTATAATGCTAAGGGAAATGAGCGAATCCCAAAAGATTAGATACCACATGTTTGCCTTGATTTAACCTGTAATTTTTTGTTTGGTCGTTTGTTATTTTTTGAACCTGTCATTGATACTGTCTCAACCCAGATGTTTCGAAGAATGGAACTTGCATTATTTTTAACATATTGTTTACCCAATACTATGTCAATTAATTCCATAATGTTGTATATTGATACTGAGGCCTTGTTGGGGCTTTTAACTGACCGGATCTTTACTCTGTTAGACCTATCTTCAGACCATAGAAGGTCTCCCCAAGAGGCCACTGAACTTATCTGGACAATAAGACGCTGAACTTTATGCTAGGCATGTGTTTGCAAGCAATGAATCTCAACTGAACTTGAACTATGGTTATGCAACAAGGTGGAGGAATCCACCATGGGGGGAGGGGTATGGGAGGGGTGGGGGGAATCCCCAGCGCCTATAAAACTGTACTACATAATACAATGTAAGCAACAATTAAAAAAAAATAGTTCAGAGATTAGAATGATTAATCCTTTCACTGTTTTTATTTCTTTGCCTTCTCCATCTCCTAGACAGACTAATTACACAAAGGAGTTACAATTGAATTTAGGAGGATGCATAGAAACCACATTTAAGGGTGAGAGGGGAATAACTTGCTATGTCAGATGGCACAGTCACTTCATCTCTCAGACTCACGATTGCATTTCAGCTTGCAATACATAAAACATCCTGCATGTATTTAGTATACCTTTATCATTAATAACTCCATATGACACTTCTCCTTTGTCTTTGCTTCCCAAAATGCTTTCTTACTCTTATGCTTACCAGTGAGGACTACTCAAAGTTAAGTTAAACTGTGTGATGTGAAAGATGATTCTTTCTAGACATAATCCTTCAAACTCCTACATCAAAGTTAATGTTTGAACACACACCAGAAACTTACATTCCAGGTGAGAAACCATCATCAACCCATTTCCATTTTTTCTCCTTTTGGTCATACAACAGTCCAATCCAGTAATTATTACCATCAGTGTGCGACGTAATGAATGTCTATAAAGGAAACAAAACGTATGAGAGAACTAAGTTCCCATCTGCTGCATGAATGTGAAGAGGCACAGGGGCGGGGACAAGCTGTGCCTCAGGGCAGGACCCTGCCATTCTCCACACCTCCTTATCTCTGCTTCTTAGAAATATCTCTTATCCTTCACACATCTATTTTTAATTTCAAAGTAGCTTTCCCATAGCAGACTATATATGTGAAAACCGTCTATGAGTTTCCTGGATTATTTAAAACATGAAAGACTTTAAAATCAAACCATGTACTAACAAGAAATCACTTAAATAATTTGACACTTAAGTGAATTATTAAGTTCACACTCCAAAACAATATGTAATGTGATAGAGAATGGATCAATTCATGATCCTAAACAAAGGGGTCTTCAAAATAAATTTCTTAAAATAAAGACTTTGTGTAAGATAGTACAATCAGTTTCCAGACTCACAAGAAAAATAAATAATAGTTTAATTTAGTAGATGGGAGCGATAAAAGGAAGAGAAGCAGTATTTCCAAGTATTAAATATGTCTAAAATGCAATAGGTTAAAAGTGATACATTACATAAATGCTGATGATTAAAATGTAGGTTTAAATTTATGTTTTAGGAAGAAGAAATAAAAAATTTGGAAACAATGATCACATCCACTTTTCCCTACTCCTCTATCTTTCCCACCCTGATCAACTATGTAAATATCATCTAAAATTTAAAAATTAAATGTAATAAATACATTATTGTTTTACCAAATAAAAAATTAGTCACTAGTTAGGAAATTATTTCATGATTTGATATCATGAATTCAACTTCAGGCATTTGTTATTTTTGCATATATTTGTAAGTCATTTTTCTAAACGATAGAGATTTCAGGCTGATGTTGGAAAACATGTCTAAAGAAACACACTTTGTATTTTTCTTATTAATACATTAAAAAGGCAACCTCAAGGCCAGCATTATGGTGTAATGGGTTAAAACACCAAACTTTAGTGGATGCTGGTATATGTGGTATATGTTCAAGTTGATTTACTTTTGATCCACTTTCCTGCTGATGACCTGGGACAAGCAGAGGAGGATGGCCCAAGTGTTTGGGTTCCTACCACTGCCACGGGAGACCTAAATGAAGTTCCTACATCCTGACTTCTGTCTGGGCAGACCTGACCTTCACAGCCAAGTGGGAAGGGAATCAACAGATAGATCTCTCTCTCTCTCTCTCTCTCTCTCTCTCTCTCTGTCTCTCTCTCTCTCTCTCTCCCTCTCTTTCTCTCTCTCTCTCTCTCTCTCTCTCTCTCACACACACACACAGTCTCTTCCTATCTCTCTCTCTTTCTCTCTTATTCTCTGTGTGCGAGTGCTTTTCTATAACTGCATTTCACATAAAGAAATCCATGTTAAAAGGCACATTTCAATATTGCTGCCTCTGTATTTTCTCTTCTTACAATTTTTGAGGATATAGATCTTGGTATTATAAGATTATTGAGCAATTAAATGTGATATATAAATGCACTAAAATCAATGCAAGGCTACTTTGTATAACTGATATCACTTTAATACTGCTTATTATCATCTCTAGTGATAGATGGGCTCAGCAGAATTAAGTAATCCATTGAATATCACCCACCACCAACTGGCAGAGCTGAATTTGACCACAGACACTCTGACTGCTGAGTTCCTGGTAGTAACACCTATGCTGCATCCCCTAGGCTAAACTTGCCACCCTACAGGGATAGATTTAGGGATAAAAGGAACCAATAGGCAAAGGTAAGACTAATTGCAGCATCAAAAATGTACATACTTCCTTGTAATAGTCACTACTGCAGGCTCCTGGAGAAGGGAGAGGATTACAGACTTCCCCTATAATATTGTTAAAGATGACTATCATAACAAATAATATACTTTAAGCAGTTGATAAGTACCTTAATCATATGCTTATTAGCAAACAAAATGTCCTGGGAGATTCCTAGCTGTACAGTCATGACAGTCAGACAACAGACATGACACAAAGAACACTTGAAGACCCCTCTTTCTGCATGACCCCTCCTTTCTCAGTATCGCAGGTTGTAAAGTGAGACAGTTAATGACAATGAGAATAAAAGGAAGAATCCATGATACCTTTTCCTGCTCATTGTCTATCTTCAAAAGTGAGGAGCTGTAGTTCTGGCAAGTTTGTTTACATTGCTGCCAGTTTTTCTTTTCCTCTTCAAAATAGTAGCAATTGAGTCCATGACAGGACCAGTAACCATTACAGCTTTTACCTATAACACATAGAACCAATTGTTATATTTTTATTATATGATCTTCTAGTAATCAGAGCAATATATTAATCAGCCCTCCATAATAAACTCAAAGGTTCAAGATCTCTCTATGATAATAGTAGCAACAATATGAGGATCTCCATGGTTCAGGAATGCCAAGAGATACCTGCACTCCCATGTTCAAGACAGCGTGATCCTCAATAGCCAAGAGATGGAGACTACCTAGACATCCACTGATGGCTGAATGATGTGGAACATACATACATACAATGGAATTAATAATTAAAGAAGTACATTCTATTATATGTGACAGCATGGAGAAAACACAGAGGACATTATGTGTGAGGAGCAGAGTCTAGGGGTATGAGGTATAACACAGTGCTTCTGATTAACAATGTTGTACACTCAACATCGAAGACAGCTGATGTCGTGGTAAGTGTTCTTATGAAAAAATAAATATAGAAATCAGCAAATAAATATTGGGAGTCAATGATTATGTCTATTATTACTATTATGATCATGCTATCATGCAATGCTTATGTCCAACTTATCAAAGTACATGTATTTAATCTATAATGTTTCTCTATCCAAAAATGTTTATAATTCTACCATGCTTTATAACTTAGGAATATATTTTCAAACCTTTCTTTCCTTTTGCATATTTATATTTGTAGCATTACAATAATTTGCAGGAAGTATATATGAGTGCACTTCAATAAGATCATTGAAAATAGAATTAAGTTCAAGCTTATTTTGGGTACAAAACATTTTTGACTTAATGTGCATTCTGCATGAATTTAAAAATTATCTTGGTACTGGTGGTCAAAAATACACACATGGGAGGTCTAGATACACACCCACACACAAACACACACAACGTATCTTCATAACAGCATTCAGAATTAAAACTCTGTGTCTTTTGTAGGTCAGTTATGCTTTTTTCTTAAAGCTTTCATATTTTGTGTGAGCCACACCCTAATCCTCACTAGACCAAATCATCTGACTATCCTGGTAGTAACAGGGCAGCAAGAATTGCCATTTTATTTTGGGAGTGACAAGACTCTACTAATCCAACTATGATTCCAAGGATTCCCAAATCCCATATTTGAAACAAGAAAACCAGACCATCCACATTTCATCTGAAAGACACAAATTGAAAGTTGTCCAGTAGACCCAAGTCACTGAGGGCAAGCCTGCATATAAGACTAAAGAAAGGGGAATGCAAAGCAATACAAACTTTCACTCCACATTCCTTCCATACCTGGATCTGTACAACATCTAGTCTGTTTTGAAAGGAATGACTCCGGTGACTTTTGCTGTAGAAGGGTTCGATTTCTGAGAACATCACATTCTAAAGTCTTGTTTGCCAGAAGTTGCTCCTTCAAGTACTCACTCAGACTGAGATTTGCTGAAATTTCTTGCTGTTGATGTTTTTCTTGAATTAACTGGAAAACTAATATTTGAGACATAAATATCATAAGAAAATGCACTCGTGGAGATCAAACAGTGAAATTAAAGACTTTAGAAAAAGTCTCACTTCAACAACCAACTGTACTCATTAGTTCAGTAATTTGGCATTAGAAAGTCACACCTCGATGAACTGACCACAGTGATGGAAACATCACATTTCTCACTCTTGGCAACTTAAGGGCAGAAAAGCAAAATACCCAAATGAGATTATGATGGCTAACACCATAGCTTACACGCTGGTTTATTTTTAGCCGTATTTCACTTACAAATACCTAGCACCTTAAAATTCAGTTCGTTAACATTTACCAATTCATCATCTGTAGATAAAGACCTAAAGTAGGGGGCAGATGCTTGTCCTTGGGGTTAGGATGCCCCATAACTCACATCAGAGTCCCTGGATTCAATCCTGGCTCCTGACTCCAATTCCTGGGAGCTGATGGGCATCTGTGATGACTCAAACAGTGAGTTAGTGCCACCAACATGGAGCACCGGGTTTATGTAATTCCAAGCTCCCAACTTCAGCTGCAGTCATCTAAGTAGTGAACCAACAAATCAAACTTGATTAATGTTTTTTCTCTGTCTTTCTTCTCTCTCTTTCCTTCTTAATCTTTCTTCTTAACTTTCTCTTCTTTCTTTCTCCTTTTTTGTTTCTTTCTTTTGTTCATTCATTTTTTTTCCTTTTCTTCCTTCTTTCTTTCTCTCATTCTCCCTTTGTAACTCTCTTTCTTTTACTTTCTTTTTGTTTTTTCCTCCCGGTTTCTTTCTGGTTTCTTTTCTCCATCATTTCTCCCTCTGTGCATATCTCTGTTTCCCTTTTGTTCTTCCTCCCTATCCTTCCTTTCCTTCTTTCTTTCTCTATTTTTTTCTTTTTTCTTCCTTCCTTCCTTCCATCTTTGCTTCTTTATTTTCTGTCTATCCAAAATTAAACAGAAAGAGGAAACCTATTTGAACTGAACAACTTTGAAGATAAAGCACAATTATTATTGGAATAGCTATAACATCTGAAAATAGGTGATATTATCTAAATGTGGTAGATCCATTTTGATGTAAAAACATTTGAGGCAATACAAATACAAGATAAAGTTTAAATTCAACATCAGTGTGTATGTATGCTTTCATTCTTCTTACTATTTTCTTATTACGTATTTTAGAAAAATTTGAAAAAAGGAGACCAAAGAATGCTTCTCTCAGACTCACAATAATCTAAACTCGATGGCAGAATATCACAAAGTTATCAACCAAAAGGAGTATTACCGTGTGCTATACAGATTATAGAGGCTTCAGAATAATACAGATTATTTGTATCCTCAGAATCAGTAGACTAAGTAAACAAAATGAAATGCCACTGTGACATGTCCTAGAAAACAATTACCAACAAGGGCCATTACCTTGGCTTAGCATGTAAAGCCACTGCCTGCAGGACCAGCATTTTATAGCGGCGATGAATCGAATCCCTTCTCACCCCCTGCTATCCAGCTCCTTACTAATATGTCTAGGAAAGCAGTGGAGGATGGTTCAAGTGCTTGGGCCGCTGCACCCATGTGGGAGACCTGGAAGAAACCCCTGGTAGCAAACTTTAAACTGGCACCAGCTTCCAATGGTTGACATTTGGTGTCTGAACAGATGAGATGGATGAAAGATCTCTCTCTCTCCTTCCTTCGTGTGTGTGTGTGTGTGTGTGTGACTCTGCCTTTGAAATAAAATTAAATACTGCCAAATCAGCTTTTGAAGTTTTATTTTATTATTTTTATTGCAAAGTCAGATATACAGAGAGGAGGGGAGAGAGAGAGGAAAATCATCTCTCGGATGATTCACTCTCCACGTGACCAAAATGTCCAGTGCTGTGCCGATCCAAAGCCAGGAGCTAGGAGCTTTTTCTGGGTCTCCCACGTGGGTGCAGCATCCCAATGCTTTGACCTGTCCTCAACTGCTTTCCCAGGCCACAAGCAGGGAGCTAGATGGAAAGTGGAGCTGCCGGGACTAAAATCAGCGCCCATATGGGATCCCGGCGCATTCAAGGCCAGGACATTAGCCACTGGCCCATCAGCTGGGCCAGCACAATCATTTTTTTAATCCCCAATAAAATTCAGAACTTTCAAATGTTCTAACAGGGAGCATTATTTAAATATCTGCACATGTGATTCTACAATTCCGAGAAAGATCTGTTTCCATTACTCACTCATTGTCACCAACATTGTGATCGTCATCAAGAGAAGTAAAGACAGGATTCCAAGACTCACTGCAATGCGATGCCAGGGCACTGCAAACTCTTTGAAGAGAAAACTAAGAATTAGCAATGAAAACGCCTACCTATTACTCACCTTATCCAGGGACATGGTTAAAAACAAAGGAAACACGGTCACAAATTTTACAAGACTATATCTTACAAAATGATTTAGATTTTTAATCTGGAAACTGCAGCTTTACATTTTATGTTTTCTGGCTGATACAAACTGTTTCTAGAAATGGCCATGAACAAGATGGTTCTCCAAAGTTTCAAAATTATGTCCCATAAAGAGGCACCAACGACATAAGGCATCTGGGAGAGTGTAAAGTGGCGCGTGCAGTCTTTGCTGTGATCAAGCTAATCATGACAAGAACAAAGCAGGCGATGCTCTTGACAAAGTGGTCACCACCAGAGAATATTCTGATTTGCAGACATGATCAGCGTCCATCCTCACAGAACTTTCTAGAAATCCACTTTCCTTTCCTCACTGTCAATTCTGCACTTCAGTAGGCAATGGTGTATGCATCTTATTGTTTTGGTGGTCCTCATTGTTGGATAAATTGCGCCTATGATGATCACTAAACTGAAACACTACAGGTTATTCTCAACGAGGAGTTAAATAATGACCAGAAAAATCAAAATTTTCCTTCAACGCAAATAGTGTGAATCATGGTGGCCCTTCAGTTTATGTATGTGTGTGTGTGTGTGTGTACCTAAAGTCTTTCTTGTTTGTATAATAACATTGTTTAAATGCTTATTTCTATATTAAACATCTAATACATTTGTTTCTCTAAGAAATGCTAGGCTTTTTTTTTCTAAATCCTATTCTGTTCTTTGCTTTTAGACACCTCACAAACTATCCTTGGCCAGATTTAAATAAGCATATTCTATTAGTACTCATATTTCTGAAAGTGTATTAATGTCCTCATCCTCTCAGTTTCTTGTAAGATCATTTAAAAAAATTATTAAACAAATAATAAAGTAATTCTTCCAGGTTAGCCAGCTCCAGTTTACTTTTATAACTGGAATTAATGGCCAGAAGTGCATATAAGATTGTTTTTAAACCTCTAGTTTATCAATCCATGACATCGCATGAATTTGGATGCTCAGTTAGTATAACCTGGGGTGACATTATGATACAGGAGGGGTTAAGCTATCGCTGGCAACACCGACACCTCATTTTGCTCTGGTTCAAGTCTCAGCTACTCCAATTCCAACCGAGCTCCTGGCTAGTGAACTTAGGGAAGCAGAAGATGGCCCAGGTACTTGAATGCCTTCCATCCATGTGGGAGACCGAAGTGTTTGCCCAAGCCTCTAGTTTGACCAGACTCCAGCTGCTGCAGCCATTTGGAGAGTGAACCAGTCACTGAAAGATCACTTTCTGGTTTTCTCTTTCTCTCCTTGTAATTCTGCCTTTCAAATAAAACAAGTAAAGCTCAAACATAATATACATAAATACCTTTCTTGGCAGATTTCCCAGGCCTTCTGGTGCCATCAGGCCTTAATCTCTTCTGAGATTCTGAGGCAGACTGGAGAATTCTCACAGATGAGTAAGTCACCTGCTCCTGATCACCCATCTTCAGAAGAAAAGAAATGTTTGTGCAACAACTCTTTACAATACAATGATTTCTAAAGAAATATCCAAAGAGCAGCCCACAGGAACATACAAGGACTTGATGCTGAGAGGTCATTTTATGTGTGTGTCTGTGAATATCTGTGTACCTGTGTTTATCTGCTCCAGTAAGTGCTTAAAGCATGTAGACTGAATTAATGTATACAACAAATGGAAATGCTGTCATATATCCATCAAAATCATTTATGATCATCGGGACTATTGCCATCAATATCAGAATCTATAGAAAGAATTGAAGGGACTGCTAGTATATTATTATACTATTTACTCAGCTATCTTCACTTACAATATTTAGCGTACATATAAAAAGATTGGGCACAATCAGTGCCTTCTCATATCTTGGTGGCATCGTTAAAAAAAATAACCTAAAGCATCAAAAATTCTATATTCTGTAAAACTATATGTATGTTAGTTTAAAAAAATACATACCTTACTAGACATATAACTGTTTTAAAAGTTCTTTCTTTTCAGTTATCAAGAGTCAATCAGAGAGCTTCCCGCAGTATATCTCATACATTATCTTTACATGATTTTGAGGGGTGATTATTAAAAAAAGGATAACATTTCAAAGCCCAGGGCCTTACACAAAAGTAAAAATATTACAGGTTCCCCTTTCTAAAATTGCCATAGAAACCTTTGTGAAAAATTATGTCAATAAGCTATTCATCAATTAATGCCTATCAGGATACAACCTAGTATCAATACCAATGAAGTAAGAAATCATAAATGGCAAAATTTTTAAATTCACCTTGATTCCTACACTAATCAGAAAGAAAATATGATATCAAAGGAAGTTCAGGAAAAAGTGTAAGTATAATCTTTTATATGCATTATCAATTTACATAATTTTATATGCTAAACTATTCACATTTTTTCAAACATCCTATTAATAGTAGACATTTTTACTCCAGAACTTTTTACACTACTCCTTTATGGATGGATAATACATAAATCATTTGCGTCAAATTAAAAGTAACTCCTCAAATCTGTCTTCTTTAAGTGGTTAACTCAGAGCATACGGAGACAGAGACAACAAGTTTCCATGAACACTAACTACAATTTATACATCCTTCAGGGTTCACGCTATTGTAATACAACACAGAGGGAATTCTCTCCTATAAATGTCATGCCACGTTACTTGAAATTAAGCACTATATTCCTAGAATAAGCAGAATTAATAGGATAATCATATTGAAAGACCACGGGAATCAAAGCAGGTGTTACCTGGATCTATGCCGTGTAATGAAGCAGGTGGAAGCACTGGACCCCAATAGAACAAGACGCAGGCCACTGCAGTCCCACAGCTCTTGGGGGGCTCTAAGAGGAGAAGTGAGGTGTCTGAAGGATGAAACTCCAATTCAAACGTCCTGCCCCTCTTGTTGAAACAGTGGTGAGAGGAAACCATATGCTGAAAGCTGTTGTTTACAGGAAAGGGAGGATGGTCATGAGCTGCATCTGCCTCCATTTCAATAACCAATCACTTTGTCCTGCTTGCAAAGCAGCATCGAAAATCAGAATTTGCGAACTGAAGAGAGAGCAATTAAGGTTCACGAAAACAGGATAATGCCTTTTAACAAACAGGTAACACATATAAAAGAAACCGTTTTTCAGTGGATGCATAAAAGTATACCCATATGCAAATATGGTCACAATTCGATACCTTAGCACACTTTAAAATATTTTCCTTTCCTTGGGAAACATTGTTTAAATATTTTCCTCTTGGGCCCCACAGCTTGGCCTAGTGGCTAAAAGTCCTCGCCTTGAAAATGCCCAGATTCCATATGGGCTCAGGTTCTAATCCTGGCAGCTCCACTGCCATCCAGCTCCCTGCTTAGGAATGTAGTTGAGGACAGCCCAAAGCTTTGTGATCCTGCACCCATGTTGGAGACCTGGAGGAAGTTCCTGAATATTGGCTCCAGATTGGTACAGCAATGCCTGTTGCACTCACTTGGAGAGTGAATCATCGGATGGAAGATCTTTCTCTCTATCTCTTCTTCTCTCTGCTTATCTGACTGTGTAATAAAAATAAATAAATCTTTAAAAATATTTACCTCTTTTTTGGTCTCAAGTTGATAAATTTTGCATTTGCTGACTCAGTCTTCATACACCCATAGTAGTTTTAGTGGGGCTAGGTAGAACCCACTGTACCTTTGCATACAGTACCACAATGTCTATACTTAAAACAAGAATTCAAATATATATATATACCATTACTGCCAATATAAACATTACTCCCTTAACTTATTTAACCCTTACCCTACAACTGTACATCTAAATTTTTTCCAGGCTTTTGCTAATATAAAAAAAAAAATATCTTTGTCCTTTGCTTTCCAGTGTTGTTTTCTTAGGACATTATTTTAAACATAAAATTACAATGCTAAATGGTATTACGCATGTAATGACTGACGATACAGATTATCAAATAACCTTCAGAAAAATTGTCCCCCTCTATATTATACCAGTTGTGCATGACAATATTCACATCTGACTGTTTAAAAAACATATTTATTTAAATACAGTAACAGAAATAAAGGAAGAGATGAGGGGCTGAACTTAGCATCCACTGATACAACCCAAGTTGAACCCATCCAGATCTCACACATGGATGGCAAGGGCCCAGGTGTATGGTATATGACCTTCTGCTTTTTCAAGCACATTAGCAGGGGGTTAGAGGGCAAATACAGTGCTGGCATCTCAGATGGCGACTTAAATCAGAACACTGGATTTTTAAGAATATTCTACTTGAATTGTTCACATGTCTTAATTCTAATACTGTTCTCAAAACACATTCTGCAAGTTCTCACTTTTTTTTTAATCATTGGTTCTTATTATGGAGCTTTCAAATGTATAAGATACTTGATATACATATATTTACTTATGATCTCAGGCTCAATTTTTTTCTTAATTTTCAAAAAAATGATTAAAACTAAAGAGAATAGATTTCCAGTATTGTATAGGTATGATACTTTAGAAAGTGAGCCAGATGTAAAAGCTCTCCCCCCTCTATCAATTTATGTGTTTTAGTTAATCAATTAATAAGCAGTTCTTCAGGTCAGAAGATTGCTGTTAGTGTGGTGATGAGAGTGAGGTGAACAGCAGGGGAAATATATTATCCTTGCTTATTCCTAGATTTGAATCTAACCCAGCAACAAAATGTCAAACAAGTCATTCAAATTCTCCAAGGTTAGGTTTTTTGCCATTTTCAGTGAGACCTTCCCCCATAGCTCACATCGAGGCTTCTGTCCAGTGAGGCAGTGCCTGCAGGCAGGGTGGTTGTGGAAATGTTATGTATTATAATGAAGCCCTCTTAAGGATAAACCTTTGTAAGACTGAATTTCCTTGCCAGATCACATCTTGATACATGATCCTGTGATCTTTAACCCTGGCCCACATTCGTTTCATCCTCCTTGCGTTTCCCCTTCCTGCTGTATTGAAGCAGCAGACCCATTACAGATTGCCATTCATCTTACTGTTGAAGCACCATAAGCCTCTGTCATACATATTACCAATCTTTAGTGGTTCCTTTATAGCAATAAAAAACCATACTGTCAGTCTCCTCATATTATGCCGTCCATAGGTGGATCCCTATCTGTTATCTGTATTGCGACGTTTTGCTATGCCATGTCCTGGTATCAGCTACAGGGCGCTTTGCGGACCAAGTACAAAGAGTTCAGAGGACTGACCACAAAATCTAGGTTTGGGAAAAAGCTTTAGAAGAGGCAGATAAAAAATTAATTATTAGAAATCAAACTGTATAATTACTCCCTCTAACACTTTTTGTTCTTAGCAGACTTCTGAAATTCTGGAAAGCAAATTTTTCTCTCATGAAGCAATCATCACAAGGATAACAGCAGCTTAACATGGGATTAATCAAAGAATGAAATCGGAAGTGATACTTTATCATAGTCACTGTTAATAAAACAGAAAGAGAAAAAACTTTTAGGGATGTTATTATATTTTTAATAAATACAAAATATATCACTTGGTTTATTATAATGAATAATAGATGAGCAGCAATAATTTCAAAGGACCACAGAAAGTTATTAAAAAAAAAAGATTTACCTATTTTTTTTTTTTTTACTGGAAAGGCAGATTCACAGAGAGAAGCAATAATAGAGAGAAAGATCTCCCGTCTGCTAGTTTATGCCCCAAGAGACCACAAAGGCTGGAACTGAGCCAGTATGAAGCCAGAAGCCAGCAGCTTCTTTGGGTTCTCACTGCTGCTTTCCCAGGCCATAAGCAGTGAGTGGATGGGAAGTAGAGCAGCTGGAACACAAACCAGTACCCTTACAGAATCACAGCACTTGAAAAATAAAGATTTAGCCATGGAGGCATTGTGCTGGGCCCAGCATTTATTTTTCTTTTGATCTCATGTCAGCTGCTTCCAGAATGGGATTTTTCATGAGATTTCATATTTGTTAAAAGATTAGTCTGTTAGGATGCTTTGACAATATTATAACAGTCTCTAAGCTAGCTGAGGTACCTGGACAAGTCTTGTTTGATTTCATCCACATGCCAAGACACGTGAGGTTTTCTTACAAGATTGCAGGCAGTTGAGGTTGAAGGAACACAGGAATGACATGGAAAGCAGCAGACGGGAAAGACTACGCCTCTCACAACATGAGTGGACAGCGGGACTCCCAGGGCTACATGTGCACAAGACTGTGTGAATGCCACATAAAAAGGGCAGTCCTGTACCCTCAGTTTCGTCTGTAACATGGGTTACAGGGCAAAACTCTGGGTGGCACGATGAAGGCATGCAGGGACTGAGGGTGGGGCGAGGCTAGGCAGACAGAAGTGAAGATGGTCATGTTCCAGGACAGTGTGCTGGACACAGCTGCAGCATTGCCAGCATAATCAAAGATGGGGAGGTGGCCTGAGGGCATGAAGACTGACCAGGCAAAGATCGTTTCATGATGACAGGGTCTATGAGGGTCTGCAGTCCTGGGGAAAAACCACAAGTGAAAGTGATAAAAACCAGAGCATTCTTCAGCTCAGCCCACCAGATGTACCCACTCTTCTTCTGTGCTTCAGTGAGATGGAAGGAAGCATACCCAATCAATGAAGGGCCCGCCCAGGTCCAAAAAGCCATAGAGTGCCATAAGACGCTTGTCTATTTACCAGCCAATAACCACAAAGACACAGATGCTGCACAATGGTGTTTGCCACACTGGGCCAAATGCCACAGCCCAACGTTGAGATTTCCTGGCACAGATCTTTTTCTGGAATGCGTCCATGAACCTCTGGTCCACATAGTCATCACCAAAGACCTAAGACCCCTGGCCTCCTTAGGATCAGTCCCATCATCCTTTCTTGCGGTCAGGTCAGTTCAGTTTCCCTGATAGAAGTCCATGTTTCCTCATTCTTTATGAAGTGACCACGCCTATCCTCTTAGGCAATTCTGTGCTCTACTGTGGACGACAGCTTACTTGCCTTTCTTGGCTTTCAAAGTTAGCAACCCAAGCTAGGTCTGTTGAGATGAATTTGCTCTTTGAGACAGGACAGCAGAGTCATTTTCCTTATGTTTTCCATCAAGACTGTAAATGGTTCTGTTCCACCAACCTGAGCCCCTGCAGCTGGCCTCACTGCATTAGGCACCCTAACCCAGGTTTCTCACAGCTACAACCTTGCAAAACAACTGGTGATGGAAAAAATAATAATAATAAGACTCACAAACAGGATCAGAGACTTAGAGACTTGACCAGATTGGGCTGAGGTGAGCTGGGTGGAATCCATAGGGTGTCCTAGGCACCCTGCTTACCCTCCAGGCATCCGGTACCTACCACCTTTCATCCAGCCTTGGGCCAGTGAGGGACAAGAGGAGTGGGGGGAAACCCAGAAGCACAAAACACTGCATCCCAAATCTGGAGAACATGAAACACTGCCTCTCAAATCTGGAGATGTACAGTAGTCACTGGTCTTTGTGGTTTATTTTCTGGTGGAAAAAAGGTGTTTGTTTCTTTTTTTTCTTTTTTTTAAATTTGGGAAACCACATATTTTCCTTTCTGATGACACAGTTAGCTAGAAGCCTAGCACACAGCTTCTCGCCCCATCTTGAAACCTCAGTGGTTTTATTGTTTCACACTAGCTGAGGGTCTTCCTGTCCTGGTCTGAGTGAACGACAACTGAATAGCCACCAGCATGCAGGGGAGGATGCTCTGAGTCATTTCATCAGCAAGAATGGCCCACCCAGGTCCCCACCTCCTTGGCGATTGGCCTTAAAGCCTCTTATGCCACTGGATGCCCTTAGGGTAACAAGTAGACATCTCTAGTTGGAGATCTTCTGTCCCTCTAACTATTCTATTTATCTTTATCTTTACCATCAAAGCAATTCTCATGCTCTAACTTTACGTGATGATGATGTTTATTTGAATGACCAAGGGGACCCTGTAGCACAGTGAGCTAAGCTACCGCCTGCAATACTGGCATCCCATATTAGGTGTAGGTTCGAGATTCAGAAGCTCTGCTTCTGATGCAGCTTCCTGTTATCATGGCCTGAGCTGGCACCAGAAGATGGCCCAAATACTTGAGTCATTGCCACCACTCAGGAGACTTGGTGACAATTCAGGTTTTCTGGCTTCTGAAATTTCCCAAATGCTTGCTATAGCTTTCTCAGAAGGTTAAAAACCACTATTATCAATAGAATTGTATTTTCGATCCCAGGCTCATGTGCTGGGTGTAATTTTCATTCATAAATACTTACTGACTCGCTACTGAGAGAAGATATTTATTGCACTCAAGGAAAACAAAGATAAATGCTAAGACCTATAGAAGCATAGACTAATGGAAAATGAGGGGAAAAGGCATTTAAAGTGCATGCAAAGCATGAACATCAGTAAAGAGAGAAGAAAACAAATCACATTCCTTTTGGATAATTTAAAACAAAAATAAATGATAATCAAATCATAATTACAAAAATCATAGAAAAGTGAAAAAAAGAAACCAATAGATACAGAAAAGAGATTACTAGGATGTAATCCAAGGTAGATGAACAGGGACACGAAGGCAAAAGACACTCATATCTAATACACAGAGACAAGTATGATGAGCAGACACAGGCCAGGTATGCAGAAGGACATGCCTAAAATGAAACATTGCCACTACTAGCAACGTGATGGAAAAACAGAAAACAAAATCAGATGCAGTTACAGCCAGATCCATCCAGTTCCAGATATCTAATCCAATGCAATGAGAAGGCCACTGATGACTAAAGGACAAATTCATAAAACGTGGGACTGACTTCCTCTTAGCCCAAAGAACCAAAGTGCCAGACACTTTCCTCTTCATGGCAACCCTATTCAAGGACCCCCCCTACAATGGGAGCTTTCCATGGTTCAACGCATTTGCTTCTCTGCTCACCACTCTTTGTCTGTGCTCCTCATTCTTGTGGTCGTGGGACATGAACCTGAACAGCCAAAACGATTGACTCTTAAAACACTATTCCCTTGACACAGTTGGTATAAATAGAGCACTTCATCCCCAAAGGACAACATGCATTGTTCTCAAGGACATGTAGAACATTCATCATGATAGCCCACCTACCAGAACATATAACAGGTACTGGCAAATTATAAATTAGACAGAATTTTAGGGAAAATTGTACCAATAGCTAAATGTATGTGAAAAGGACAGAAAAAGAGGTAAGGTTTAAATTATGAAGGCAGAAAGAGGGAAAGAGTTAACTTCACAGTAGGAAGAAAGAAAAAAACTGAAGATTAAAAAAATGAAATTATAAGAGACAAGATATGACATCATAAATGATATTTTTGTTGGCATTCAGAGTATGTCTTTCAAGAAACTATAATTGCTAACATCTCTTCCCTTGAATGTAGTCTTTTTAAGCAATAAAATGTTTAAAAATGTCAATAAGTCAAGAGGAGGTCATCAGGCTGTGCCCTAACATAATGCATGTTCTTCTTAGAAGAGGAAGCCATGTGTGGAGACAGACACACATGGGGAGAATGTGATGGGATGGCAGATCCAGAAATGAAAGGAGGCATCTAAAGGCCAAGGATAAATAGAGGCCACCATCAGGTGTCAGAACGTGTGGGGGAAGATAACACACAGTCACAAAAGGTATGCATCCCTGTCATCATGGCTTTGAGCTCCCTTTTTAGAAGATATTTATTTATTTGGAAGACAGAGTTACAGAAAGGAACAGAAGAAGAGAGCATACACAGTATAAAGACACCAAAGTAATACAGTAGAGGAAGGAAAAGTCTTTGCAGCAGTGTGAAAACAACTGCAAGTCATCATGGAATAAATATAATCCTCTATTCTTTCTCAGGCACAAAACAGCTTGGAATGGATACAAACCATTCATGCATTTTACGACTATAAAACTCTTAAAAACAAGCTGTAGAAAATTAAGGATATATCAATGTAGAAATGCCAGGTACCACTACACACTCACCAAATTGGTTATAATTGATAAAGATGGGAGTAAGTGGAACTCTGCTTTGTTGTTACAGGAAAAGTAAATGATATAACTACAATGAGAATCCATCCAGAAATTTCTTATTATCAAATTAAACATGCACTTACCTAATAGCCAAAAATTAGACTTCTAGATAGTTACTAAAAATAAATGAAAACATTTCCCCTTACTGCAACTTGCACTTAGATGTGCACAGCAGCTTTATTCACAATAGCCAAGTGAGAAACACTCAAATTTCCCTAAGTGAAAGAAAAAAACAGTAGTAGATTTGCATAATAGACAACTAAATAACGAAGAGCAGCCACTTGTGATACATCATAATGCCACTAAGTAAGTATTTTTAAATTTTTTTTAAAAAATTTTATTGGAAAGGTAGATATACAGAGAAAAGGAGGTACAAAGACAAAAACCTTCTGTCTGCTAGTTAGCTCCTGAAAATGGCTAAAAGGTCCAGACTGAGCTCTGATGCAAAGCCAGGAACCAGGAGCTTCTTCCAGATCTCTCACATTGGTGCAGGTTCCCTAGGTTTTGGACCATCCTCAATCGCTTTCCCAGGTCAAAAGGTGGATGAGAAGTGGAGCACCTGGGACACAAACCAGCACCCAGAAGGGATCCCAGCTCTTGCAAGGCAATGTTTTAGCCAGTAGGACACCGTGCCAGTTCCAGATAAATACTTACTTGTGCACAAAGTCTAAGTTGATGGCCTTTTTAAAACAATACCAAAATCAAAAAGAGAAAGAAATTCTAAACAGCTACTCCAAATCAGGACATCTTAGATATCATGATTAATACCTAGATATCGTGTTTAAGACTATCAGAATAGTGGAAAACATTTGAAAATGGTTTCTAGATTAGATCACAACACTGCACCAATGCGAAATTCCTTAATTTTGGTCCTCATGGCATGGTGATATAAAACAAAGTTCTGTTCTTGGGAACTATTTAGACATGTAAACATAGTATCTTCAATTTATCTTCAGATGTCTAGGCAATGAGACAAAGCAAAGGGGAAGAATTCAATGAATTGAGCACAGTACAAGCAATAATTGTGAGTAAAAAATATGCGGCATTTCCTTGTACCTCTTCTTCAAAAGTTTGACCTGTTTAGATGTAAATTTCATAGCAAAATAATCCTTAAAGTTGATTCACGCTCCTGGGTAGTTCAAACAGAGCTCTGTTCCCATTCTTCCCTGTGCTCTCCAGGTTACATGTTACTGGCTTGCTCTACGGCCATACCACCCTGAACGCGCCAGATCTCGTCTGATCTCGGAAGCTAAGCAGGGTCAGGCCTGGTTAGTACTTAGATGGGAGACATGTTACTATCTTGGTGGATCCTATTTCTGAGGGAAAGAGGCAGACTAATCTGTAAGATTCTCTAATGGGTCCTGGGGATTCAAAGGAATGGAAAGACTAATTTATCAGAAACATGAAGGAAGGGGCAGCTCATCTCCAAACAAAAAGGCTTCAACTTGTTCACAGGGAGAGGATGTCATTTGATCTCCTAGGTCATTGCTCAGAATACTTTCTTCCTCTTCCAGCTCATCTCTGTTTCCACAACAGGCCAAGCCCTGCAATCAAAAACACTTGTTAGTCACCATCCCACCCTGTTACAGGAAACAACAACGGGGCAGCATTTCCAAGGGTACCTTTGCTTCTAAGTGCACACTGAAGCACGGAAAACACAATCAATTTCCTTTTCACAGATGCAACTGTAGGTTTTAGAGCAATCAATGGGTGTTACTTTTGTTGAGCTTAAAAGTGCACATTCTCCTCTCCTAGAAGGCAAACTCATCATTGCAAAATTCCTAGAGAAAAGAAAACATAGGAGTCAGCTGTTTAATCCTGAATTTTCCAGCAACATAACTCAAGATTTTTTAAATCTTATTTTCTAACTTCCTGACATATGAAAATGCTACTCATAACTCTATCATTAAATGATGTTTTGCACTGCCATATTACACATACTCACTAGAGTCTCCCAGTTTATTCCACTCTAGTAATTCTAGGTCAGCAGAAAAATAAATTACTTCAAAACATGGCTCTGTGATTGTGATATACCAAACCTACTTTCATATTTCTTTTCAATAAAAATGAGATCTTTAAAGAGGACTCTAGTTTCTAACTTAGAAAACCAGCTCTTATGTGCATATTGCAATACAGTCAGAGATGGGATTGTTTGACTGATGTTTTTATTTTATTTCTTTGCCTTCCTACCCCATAACTAATAGTTGAGCTAAATTGGGGCAGACCAATGAAAACTGTCAAATCATGAAGCCATTAAAAAGAACAATAAAATTGACTGAATGCTAGAGCTAGTCTCCTACTGAATGTTACTAAAATACTGGGTGAATAAGATGTTGTGGCTCCTTGAGTTTGTTGTAATCGGCTAGAACCAAGCTCATATCAGGTGGAGGGTTTAGTACACATGGGGGACCACAAGGGTAACTGAGGCACTGAAGAGAGTTATTCCATTAATGAATGAACTAAGTTGAGTAGTGAATTCTGTTCAAAATAGAGGATCTAAACACAAGATAAGATCTTCAGTATAAACCACTAGAACTACATGACCCTTGAGTTTAAGCAAATAGAAAAAAACATAATTGCACTTAAGAATTCAGAATCAACAAAATCAAAAATATTACTTGGATTACCTATATTATTGAGAGTAGTCAAATCAGGTGCAAACAAAAAGACAAACAGAAAACAGATAAAACAATGTAGTTTCAGAAACAGGTAGAATGCACAAGGCGTGTTAAAGATGTTTAGGCAAATTAGTAACTATGAGAGGTGGGGATACTTCTACAGTAAGCAGATTATGTATATGGTGAGCTTAAAACCCCTATCCCTCCCAAGAAAGAATAAAGGCCTAGTCAGACTACAAATGCAAACAAATTTTCATGAAGCATGTACATAGTTTTTGCCTAGGCATAGAGGATTAAACTCATCATCTGTTGGTGCTATCCATTCTAATATCTGCCCATGATGCACACATTTGGGCTCATCAGCTTGATCTCATAGCTGCAACTGTAGCCAGACTAATATGCAACTGTGTGTCCCTGATAATGTGTGTGTTGGTCACGAGAACCTTCTTGTCTGGGCTTTCTTATGCAGACTTTCTCTGCTACCCTGAAAATCACACATGGACAGTCAGGGTTACTCAAAGAGGGAGTCAGCCATCAAAGACATCTCCACCCAAGATACAGGTGATCTTTCACTCTCTTGTTCCTTATCCTAAGTGTGGCAACCTATCATTCTGCATTAGGCTATGGGTTCCAAGATGACATAAATGATTGTGGATCGAGCACCTTAATTTGGACAATAAGACTTTCTGTGCTGTGTTCTCTAGCACAGTCAGTATGCCTGGGAGTACACTGGAACATAAAATAACAGTAAGGAAATTTCTAATATTATAATTATCAGATCCTAAGTATAAACCTTTCAAAGCCTTGTAAGAAAAAAAAAGATGGCTTGAAAATAGTAACAACTTAAATAGATATCTGAAAAAGTAAAAGAACTAAAAAATGTAGCAGTTAGGCACACATCACTTTTCAATAGTAACACAGTCAATGAAGTTATTGAAGCTATGTGTGTGTATGATTATACTCACTGAAATATTTTTTAGTTCTTATTCTTACCGAGAGTCTCTACTTGATAATAAGCTGAGTTGTATGAAATGAAAAATGACTTTTCTGATACAATGTGGCCAGTTTGCTCACCAAAGTGTTTCAACACAATATAGAAACTTACACTCCAGTTGATGAACCAGTATCAACCCATTTCCATTTTCTTTCTTTTTCATCATATGACAATCCAATCCAGTATCTATTTTGACCAATCTGAACCTGAATGAATTCCTATAAATAAAACAAAATTTATCACAAAACTGAGTATCTCCATAGTATTTCAATGTGACATGTTTTAAAAAATCTGATTAAATTATTTCACTTTTTTATCGAGTTATTTTACTTGAAAGTCAGAGTTGTAAAGCAGAGACATGAAAAGATCTTGCATCCACCAAGTCATTCTCCAAACAGTGGCAATGGCCAGAGTTGAGCCCCTATGAAGCTGGGGGCTGGGAGCTTCTGGGTCTCCCACGTGGGTACAGGGGCAGGGTCCCAAGGAGTCGAGCCATTCTCTGTTGTTTTCCTAAACCATTACCAGGCAGCTACATCTGAAGAGAAGCATCTGGGAGAGGAATCAGGGCCCTTATGGGATGCTGGTATTGCAAGAAGAGGTTTAACCTGCCACTCCATCATGCTAAGTCCACAATAACTACCATTTCAAACTTGGTTTAAATTATGTCTTCAAACACAAAAGTTTCCATGGCTTTATATTATGAGCTTTCTTACATATTGATTTTAAGCATTTATTTTATTTGCACATAATTTCCATGTTATTTTAATCAATGGTAAAATACAAGTTCCCAGCTAAGTTTTGCAAGCATTTCATTATAACAGCACACTCTGTTCTGAGATAATTTTCATAGTAATAAATTAAATAGGCAATCTCATTTTGTTGCCTCTATATTTTTCCATCATTCTTTTTTAAAGAGATGCACCTTGGTGTACAATCAAGTAAGTGTGACATACAGATGCATTAAAATCACCACAAGGATAATTTGTATAAATGATATCATTTTGATTCTGCAAATTTTCTTCTCAATTCACTGATGGGCTCAAGGAGGTTAACTAAGCCATTGAAGGTCACCCAGCAGCAACTGGCAGAGCTGGATTTGCTCCCAGGAAGTCTGAGTGCTGAGTTCCTGGTAGTGACTTGACTATGCTGTTAGTTACCATCCTATAGGGATAAATAAGTGTGGCTACAGGGCACTGCACAGCAAAGCTTCAGTTAAGTGCTTCATCAAGGAAAACGCATACTTCTTTGTAAGAGGCATTACTTCAGGCTCCTTAAAAAGGGAGAGGATTCAAGACTTCCCCCAAATAAATGATAATGAAGACTGTCATAACAAATAATATGCATTCAGAACTTAATGAGTAGCAGGATCATATGCTCATTAGCAGACAGAGTGTCCTGGGAGATGCCTAACTGTACAGTCATGACAGTCAGACAACAGACATGACAGAAAGAATACTTGGGCCACACTCAATGGCCTAGCTACTGAAGTCCTTGCCTTGAATGTGCCAGGATTCCATATGAATGCAAATTCTTTTTACAGAGGCCTCCCTTCCCATCCAGCTCCCTGCTTGTGGCCTGGGAAAGCAGTAGAGGACGGCCCAAAATCTTTGGACCCTGTACCTCCATGGGAGACCTGCAAGAGCTCCTGGCTCCTGGCTTTGGATCAGTATAGCACCGGCCTTTGTGGTCACTTGGGGAGTGAATCATTGGAATGAAGATCTTCCTCCCTGTCTCTCCTCCTCTCTATATGTATCTGACTTTGCAATAAAAATAAATAAATCTTAAAAAGACTAGAATACTTCTCTGCCAGGGAGGCCTCCTCTTTTCTCAGTGTCGTAGGTCTGTAAGGTCTGTTGATGACATTGAGAATAAAAGGAAATGTCCATGATACCTGTTCCTGCTCGTTGTCTATCTTCAAAAGGGAGGAATGGTAATACTGGCAAGTTTGTTTACATCCATGCCAGTTTTTATTATCATGAACAAAATAATAGCAGCTGACATCAAAACATGACCAGTAGTCCTCAGAGAGTTTTCCTACAACATAAAAGATCAATCATTAGACTTCATTCTGCTATTAATCAGAGCAATATCTTGAACAGTCTCCATAATTGACTATAAGCCTCAACATTCATTTTTAATTTCCATATGGGGATGAGAAGGTTCAGGAATGCCAAAAGATACGTGCAGTCCCAGCTCCAAGGCAGCATGATCCTCAACAGCCAAGAGATGGAGATGACCTAAACGGTCACTGATGGATGAATGATGTAGAACATACATATATACCGACATACATACATATGAACTTATATTATTTAGTCATAAGAAGTAAATCCTAGCATAAGAGATAGTAGAGATGAAACATGGAGGATGTTATTCCAAGAAAATAAGCCAGTCACATATCTTCTCACATATGGAATGATTAAAAGTTGATCTTTACTAAGAATGGTGGTTCCTAGAGGATGGTTATGGTTCAGTGCAGGAACTGAGAAGGTACAGAGAAGAGTCAGATAAGTACCAAGCACAGAGAAGTCATACGTTCTGCTTTTTCATACGTTACCATAGTTCACAATCACAGTTATGTACTGTGTAGGGAACTGGAAGAGATGCGTGCTAAGCTCCAAGCAGAAAGAAAGAGCAGAAGGATGAAAGAGTCGTTATTCAATCTGATTGTTTGGAACCTTATTTGCATGTTGAAATATTACAATATGCCTCATAAAATGTGCAAGTATTAGGTTTTGATCGAGGTCTTTCAATAAAATGTTTTTAAGTGCTTGAAGAGGTAGTACTGCACTAGATGGTAGGATAAGTCTGAAAAGAGAAGGTGCTCAGTATAGTCAGACATCAATACACAAGAGCACAAATCCTCTAAGATTCCACTTCTCTGATGTTCTACAGTAGTCAGACCCATGGAAGCAGAAAACAAAATGATAGTTGGCCACAGCTGGAGGAAGGAGAAGGGAAGTCCCATTGTTACATGGGCAAAAGTTCCAGTCAGGCAAGATAAATGCATCCTGTGCTCCACTGTGCAAAGCAGTACCCACAGTTAAAGATGCTATATGCATCATAGAGGAGTGTGCATTCTGAATTTAAGATTTCACAGAGACTGTTCTTAGCATAAAGAAACAACCAAAGAAACATGAGGAAGTTTGAGGATGTGATGTAGCTTTCTACTACCCTTATTGTGGCACTGGATTCATGGGGGATGTGTGTATGTCCATCACATGGAATCATCAACCCTTGACATGCTTGTAGTGCTTTTTAAAATGTGCGTATCTCAGGAATGTTTTAAATTACAGTGGTATAGTTGGCCACAAACTATAGACCAAGTATCTAAATTCAAGATAGATACTCGCATGTAATATCTTCCCCCAACACACACACACACACACACACACACACACACACACACACATATACATAGGAAATATCTTTATAACAACAGTAAATAAACCTCAATGTGCCCATTACTGAAAGACTCTATATTACTGTGGAACACTTGATCACTTCAATTTCTGTGGGTGCTGGCATCATATTTCAACTTCTGGAATAGTAGGGAGGTAAGAACCGCCATCGGGTTTTGGGAACAGTAGGACTATATTAATACAAACACTTTTCCAGGGATTCCACATCCTAAAGAAACAAATGACAAGTTGTCCAGTAGACTCATACATCACTATGTAGAAGCCTCAAGTCCTCTAGTGAGTGCGGACAGATTAAGGTAACACCACAATATGTCATTCCAGTTTACTTCCATACCTGGATTTTGTAGGGATTTTGAAGGAACAGGTCCTTTTGCACAGCATCCTTCCTTTTTTAAAGATGATGCCAGCTTATTTTTTGGCAGAAAGCTTTCATTTCTGACTCTGTCGTATTCTAAGGTTTTATTGGCCAAAAGTTGCTCGTTGATGCTGTACTTTTGACTGAGATTTCCTAGAATTTCCTGTTGTTCATGTTTCTCTTGAATTAGATGAACATCTAAAACAAGCAGCATAAATAGCACTTAAAAGAATACTCCTGAAGATCCAAGAGCAAAATTAAAGACAAGAGAAAACATCTCATTTTGGCAACCAACACTTAATCATTTCAGTTTTTTGACATTTAGAAAGTAACACCTCACAAAAGAAAAATAAATTTTAAAAATAGAAGAAGAAAGAAAATAACCCCTCAGGGAACTGGCCACAGAAATGGAACCACCATGTTTGTCACTACCAGCCACTTAAGCGTAGATAAATAAAATATCTGAATAAAGCTAAAGGGTTAGCATCATATTGTACTGTTTTTAGTTCATTTTTAATAACACATAATTTACAAATAAGAACCCCTTAAAATTCCATTGATTACCAGTTATCAATAATCTTAGAATATAAACACCAAAGCAATTGTTTGACCTTATTGTCATAATGTCCATGACCTGTTAGAGTACCCGGATACAGCAGCGTGCCCCTTCCCTGGCTCCTGATGCCAGCTTCCTGGGAGGCACCTGTGGGGACTCAAAGCCCGAGCTCTTGCCAGCCTCATGGAGTCCTAGATCAAGCACGTTCTGGCTCCCAGTTGCAGTTACAGGCATTTCGGGAGTCAGGGAGAGAAAACCCTTTGGGGTTCTCTCTTTCTCTCTCAAGTGGAAAAGAAAATAAATGAAAGTTTAACCTGAACTTAAAAAAAATGTACAGCACATTTATTGTTTCAGTAAGCAAAATATCTGATCAAAGGTAAATTTATCCAAATGTAGCAGGAAATCAACTATAAGACAAAACTTAAATCCAAGATCATTTTCTATGTACATTTTTATTCTTCTTCCTAATATCTTTCCTTACTATATACTGAAAAAAAAGTCAGAGTGTCTGTCAGACTTTAATGATCTAAACTCAGATAACAGAACATCACAAAATTCTCTATCAAAAGGAATATTACTAGTCTGGTGCAATAGTCCAGTGGCTAAATCCTCGCTTTGCATGCTCAAGGAGCCCATATGAATGCCAGTTTCAATTCTAGGTGTTCCACTTCCCATCCAGCTCCCTGCTTGTTGCCTGGAAAAGCAGTCTAGAACAGCCCAAAGCCTTGGTACCCTGCACCCATGTGGGAAACCCAGAAGAGGCTTCTTGCTTCTTGCTCCTTGCTTGGGATTGGTTCAGCTCCAGTCGCTGCAGTCGCTTGGGGAGTGAGCCAGCCTATGGAAGATCTTCCTCTCTGTCTCTCTTCCTTTCTGTATATGTCTGGCTTTCCAATAAGAATAAATAAATATTTTAAAAATCAATAAATAGATAGATGAATAGATAGATAAAGAAATAAACAAATCTTTTCTAAAAATCAGGCAAATGCTAATTTGATTTTTTAAAGGAACATTATCATGTATTACACAAAATGAAATAGGTCATTGCAGCTTGAGTCAGTGGACTAGGTGAGCAAATGAAAATCAGTATGATATGGCCTTGAAAGAAATCATCAACAAAGAATGCAATTTCTGAGACAATAAAAAAAGACATAAATCCAGTACTCACACTTTGTCCCCAACACTAAAACTATCATCAAGAGAATCAAACAGAGGATTCCAAGAGTCACTGCAATTAAATGCCAGGGCACAGAAAACTCTTTAAAGAAAAAAAAAAAGAATTTAATGAAATAATGAAACAGCCTCAACAAGGGACACAGTTTGAAGCAAAAGGATAATTTTCATTAAACATTTTACAAGCACATAACATACAAAACGGCTTAAATATTTAACTTAGAAATCACAGTTTTAAAATTTAAGATTTCTGGATGATACACACTCATGGTACAAGAACAGGTCTCCAGGGCTTCTAAAGCTCAGCCCTCAGACAGCACCAACGCCAGTGGGGGTGAACATGCAGGCACGTTCTAAGAGACACGGGCACTGCTTATCCTGGTCACATCTAGTCACAAAGCAGCACAAACAGGGAAGATTCTAGAGACAGTGGACACCAATAATGAATATTCTGAGATGGGAAAGTGATGGACTCCATCCTCACAGGAGTTTCTAAAATCTAAAATCTAAAATCTACTTTACCTTCTCGGGATAAATTGTACGGGTTACCCTTTTGCTTTTGAGGTTCCTCTGATTTGAAAAAGAACATCTCTCTGATGATTATCCAACTAAAATACTAATTCTCAAGCTTAAAATTTAAGTTGCAGTAATATTTGAAGTAGGGAGAGAAGAGAAAAATTAGAATGTCCACTTGATACAAACATTTTTGAATTTTCATGGGCCTTGAGGACAGACCAATATTCTTAAGGACCTAGAATGTTTATTGTTTAAATAACATTGTCTTGAACACTGCATTTTTATTTCTTAAAGATTGTCCAAAATGTTTATGCCAATAAGAATTGCTGTGTTCTTTGAGACACTATTCTGTGCTTTATTTTTAAAAGAATTGCAATGTATTTTGACCAAATCTCATTACAGTCTAGAGTTCCACAAATGTCAAAAATTCATTCATTTCTCCATTCTCTCAACTTTTAAAAAGTTTTCTGCTCAACTACTCTGCTGGGTAATACTTTGTTATAACCACATGACAAAAAAAGGTACATACAACATCAAATTTCGAAATTCATAAAAGGCAGGTGAATTCAGATGCTTAAAACGTTCACCACTGGTCGACATGATGGCATGTTAAGCTGCTGCTTGCAATAGCCACATCCCACATTGCAGAACTGATATGATTCCTGACTGTTCTATTTCTGATCAAGCTCCTTGTTGGCCTGAGAAGGCAGCAGAAAACCCAAGGACTTGGTATCTCCTACCCCTGTGGAGGACCCAGATGGAGTCCTAAGCTCTGGGCTTCCTCCAGGTCCAGGTCTGGCAGGTGTGGCCATTTGGAGAATGGGCCAAAGAAGGGAAGGTTTCTTCTCTATCCTTCTCACTCTCTTTGGGTCACTCTGCCTTTCAAATGAATGAATAAATCTTTACCAAAAAAAAATGCACTATACCTTTCTCACCAGTTCGAGTGCCATCCGGCTTGGATCTTCTCTGAGAGCTTGAAGAAGCCTGAAGAAACCTCAAAGCTGAGTAAGTCACCTCCTGATTGCTCATCTTTAGAAGACAAATATGCTTTGCATGAAAACTTCTCAACACAACGGTTCCTGAAGAAAAACCATAGAGGCAGCTTACTGAAACATGCCAGGATTTGATGCTGAGAATACATTCTTTGTGTGTCTGTCACAGTCTGTATACATGAGCTTATCTGCTCTAGAGAATGACTGAAGCAGACAGAGTAGATTTATAACAGAAATAGGAAGCCTGCCGACATTGCCTTTTAGATAATGTATACTCCTAATAATGCTACCGTATCAGAAAATACGGGAAGAGTGAAAAAGTGGCCACTAAGTTATTGTTTTGCTTACTCAATTAATTTGACTCACAATGTTCAATGTGTATATATACTATACTATACTATACTATACTATATATATATGCTAGGAAAAAAAAACAGTTCTACCTCAAATCTCAGAAATATCTTTAAATGGTCAATTCAAGTAACAAAAATTCTATATTCTTAAAAACTATGCATGTCTTGGTTTTAAAAAAAAAATGCCTTGATTGGCATATAGCTGTTTGTAAAATCACTTACAGTCTTTTTCATCACACATGCTCCCCACGGTATGTCTCATATCTCATCTATAAATGATTTTGAGGGTGACTATCACATATTGACAAACATTTCAGAATCTAATGTCCAGGGTAAGATAAGCTGAATACAAATCTCTTAGGTTCCGGCATCAGCCATTGCTTGTGGAAGCCTTTGTGAAAATAACATCTGTCAATAGGCACTCATTAATAAATGTCCATTAACACTCATTCTAGCAATAATTATCAATGTAGGAAAAAGCCATTGAATAACCAAGTTAAAAATTTACTTCTCTTTTACATTAATCAATGAGAAAAGATTCTGTTCAATAACCAGCAAATACCAAACATTAATTGTACATGTAAATAGATATATACTCATTTGCAAATTTTTCTAAGTTTAATTATTCACAGTTTCTTTAGTTTCCTATTACAGTGGAGGCTTTCCTACTACAAAGTCCTTCGTTATGGATGGAACAATATGCAAATTAGTTGAGTCAAATTAAAAATAACCTCTCAAATCTCTCTTGTTCATGTGGATAACACACCCAAAACTAACACCATGTGGAAAAGGAGACAACAAGTCGTCATGAACACTGAACTACAATCTTTATATTCTTCAGAGTTCATGCCATTGGAATGCAATGCAGAGGGAATTTTGTCCTTTCAATCTCCTTCTCATGATACATTACTTAGAATTAAGTACTGTATTGCCAGAATAAGTAGAATGGATAGGATAATCATACTGAAAGTGCCAAAGGAATCAAAATGGGTGTTACCTGGATCTACGCCATGCAATGAAGCAGGTGGAAGCAAGGAGGATCAGTAGGCATGAAAAGTGGGACACTCCAGTCCCAGTGCTCTTGGAGGCTCTTAGACTACAAGTGAATTGTCTCTGAATGATGTTACTCCGACTCAAGATGTTCTGTCCATCCTGTTGAAAACAAATGGTGAGAGGAAACTGTATGATGAAATCTGTTGTTTACAGGAAAGGAAAGATGGTCATGAGCTGTATCTTGTTCTATTTCAACTAACCAATCATTTAGTGCTGCTTGCAAAACAGCATCGAAAATCAGAAACTGCGGACGGAAAAGACAGAGCAACTTATGGTTGAGGAAAACAAGGCAAAAGTCTTTAACAAAAGAGTAACATATTTAAGTAACCACTGTTCAAATGAATGAGACAAAGGTCAGAATGCATATACACATATAAAAGAAGGAATACGATTCATTTCTTCAGCTATTAGTTCAGATAAGTTCCTGTTAGAAATGTTCTGTTACATCTGCAGTTTTTATTTTAAAGAAAAGGTTATTCTCTTTATTAAATTGATTGCATACAGTATTGTTTTTAATATTATTATAAAACATTCAGCATTCCACTAAAATTCTATTTCTGTTCTTCTTGCTTTTGTTTATATTATTTGCTTAACAGAAAAGTTGGTCTCATTATACAGGGCTTCCAATCTCTTCTTTTCCAATAAGTAATAAATATTCCTTCACTTTGAAAATAGTCAAACACCAATTATTTATTTATACGTATTTAAAGGCAGAGCAACAGAGAGATTAACAAAGAGGCACAGGAAAGGTCTTTCATCTCCTGGGTGACTCTCCAAATACAAACAAGGCTGGGCTGGGCTGGCAGAGGACACAGATGGTTTTAACACTTTGCGTGGCAATATTCACCACTACCTCAGATATGATTTTAAAAACCATATATTGTTATTACTCACTTGGGCATATCCATACATTATTTAAGCAACTCCAAGCTACAGATATTTAAGTTTAAAAAAAATTCTTCTTAGTGTAACAAGTAATGTGCTTTTAGTTTTAAAAAAATTCCTTAGAAACTAATGTGAACATAATATAATGGCATAAAAGTGTATATTCATTCAAAGAACTGTGATATACCTCACTAAACTCCCTCCAGAAAAGATGTTCCCATTTAGGTTTCACCAGTTGTGCATGCAAATCTTACATTGAAATTCACTTTCCTTCCACTGAGGCCTTTTCCATCACGGATGGAAATAACCAATCTCCAGCCACCACAAACCCATCCCTTTTACAAGGCTTCCCCATCCATCAACCTCCCTCCTTCCTTCCAAGTTATTGCACAGTTTCCTTACGCAGTGTGCTGACTATTGCAACCCAGTGTATTAATGGACTAGCCCCTGGCAGGTCTTTTTCTTTCCCTGGAACCATCCTTAATCTCTTTATCATTACTGGAGTCTGCCACTTGTCATCATGTGCAGGAAAGCAGCTGAAATAATTCCAGAGATCAATTTTGCTCGGGCAGTCACATGAGCAAAGTCTCTTGGGTGGAATGTGGGGGATTCAAAAGTATTGCTACTTAACTTGGATCAGCATTGCCAATCTCAAACCAGAGAATGAGTTCCCCATTTAGCTCAATGCCAAAGAAAGAAAGAGTAAAGGAAGGAAGTTCATTGAGAAGTCAAATTAGAGATGGTGGAAATGTGGTTGAAGAGGCGGCAGAGGCACTCACCTACATTACAGAGACACTCTAACAGTACTTAACCCTGGCTCTTACTTGCTCTTGTCTTCACTGTACAAGTGAAGAAAGGAATGTTACTAGATTAGTTGAAGCACCTAAGGAATCATTATTGTTAGTTTTTCAAGCATGGTTAACAAAAGGTCTGACTAAATGCATTGAGCATGGACACACTGAGGATTCAGAAGAAACAGGTTTCAGCAAAGCTCTTGCCACCAAGTGTGAGATCTGAAACCAGGCACATGTGGCTTAAACTGCCAGCCCTGGTCCCCATGAGATACTTCTGGAAAGCCGGAAAGCCTTTACTGTTCTTATCATGTGGTCATCACTGTAAAATCGTAATACTGTTTGCCTTAAAAGAGTGCTCAGAGAATTAAATAAGGCACACAAATAATGTGCATAACCACACATGACATAGTAGAATCTCACTGAATGTTAACTGCGATTATGTATAGTCCACAATTCACAGCCTTCCTAGTCACAGGCATTGGAACAACTCATTGTGAATCTTCAAGCCTCAGTTTCTTCCCACATCCAATGCAAATATCCCCCACTTCACAAACACTGAAAAGCTGGATGAGATTAGAATTGCAGAAATGAACTGTTTTGAAGCTTCGAGTCTGTGTAGTTTTTGCTGAGGCTGGGATTCCTGATGCCTGCAATGCCAGTTTGCTATATGGTCACCAACTTATTACCTGTTGCTCCACTTCAGATCAGGCTCCTTGTTAATGCACCTGTGAAAACAGCAGAAGATAGCACACCTGCTTGGGACCCCTGTATTTGCGTGGGTGACCTGGAGGAAGCTTGTGGCTTATGGCTTCGGCCATGTCAGCCCTGGCTTTTGCAGCCATTTGAGGAGTGAACTAACTTCCAGAAGATCTCATTCTCTGTGACCTGGACTCCTGTGCTTACTGCAGCACAATCTGCAATAGTGAAGACATGGAAACCACCCAAATGCCCATCCAAAGAAGAGTGGATAAAGAAACCATTGTACATCTACTTCATGGAATACTACTGCAACAAAATAGTCCCAACTAGAGACCATTATGCTCAGTGAAATAAACCCATCCCAAATGGACAAATCTAGAGGATCTGTATAATGTTGGCAAGTATACCATGACATGGAGATATATTGCAGTATATGTCTCTATTTCTGAACAAAAGATGGATTCCCAATGAAATTGTTAAATATATCTTGACAATAGAATGCTGGACTTTATGCCATTCTCCATACCTACAATGTCAGGATATACTTAAATAGCAGGATGATGGACTATTGTTGAGGGACTAAACTGTTTTTTTTTTTTTAATTTATAGGGGAAAGCAGTGAGGAGTAGAGCATGAGACAGAGTAGAAGGGAAGTCCCTGAACCTAAGGAACTGTAGTGCGAAAAATAAAGAATTTATTAAAATAAATAAATAAGTTGCTCAACACATCTTTTTTTCTTTAAAAAAAAAATCGTGTTCTCTATCTCTCCCTCTTACAACTCCTCCTAAATAAATAAGTGTTTAAAAGATTGGATTAGCTGAAAACATGTAATACAGTCCCTTGAGCCACAAAGTTGGAGTCTATACTTGATCAAATCACAGTTAATACAATAGAAGGATGAAAATTGAAGGATGTATTTAATGTTCTTGTGCTTTGTTTTCAAAATTCTCTTTTATGAAAAACACAATGCACAGATGCATTTTCAAAGTGTGCAAAGTAGTCATTTTCTGGCTGCAGTAGCTTTTTTTTTTTTTTTTTGTACTAGGAAACTACATTTTCCTTTCTGATGACACAATTAGCTAGAAGCCTAGCACACAAGTTCGCACCCCACCTTGAAACCGCAGCGGCTTTATCATTTCACAGTAGCTGTGGTCTTCCTGTCCTGGGCTGAGTGAAGGTCAGTCAGAATGGACACCAGCACGCAGGGGAGCCTGCTCTGATTCACTTCACTAGGAAGAATGACTTATCCAACTCACACCTTCTTGGCTGTTTGCCTTACTATCCTCTATCCTATGTACCAATAGATGACTTTAAGTTTCCTGGCTTTTATGGTACTAAATAGAAACCACTAGTTTAAAATTTCCTGTTCTTCTAGCCACTCTATTTATCCTTATCTTCACAATCAAAACTACTTTATGGTCTAGTTTTATTTATTTGAGAGGCAGAAGGGGCCCTGATGTGTAGGCAGTAATTAAACACCATTGCAGTGCTGGTCTTTTTATCAGAGTGCCAGCTCAAATCTAACTGCTCTGTTGCTGATTCTGCCCTTTTCCCGTGCCTGGGAAGGCAGTAAAAGACAGTCCAAGTATGTGGGGGCATTGCCAACATGTTGGAGACCCGGATGGAGTCCTGGGTTTCTGGTTTCCAAACTCCCCAAATGCCTGCAACGGAGGTTGGAACAATATTCAATTAGGAACTCAGTTCGAGTCTTCCATGTGGATGGCAGAAGCCCGATTATGTGAGTGATTTCCCAGGACGTATGTTAGTAGAAAGCTAGAATCCAGAGACAGAGCCAGGAATCAGACAGGCAGTCTGATGTGGGTGGGGTTCGGGAGCCTAATTAAGCACCAAGTCAAATGCCTGCCCCCTAATGGCCTACACTTAAAATACACTTTAAAATGTCCTGGTCTCGTCAGTAATCACCCTTCCTGCGACTTCTAAGTAACCAAATGAGAGACTTCAGTAATTATAAGAAGAACAAAAAGGATTTCAGATGGCTCATTGGAATCTGTGACTAAAGCATAAGATCTAGTCACAATTTGAAATGGACAAATAATTCATCTATAGCTAAAATTGTTTTTCTCTTAAATCTCTCCCCTTTATCAGCAGAGAAATGGGACAAGATGGATACGAGAGATGCTGAGTTCTCCATACTGACTGTGTATCATTTGTTGAGCCTTTCGAGGCAGACCCTACATTCACTCTCAAATCACTGGTTTGCTTGTGGTATTGACTTTTCTATTCTAGTTAAATATCTATTCGTGTTAAAAATCCAATTTTTCTCCAAGCACATGGACCAGTGGCTTAACTAACAGCATATACTATGTTCATGGATCTCAAGCATTCTAAATTAGCGCTTTTTGGCCTTTTGGCTAAGAGCAAGTGTAGTATCAAACAGTCCAAATCAAGATAAAGTAATCTTCAGCAGCTATTACAACATAATCTCAGTTGCTGCTAACACTCAAATTTGAACTCCTATTTAAAGTGTTCAATGAACAGATTCAATGAAATCTCTCCCAGAGAATTATGATTTTATACTGCACATTCATCAGGGTCTATAACTTGAACTCAATATCCTACTCCTGTCGTGACGACAGTGTAGCCTCACATGGCCGACTCTTCACCAGATCTGGGAGAACAACATCATGCATTTCTGAGCAGTGGAAAAGGCCAGACAGAATTCCATGGCAGGCATGCTGCGCAGCCATCCTGCCCAAGGGATAGCCAATAAACTATGGCACCTTCCTGTAACCGAAATGGCATAGTGCTACAAAATTCATAGTCTACTGGCAGCCTTTACACCAGTTAAGTGGAAAAACATCTAATGGTTCATTTACAACAGTTTCAACACATAAAAAGTTTTAACTTTGTGAGTCTAGGTTGGTTGTGTGTCCACTGCAGTTAGTTCAATGGTGTGCATATTTGAACATTTTTATAATGAAGTATTAAAATAGGGCCCTATGAGACATCTCAGTGGCTGAATCCTTGGCTGAACACATTAGGACCCCATATGGGTACCAGTTCATGTCCCAGTTGCTTCACCTCCTATCCAGCTCCCTGCTTGCAGCTGGGAAAGCAGTGGAAGATGGCTCAAAGCTTTGAGACCCTAAAGCCGCAGGGAGACCCAAAGGAAGCTCCTGGCTTTGGATTGGCTCAATTTCAACAGTTGTAGGCACTTGGGGAATTCACCAGCAGACCAAAGATCTTTCTGTTTCTCCTTCTCTCTATAAATCTGCCTTTCCAATAAAAATAAGTAATTCTTAAAAGAAAGTATTAAGACATATAGTACCATGAACTCAATGAACTAGGCTCATAAGCTCATCTCATCCAGCAAAATGCAGCTAGTGGCTACCGTACTGGACTCCACAAACATAAACTCTATTACACAAAAGAGTTCATTCAATGGAGCATTCTCAAGTCTGTCTGCTCAGGGTCCAAGCAGACCTTCAGATTAATCCTTCCACCATAAATTCAGGAGTGACTGGGGCAAGCAGACCATAACAACCAGAGTAGCACAACTTCCTCAGACTTTAGCTGGGGCAGTGACAAAATACTAGAAGTACAGTCACTGAGGGAAGTCAGCAAAAAGGAAGTTATGCGAAACAGGTTGAAGAGATTGGGAAACAGAAGTGGGATCTGTGCTCACTGGGAGTTATGCACACACCCACACATATGTCAGCCTACATTCTACATAGTGTACTAAGCTGCGAGCTGGAGCTTCTCACAAATGCATATATTGCGACATGAGGAATAAAGCTATATCAAAGATGTGTCTGACTTGGGGTACTGGTTACCCCAGTAACACTTTAGGGAATCACTGCTTACACTAAAATTGATTAAATGTGCATAATCCCCAAGGGCTTTGCAAATGCAAAAAAATTCAGAACTATTTATAGGCAACTTCTATAAGCACCAAAGATTAAATTCCATTGGGTTTGAAATAAGGGAAGATCCACCAATGGCTTAAATGGATGAGAATCTGGTTATATATTTCTATCTGGAAGACTTTCTGCCACAGGATATGCATACCAGAACAATTCCTAATTATATTTGAAGTGAATCAGAGGTGTACAAGAGAAAAATATAAAAACCACTCTCCATTCAGCCTTAGATATGTTTTATTGGAGCAAAATTTCAACAAAAGGTAGGATTTTACTTACAGAATTTAATGTGTGTGGGAAGTGTCCAACCCACTTGGACCCAAGTGAAAATAACTACTAAGCCTGTTCAAGTATTTTTTTATTTTCAATTTACATACAAAAAATTCTTTTCACATTCATAAAAATCCCCATATTGTAATGACAAGCCCTCCCTACCCACACCCAATTAAATATATACACAGCTTGAAAAACACACAATTTAAATTGGCTTAATCTTGAAGTGCAATCCAATGAGGCTGAAAACTAAACATTTCAGATCCTGTACCAAATAATAAAACACTCGCAGGCCTTCAGGGTCCCTAAAATTTGAAAAGGCAAAAGTTAGTTTTTGTTCCCAGAATGAAATATAATTTCATGAATTCTTAAAACAAGACAAAGTCAAAATTCTAAAATTATTTTAAGGAGAAAGGAATGATGTTTCTGACAAGTAAAACACAGACTGAACAACAACCTCTCTGTTCTGCAAAAATAAAATCATCAATATTCATTTTCCCATTAAAAGTCTATCTCCTTATGAAAGTAATAGCTATATAATATCCATATGTACATGTTTACATATGTTTATATACAATTCTCATGCACTATCCATTTTGTTGACTATTTTTATCTTTTCTTAGGACTAAAATCATGTTGTGCCCTTTTTTACATCACTTTTTTCCTCAGCATTCAGAAATTAATTCAGCAAGGATTTTTTAATGACTTAACAAAGCTCTCTTTACACTGTTTTCCAATTACAAATAATGCCTCACTGAGTATCTTTATGTATAAATATTTTCAGCTAATGATCACTATACCCATAGGACACAAGATTAGCAATTAAACTGCAGGGTCAGAGAGGAACAACCACCCTGAAGAGTCTAAGGCGATCATTACCAAACTGCCTTCCAGAAGCAGCTACGCCTGCTGCATCTTCACCGGCGCAGAAGTAACTGGAGAGTGTACAGGCACCTGACAGAATACATTCACTCTGCTCCTTCCCTCCCACGTTCCTCTAAGACACTTTGATATGCCAGGCACCTGCGTAACTTGGGAGATTCAGCTAAGTTCTCAAACCAGCGATGCAAACAACTAAGTGACTGCAATTTAGAATGGGGGACTTCCTGGAGAAGCAGGAAGAGCTGGCTTGGATCAACAAGGGCGATGGTCTCCAGGAAGTCCCCCAGTGTCCAAGAGAAGACCTGCAATGTGGCAAGGCACACGCAGCTGGAAGAATTAAGCTGTACTGGACCTTGCGATATGAAACCCAAGGAGGAGAGTCTTATGATTATAGGGCTAATGACACTGGCATTAGCCAAGATGAACTGCTTTCCTCCAAATTCTGTCACACTGAATCCAGATATTTATACAAAATAGCTAATAAAATCTGGGCATGATTATACAGATATTGGATTAAGTTTTCTTTCTGTCAATGAAACGCCCTTGTTATCTTCTTTGAGATGCAAGATAGCAAGAGTCTGACATAAAACCAGAATTACGTCTGCACAGTGAACCGACAGGTGCCACTGGAGTCACTGTGACTGAGTGCGGTGCTAAGTCAGGCCTCTCACAAATACTTACTTTGACTGATTCACGTCAATAAGCGAACCTATTTTTGATGTTGTAAAAGAAATATGTTCATCCCCAATTACAATTTCAAGTTCCTGGAAAAGAAAAAGTAGACCAATGTAATGAATTCAAAAATCTACCCTACAGATATTTATATTCTTGCTACAAAGAAATGGTAAGTCTATAGGCAGATTTTTTTAAAAAAAATTAAACAAAAATGCTGGTGAGGTTTTGAGACATGGGTGTCCTCACACAGTGTTGGTGGGGATGCAAACTAGCACAGCCATTTGGAAAACAGTGTGGAGATCACCCACAAAACTCAATATGGATGCACCCCGACCTAGTCATTCCACTAGTGGGAAAACATTCAACAGCACAGGAAGGAGACACCTGCACTTCCGAGTTCAGTGCGGTACTGTTACCAATCACACAACATGGATCCTCAACTGCTGAGTGGACAGATGGAAACAGAACACACACACACACACACACACTGAGGAATATCACTCAATTGATAAAAAAGTAACAAAATCCTGACACTTGCAACAGATGGAACTGAAGTCCTTTCTACAAAGTGCAGTAAGTCAGATACACAATTTTTTTCTAATAATATTTAAAGTCAACATATCTGTAGTGGAAAAGTATCATTGCCATGTTTGGAATATATATATATATATATGTATATGTGTGTGTGTATATATATATATATGCTTGAGTACGTGTGTGTATCAACTAAATTATATCCATAACATACTAAGCCATTCTATCTAAATTTTTGACCTTTGTCTTTAATTCATCATTATATTAACAAAACCATTGCACTCCATCACAGTCCCAGCTATTAATTTAAACAAAAGACTGGATTATGTGTAATTGAGACACAGATCAAATGGAGATTTAATTAAGATTTCTCCATCAGTCATGAGATTTTGACCCAAGAGGCAATTTCTAGAACATGCCCAGTTCTCCACAAACTGAAACCCATAAACACATCCAGTGGGTAGATGAAACCCCGAGTTTCCCCTAAACCAAAAATACAATGATGTTTCTAGTTTTTAGTATTTGTTGTTTGTCTGTATGCATAAGAGAATCCGAGATTCAAATTTCTTTTCAAAAGTGACATAACAAAGATGAAACAAATACGGTTCACTACTGCCTTTGCCTTCCTGAAGAACTTTTCTTTAAGCAGGAGTGGTAAACAGCGGTGTCGACTGTCCGCGTACAGATCGCTCCTCCTCCTCTCCAAGTCAAAGAAGGTGGTACAACTATCACTTCCGGGAACACAGCAAAGTCAAATCAAACATTTCTTCCTCTCAGGGTCATAGCTTACGTCTCCAAGGATGGAAAAGACCCAATTCAGAAACCAAACTATTTCTACAGAGCAACCTGTGGTTCACAGGGGAACCGGAAAGGCAAACCAACAGGCAGTGTGAGTACACACCAATCCAATCCGTGGGGCTTGCAGAGGCCAAAAAGAATTCTAGAAAGCTCCGATCTGAAGTAAATGATTTGACACAAAGAGAACTCTAAGGCTTAAAAGTAATGAGCGACTGTTACCTATTCTTAAAAAGTGATTAAGACAACAGAAGTTATTCTTCACGGTATGAAAATGTCCTAAGGTTGGTTGAGGTGGCCACCGGAGACTGCTGGAGAAGACCTCTAAAGGCAGACTAGGGACAACACCTCACGGCAGCCCAGGAAAGCAAGCGAAGCGAACAAAAAGTTTATACCTCCTTACCAGGTGCCCACTAAAGGAGAACCCCAACGAAGAACCAGTCCTCACAAACAAAGGGGAGCGTCGGAATCAGTGCACCCACATAGAAGCAGCCCCTGACACAGACCTGCCGGCCAACCCTGTCGGGCGGAGGCCACAAGGCGTCATCCTCTTTCGTAATTTCACTGTCGTCAATAATCCTCTTCAGTTCCTCCATTACACTCTTGTGTACGTAAGCCTGAAAATGAATTACGGGAACACTTCACCATGCCTCAGCCAGGTCATGCCAGAACTTAACAAGAAGTGGTAAGACAGAGCTACAAACCCTGAGCCGTCACTAGCGAGTGGGTTCCAAAAGTACAGCGTGAGAATTTGCATCCTTCCGGAACACAGGGCTTTCTTTACTCTGTTGTCCTTCCCTTAATTCTCCCCTGTAGAACACTGTATGCTTTCTTTGCCACATGGGAATTCAAGGACCTCCAAGTGGGTAACAGCAGTAACATGAGGTCCTTGCCAGGAACAGAGGCAAATTCAAGTACACATCAGTTACTTTCCAATCCTTAAATTTTGAGCCTCTCATTTACAAAACTATACTATGTTCATATCATGATTAGCCAACAGTTTTAAATAGTAAGGGGTGTGAGAGTAAGTGAATTAAACGGCACAGTCGATACGGAACTCTTACTATTCAGACCTCTTCATTTGTGGTCAGAGATGCTCCGATCATAGCTAAATTACATGGAATCTCACTTCAATCTACACATTGGCTCTCTGCGTATAATCCAGCCTGAGATGCACCTTTGCAAATTCAACACAGAATAAAGGAAAATGGACTGACTAGGGAAAATTGGCTTTTCAAAAAGAACTTACCTCTTTTCTGATCATAACATCGTTTTTGTAATTGCTGTTATTGGCATACCTAAGCTTTCCTATGGGGAGAGAGAAAAAAAAAAAACAAAATAAAACAAAACACTTCAATCTGTGGTAAGCAACAACTGCTAAGTTAAATACATGACACTCTAACCAGGTTGGAAGGTCCAAACTCTTATTCCACCATTTTACCAATAGTACCTCCCTCTTAGATCAATGTCACACAAGCAATAACCCAGTGTGTATCTGTGGATAGACTGGCTGGAGTTAAGCTAGCCGCATGTTTAAACACCTCAGGGCTCATTTTTAAGGCCTGTTTTCTTCAGCTAAGTCATGATCTAGTAAGGGAATTGAAGAGAGGAACCAGCAATACTTTCAGACTTTGTTGTAGGAACGCACTGGTGCCAAACACTTTACCCCAAACATTCCAGCTAACCGTCTGTAAACCACCCCAAGAGACAGTGAGAAAACAAAGTACACTGCTCAGGCTGACAACGGACTTAAACCTTGCTCTACTTTCTTCTATCCCTCCTGCTTTCTCCGCTAAACCAAAACTTCTCTTCCATTTCCCTCCCCTTGACCCCCTGTGCGCATTACAGCAAGGCTGATTTTTTTTTCTCTTTTCAGCACTGTGAGTAGAATTACCCAAAGTGTTACTTTTGGATACAAACTTACCAGTTAATTAGCTAATTTATACCTAATACCCCATGAGGTCAGCACAAGTGTTACACAATTCTCCCTCAGGGCTCCAGCTACCCAGGGGGCAGCTCCCTGGTGCTGTATACCAGCACTGCTTGGGAACCACACTGTCTGTGATGCTCTCCAAGGGATGTGGGCTGGCCTGATGGCAGGCACACGCCTATGACCCACACTTCTAGTATGAAATGTCCTTAGTAACACTGGGGTATTTAAATTATGGAACTGGCTAAAATATGCCCAAGCTCCCTGGTGTCCAAGTATTACAAGAGGGGAGTGGGAAGAAACCAGGTGAGTTGAGCTCTCCTGAGTGAAGTGTAGGGCGGGTTGAAGAGTAAAAGTCAATGAAGTGACTGTGGTCTCCAAACAGTGAGAGGGCCTTACCTTCTTTGCAATTTCTCCCCAGAGGTTTGCCCCAGGCTCCCACACAACCATTACCATCCCTAACTGCTTTAGGTTTAGTTGCATGCCTTACGTCCCACCAGAACTCCCTGAAGCCAAGTATAGCCTTCCTGTTAACCTGTACATGTTGCTCAGCAAATAATGCGCATTCAAAAACTTAAAAAGCCATCCCGTCGGGCAGTCCTCGTGGGAGGTGGACAGAGCTCGCCAGGGCGGCCGAGCAGCAGGCGAAGGTTTCAGCTGGCCCTCCACTCCTGTGTTGGGATGCCCTCAGGCAGACCCAGCCTTGGATGGAGCTTCCAGGCAGCCCCCGGGGAAGTTAGGCACCTGCATAGAACACCTGCTGTTTTTGTTGCTTTCTCACAAACCCACGCCCCTCGGTGAGGGAAATGAATGAATGAATGGGCAGACACACAATTACAAAGTTACTCGGCGGAGCGAATTCACGCATCAGGGCGACACTCCAAGTTCCAAGATGCTGCCCACCGGCGGGCTCTACCATTCTGTCTAGCACGATCAGCTTTCTTCAATCAACGGACAACCGTTACCTTTTATTTGAGAAAGCAACCAAGACCTCCTATCTCCTTAGACGTCTTTTTTTCTTTTTTAAATCTGATTTTGGAAGGACCCTTCCCCACTCCTGCCAGCCCCTTGCCATCCCCCAGGCTCGCTCGCCGCCCCCCATCTAGCCTCCTCGGCGACCCCCGTCACAGCTCACCGTCTGGCCGAAACTCGAACTCCAGGAACTCGTGTCCGAATTTGCCCTTGTGCCCGACGTAGTAGCGCAGGTAGAAATCACTGGCCATAGACATCTTGGCTTGCCCGAGGAGCCCGCCGAAAGCCCAGCCAACGTGCCGCCCGGCGCCTGGCAGCGACGTCAGCCGCGCAGGATGAGTGCGTCACACGGGCGCGTCTCTCGCGTCACGCGGGCGCGTCTCTTCCGGCTGCTTTAGGAGTGACGGATGCTGAGGCATAGGAGGTTCCCGCTGAGGATCTCGAAAACACACACGGTATCCGGAACCAAGCGGGTGACTTTCCGTTCGCGAAGAACGGAATTCTGAAAATACAGAATTTTATATGGATTTTAAAACGAAGGTTTTTTTTTTTCGAATCAGTGTAATGGAGCGGGTCGGACGACGCCTTCTGGCGGGGTGTGGCTTTGTCCGGCTGTAGCTGAGGGAATAAGGAGACTTAATAATAGACACAGCAGAAAAAAAAGACACAGCTTGGGTCCCACCCACCTTCCTCCATTCCTCGGATCTCCACCACCATCGGAGGCTCACATAGGCGTGCATCCCTCCCAACTGTGTAAACAAGAGGAAAAGTAAAATTTTAAAATTGTTTTTAAGTCGTAGGAGACATGGGGTTCGCTCCCAACCGAACTCACAGCTGAATTTTAGTGCAGTCACCGTGCCAAGCACACAGACTGTTGAAAACATCAGAAGAGATTATAATTAAAAACAACCCCCAAAAAGAAACTTTGCAAGTTTTAGCGATCATTCTGTTTGTGGTAGAGAAAGTTGGAGGCTGGTAATAGATCAAGCCACGCCCACTGCACGCAGCAAAAGAAGGTGAATGATTGCTGTCATAAAGAACGTAACAGGTGGCATAGTACAGGGAGGAAGCCAGTCGTTCTGTTGTGGAGAGAAGGGTGCGAGAGATTATTTACATGGGGGCCTGGATGGGGAAGTTGTGAGTGTGTTCAAAAGGGCAGGAAAAGCATGCCAACCAGAGAATGACTTGACCAAAAAATAAGGTGAAAGTGGATGCCAAGAACCCAGGTGTGGTTAAAGTCAAGTTCATGGAAGCAGGCTGGCTGGAAAAGATGATTGTGCCAGATCATTGTGAGTCTAGGATAACAGTTACATAATTAATCTAGGAAAAATGCTCTGTTGGTCAGCACGCATGTAAGAAACTTTCCATGAAAAATATTTTGTGGCTTTTTCTAAAAAATACATATATATTTTAAAGGGAGGGTGAGTAGGAGAAGATCTTCCACCATTGGTTCACTCCCCCAGATGATTGTGACAGCCAGGACAAGGCCAGGCAACAGTGAGAGCCAGGTGGGCATCAGGGGCCAGTGAGCCATCACCAGCTGTCTGCCAGGTGGGTGTGTGACTCTCTCTTTGAATCTCAGATGCTTCGAATTAGGGCACACATCCTGACGATGCAATAGTTTACTTAGGAGAAAAAAAATTGAGCTGCTGTTCTAGCCTTTGCTAACATAGGGACCAGCTTCAAACGCCTTGTAAAGCAGATGTGAAATACTTTATTACCAATTCTAACTGAAATGGAGGTCTACTATTTATTCAAATACATATCATTCATTGACAATAATGGATTTCCAGGAAATTTTTGTTAATTTCTTTTCGCTTCAATCTAGACAGCTATGACCAGAGAAAGATCTTATGTATTGTCTTATTATTATTGATATTTTAAATGTTCTACTGATTATTCCTATGTGTAAAATCTCTTTTCCTTTTACTTCACTTTTATGTTCCCTTTGCCCCCCTACCTCTTTTTCTGCCTCTTTATTTAAAATGGTTAAACCATTCTAACTACTGATTTTCAGAAGCATGTTCTGTATTTACTGTAATAAACAAATAATTGTGTCAGGATTGAATTTACTTTATTCCTTTTTTGATGAGCTTTGATTTTGTATTTACAGAACAAAAGTATTAGGACCACACATTCAGTTAAATGGATCCAAGTAGCAAGTCAATAACAGGAATATGACATGTTCTAGGGGTCAGCATTGCGGTTCAGCTTGCATTCCATATGGGAGTTGGTTGGTGTCCCAGCTGCTCCACTTTCAATCCAGCTCCCTGCTAATGGGCCTTGAAAGCCATCAGAAGATGCCCCCCAGGTACTTGGGTCCATCTCGTCTATATGGGTGAGATGGAATTCCAGACTGAATTCTGGGTTTCTGGATGTTATAACCACTTAGGAAGTGAAACAGTGGATGGAAGATGTCCCTTTTTCTATCTCCCTCTCTCTCCAACTTTGCCTTTCAAATAAATAAATAAATATTTAATATATGGTTTAACAGAGCATGCTAAAGTGGTTGAAAACAAGAGGGGGGTGGGGAAGGCCAGCAGATTTCGGCCTGGCCCACAGCGCTGGCTTTTACAGGCCTTTGGAGGTGGGAGAGAGTGGGGAGAGTCTTTGTTGTTGATCTCTTCCTCCCTCTGTCTCAAACAATTTCTTTAATAAAAAATTATGACTTTACCATTGTATACCTGTCCAGCTTTGCAGTGGCTTGGCTTTCTTCTTGGCCATGGTGATTTTAAATGAAAACTATTTGAAAGATTCTGGGTTGGAAAGGGCACAAACTGGCATTTTGGGGGCAAATATTTTATGCTAGATACTTCACAGATACATACTTTCATTCAGTTCTCACAGCAACCTTGTAAGACAGCTATTATTCCCTTTAAAAAGAAAGAATCCATTTTCTGACAGTATAGGTTATCTCTTAAATTTTACCATCGCATTAATTCCAGGCATTTACTTTTATCTTCCCTGCAGTAGAGCTGTTTTGGTAGTTATGTACCAGAAAATCTTCCTTCATTCAATGAATATTACTGTAATAACTTTTCACAAATAAATGTAAAATGTACTTAGATATAAATGTAAATGTACAATAAGTACTTACAAGCTGCCAACCTTCCATTTAAAATTATATGCTTTCTCTAGTCCTTCTTAAAGACTTAGGAACTACCAGTGTGTCTTGGCTTGGTTTTCACAATTCCTGTTTATTACACAGAGGTACACACACACACACACACACACACACACACACACACACACAGACATTATTTCCATCATTGATCTAATTCGACTCTTGGTCTGTTGAGAGTAGGAAGTTCGCCTGATGACCAATACACGTTGAATGTTCTGAAATATGAAATGGCTCCTCCAGCTGCTAATTAAAAGTAGTGCCAAACTTGGGGCCCTGTCTCAGAATTAGAAAAAATGGAATTCTCTTTTGCCTAATTTGACTCAATGAGATATTCAAACATCTTCCTTCATAGTTATCCTCGAATTCTACGTGGGGGAACCAAGGCTGAACAAATCTATGTCCTCCTTACTTTCTCTTGGAAGGAGAGTTTGGTCTGTACCTACTCTGCTGAAGCAAATACAATCATATATTCTTTCTCATCCACCCTTTCTCTGGGATTTCTGCTTTCTCATTTCACTCTAGTTTCTCTGGAGCTTGTAAGAGTCTAGATAAATCGTTCTTCAAAGATACCAACTCATTTACAACAAACACTGCAGATGTCTGATCCCTGCTGTTCTGTGACACTTTTCCTCCATACTTTCCCCCAAGTTCTTTAGGATTGGAACAGCAAGGGAATCAAAGTATGTCTCAGCTCAAGGACATAGGGTGTGGAGAGCCTCATCCAGCATCATTTTAGATTCCTCAGGAAATGTTTAAGGGGAAGATTCAGGATCCTTGTCCGATTCCTCTAGTTTTTGCCAGAAAGTTTGTTGTTTGTTGTTGGAGAAAAAACCGGTTCCACGAGCATCCAGTCATTCATGAATGTTTCCAGCGGGAAGGAAGCTTCAAAGGACACTGTAGTTGTAGGAGAGGCTGTCTACACTGATGCCAGCCACGGTAGCGTACAGATCAGGCACCACCAACTCTGGCACCTGCAACACCGCCTTGTCATCTGCAGTCCTAATGGCAGCATCTAGGCGCAAGCGTAGTTCCCTGGGTAAAGGGCGGCTGTCCTCGCTCCAGTGCCAGCAGGACTTCATAATACTATACCTGAGAAGCAAGCAAGAGACATTTGACAAGGAATGTGTGTGATGAACATGATTTCTTTCCCCATAAACCCTAACAATAATAGCACCTCCCTGCATTTCTAGATCTGGTTTTCTCTTGCGCTTTACATTGTGAGGTAAAGTGCAAGAAGTTTTCTACCATATTGTTTATAGTTTCCAAAATATACAGTGTACACTAAAGTTAACAGTGCTAGGACAATAGCTACTTATCTATCTACATATTTTAGTCTATAACATGGCATGGAGCTTTTAACCATTTACTATGTTTAGCTCCATATTTTATGTCAATTTTCATGTTGCTTCAGAGATACTAAAACATTAAGTTATTTTTAGGTCATATACTTTGTCAAGTTTCTTTTCTAGTATGATTTAAAAATTAAGTATGCGTTTCAGAAATAGAGAGCTAGACGGGAGCATACAGAGAGAGAACTTTCCTGTCACTGGTCTACCGCCCAAATGCCCAAAAAGCTCTGGTGGAGCTTGACTGAAGCAAAGAACCAGGGACTCCATCCAGGTCCTCCCCAGCAGACACACAGTTAACCAAGCCACCATCACTGCATCCCAGTTTGCATTAGTGGTGAGCTGGAATCAGTAACCAGAATGAAATCTAGACAAACTAGTAACAGGATGCTGGCATCCCAATCAACATCTTAGCTTCTAGGATAAGCTCATACCCCAAGAACAAACTTTAGTACTGAGAAAGCATGCAAGAAATAGTTTTTCAGCCAGTGTCATTACACACTGTGTGTGTGTGTACAGTTAAGACACACTAACAGTTTATTATAAGGAAAACCTGGCAAAATACCAGCAGTTGTCAAATAAATGTCAATTAGCGTATTTGCTGTTTTCTTATGAACAGTTGTAGCTTTCATTATGTTCTCTAATAGCCCTGTTCAGACTCTTGGTAATAAAACACTGCAGGTAATTTTAACATTGTCTGCTTCCACTTTGGTTGAGTAACTGTCTCTTTAGGCTGACAATGTTGGGATCCTCCTTGTCTTGCTTTCTGATTTCTTTCTACTTTCCTTTTCTTGATAGACTTCTATCTGTGAAACGCTGGGAAAACAGTCACTGATTTCAAAAAGTTAAATATTAAATAAGAGCCATTAGAGCCAGAATGAGTAATTGGAATGTAATGAGTCTTATCATAGCTATCTGAACTGAGGCCGGCAGCATACTGTTCAAACAAACAAATAAAGCACTTTTATTCCTGTATTGAGTTCGATCTACATCCTACTTATTTTAGAAGCTACCTGTAGAACTAAATCACATCAAAATTAGATTCTTAGTATGCTTCTAAGTGATTTCTTAACACTGGAAGATAATGTATATATGAATGAATGTATGTATGACAGTACTTTTTAAAGGTTGGTGAAAAACATGGAGTTACAATCCAAGTTTAGAGGTTGGCATTGCGGTTTAACAGGTAAAACTATCGCTTGTGAAGACAGCATTCTGAATGATGCTGTATGATGCTGTATAACAATTCTATTCCTGGCTGTTCCACTTCTGATCCAGCTCTCTGCTAATGACCTGGCAAAGGAGTGACGGATGGCCCAAGCAATTGGACCATGTACCCCATGAGTGAGACCTGGAAGAAGCTCCAAGCTCCTGGCTCCTGGCTCCTGGCTCTGTTGCAGCCATCAGGGGAGTGAACCAAAGAATAAGAGATCTCTCTTCCCTTCTACGTGTCTGTAACTCCTTCTTCCAAATAAATAAATCATTTAAAAAGAGAGAAGTTTATTTTGTTTAAAAAAATGAAACCCACTTTTAAAAGTTCATATATTGAAAAACCTATACATGAATTTAAAAAATATTAATCCCTAAAGTAAATTACCCATTAATTCCATTTTTTCAAAACCTTTTTCAGATATCTTCTCAAGTGTGTAAGATGTGTACACATATATGATGTATCAATATAAGAGTTTCATTGTACAGTTTAGCCTAAGGCTACACATTAGCACTTAAAGGCAGTTGAGGATCATCAAAACCACGTTGGAAGGGTGTCATCCATAGGGAGAAAAAATACTTGGATTGTTGGAGGAGATCTTTAAAACGCACGTACATAGTGTGTTTGCAGCTACTGGGTCGCTTCATGATTTTCCTCCTCTGAAGATACTGCAGGATGCTGGTAGGAGGGACTTCAGGATATGGTGGTGCTCCTGGCAGTCCAGAAATAAGCACAAAAGCAAAAAAAAAAAAATTAGAATCCTCTCAAGTATTAATAACTAACATTTCTGTCCATCCCCTTGGGGTAATCACCTGAGGAAGATACAAGAAAAAAACCTAGATCCCATATAGTTGTTCCCCAGTGATCAAGCAAAGATATTGCTTAGAGAAGTAGGGGAAAGATCATTTGGAGGAAAAACAAGGAGAAATTTTGAGTCTTTAGAAAAGTGATAAAATCATACACCCATTCCCCATAACAGGAGAGGGTGGAACAGTTTCTCAACAAAATGCATGAGTAGCAAGCCTGAAAAAAACACTTTTTGTTCATACAAGATCACTTGGAGAATTATTTTTTGGATTTGAAAATATCCGTTGACATTAGAGAGCAAGAGAGAAGAAGGGGGAGCAAGAAGGAAGGAACAAGAGAGGGAGATAAGCAGGGAAGGAGAGAGGGAGGGTAGGAGAGAGAGAGGGAGGAACAGATAGAGAAGAAGAAAAAACAGAAGGAATAAAAAAGAAAAGGAAAGAAGGAAGAAAAAAAGGTAGGACAGTTAATAGAAGGGACAAGGAGCAAGGAGGGGTCATCACTCTTTACAACACTCTCAGGAATCAGTCTTGGGTTTCAAGCCAGACCAGCTCAAACTTCAAAACTTAACAAAAAATCGCCTGTTCAACCATACTTCATGCAGCACCCTCTCAATAAACATTCTTGCACATCTGCACCCTTACCTAGAGTCACCATCTCGTAGAGCAGGATCCCAAAGGACCAGCTGTAAGAGAAGCAAACCAATCACTTATGTCTGTTTGCCTTCCTGAACGGGTATGCAGTTAGCTAACAGGATCTTTTGGGAAGGACCCCATCAAGAATGCAATGATAGATGATCTGGGGTATCTGATAAACTAAGCAAAGCAATAAGATAGTATCTTTAGAAGGCATTTTTGTAACCCCCTTAGACTCTAATCTCTTTGAGGACTGTATCAGTGCCTCTCTTGTATTTCACATGAATAGTCACAATAATAGACATTTGCTATTCATCACCAACACATAAATTCATCTCTGTGCAATCACACAAACACAATAACCTTAACATAAAAAGTCCTGGGTCTTTTTCATTGTTTCTGCCCCCCTTCACTGAAGTGCCAGCCTTTACTCTTAGCACAAAGGCAATTTGTCCACTATTTGCTCAGGATAGCTAGCTTCAACCCCCCCAAAAAACAAGCTTTAAATGTAGCTGGGAGAGGTATTTACCTAACCAACATGATCTGAGAGATGTATATCACTATTTTACATCATTGAGTAGCATTGTATTATTACCAATACCTCCAGATCTTTATGGCAAAGAAGATGTCAGTGAGGTAGCAACAGAAGTCTTTTTTAAAATATATTATTATTTGAAAGGAAGAAATACAGAGAGAAGAGACAGAGCTCTTCCATCCACTTGTTCACTCTCCAAAAACTGAGCTGGTCCAAAGCCAGGAGCCAGGAGTCTCTTCCCTGCTTCTCATGTGGGTACAAAGGCTCAGAGCCTGGATCCATCCTCCTATGCTTTCCTAAGCAATAAACAGAGCTCTGCGGCACAAATTGGAGCCCATATGGGATGCCAGCACTTGTAGGTGTAGGGTTAGCCTACTATGCTTCCATGTTGGCCTGAACAATAGCCTTTGACTCTCTGTATTAACTGATACGCTAGATTTCCTCTGCTTCTCACAGCATTCATAGCTAAGAGGATAGTTGACATGACATCTACATGCTTCTCCAAGCAGGACACTAGCTCACGAAGGCAAGAAACTGAAAGGCAGTAACAAACCATACATATCTCCCCTGATGCTAGCAGGTCTCTGGAGAAGCCGCTCTGGGGCGAGCCACTTGAGAGGCACCATCCTCACAGAGGAGATGGCTCCCTGTGTGTGCTGTTCGTAAGCCAGGCCCAGGCCACACAGTTTAGGTGTCAGGTCGCTTTGGATCAAGATGTTCCTGGCTGCCACATCCCCATGGAACAGGTGCTTATCCTGCAGGAATTCCTGTGGACAGAGCACATGACCATGAGGCGCTGTCTGAGGTCAGACAAGAAAAGACAGGGCTAGGGAGCCCCGGGAAGGCAAGGGCATTTTTACTGTGCACAAGACTTATTCAGAATGACAAATCACTTCCAAACCATGCTGGTGAGTCAGACATTTTTGTCAAGTTTTTAGGCTCACCGAGCTGAGCGCATCATCCAAAGGACATTAATTCTGGATTTTGAAAGTGCATTCACCCGTGTCGTGTCAATCCTTGACACCCTACTCTTCTATACTTTCCTGTCTGGTCAGATCCTGATAGAAATTGAGAAAGAGACTAGGTTCTAAGTTGTTGGCAGTAATTACAAAATGAAAAGAAAAGATACATGTGAACGGAAGTAGAATCTCCTAACAATATACAGTTTTATACGATCTCAGTTTTTACTTAAAATGAGTGGATGAAACGAGTTAGGAAAGTATCTTTTATTTTTTTCGTAATCCATTTTAAGAGAAAGAGTTTTCTTTCCAAATATCCACAGCCAAGCCAGCCAAAACCAGGAGCCAAGGACTCCATCTGCATCACCCATAAGAGAGGCAGGAACCCCAGCAATTGGGCCATTGCCTGCTGATCTCACTGTTGCCCATTATCATTCCTCCTGTCCCACTTGTTCTTTTCAGTAGGTAGAGTCTCTATCACAGTCAACAGCAAAGCAAGAATCCAATCAAATGTGTTGCAAACCAGCTTTTCCTGTTTTCCAGGTGTAAAATTGCTCCTTTTTTTTCTGCTTCAGTAGGCTTCCCCTGTCTCCTTCCAACTTGGCCTCTCCATTTGCCCCTTCTATAGCTGGTATTTTATATATATTTCTATTACTGGCATTATTCATATATATGAACACACTATATATATATATATATATATATATAAAATTTATATATGAGCATCATATTAGTAAGCACACAAGTTTTGGCTCTAACTTTTGACTTTTAAGACTGAAATTCCTGTGAATATTCCCCTTGTATCTCCCATAAACCCAAACCTGACTACTTTTCCCTAAAATTATCAATCCTGTATGTTATTTAAATGATCTTATAAAGAAAGGATTAAAGATTACTCATATGTGTTTGATATTTTTTGGCTCCCTAACAATTTCGGGTAAAATGGTGGGAGGCAACAATGGGGAGGTAAGAAGAGGGGGAGGTGGGAGAAACCCCTAAATCTACAAAATGTATCACAGAAAAATTTAAGAATCCCATTTGGAAATATAAATGTGGGAAATATGTCATCAAATATTAGGCCATAAAGAAGCAACCCCAGACACTGCTGTCATTTTATGCTGTCTTACCAGAGCCAAGAGGACCTGCCTTCCGATGTGGTAGACCTGTTTTTCTGTGAGATCATAAAGAAGACCATCCATGGTCATCACATCCTAGAAAGAGAGAACCATTACATCAAACCAGCATGAACAGATTAGAAATAAAACAAGGCAGAGGTACTCTCAAATGCACATATCAAAGATAAGGAAAATATATAGAAGTTTAGGGACTGAGATTCAGAGAGAGACTTCCATGAGAAGTTTTGAGGTGTACATAGACATGTAATGACTCATGGGCCCCCCAAACCAGTGAAGAATGTAGACACGTAGCAACTAAGACATGTTTCTTCAAATGTAACTGGACACTGAATGAAGGTGCCACTTTCTCACAGATGTAGGTGTCCCTGACAGATGGACAGACAGACAAATTAAGTTCCCACTGCAACCCAGCATCTCTTTATTAAAGAGCTCATGTTAGGACTGGGGACTACATGAGTGAGCAAAGCAAGCATTAGCAGAAGTCTCTGAAACTTACTCTGTGGCAGATAGCTGTGAGCCAGAGCCAAAATACCCATGAACAAAGAGATGGTTACATCTATCTCTTTTATGCATGATGGAATTAAAAGATGCGTGTATTTTGATGTAAAAACTTTGAAATCCACATTATATTATGGTATCTCTGCACTTTATCATTTCTCATGTTCGGTGGCAAGCAAACAGCTAACAAGTCAGGTACAGCATTTCACATTTAACATCTCTACTCCCTTGCTTACCCGGCGGCAGATCCAAAGAAAGCTGAGCAGGTCTCCCTGCGTTACATCCTCCAACACCATGTACAGCGGCAGCTTCTCAGTGCAACAGCCTTCCAATTGGACCAGATTCTTATGTTTCCCCAGGTACTGATAGAACTGGATTTGTCCTAAGAAATCCTGCACCTCCTGGAGTCCAGCTGGTTCTACAAGGGAGAAAAGAGCCAGAACAGGGACCAGTGGTGAGAGCACGGAACACAAGTATCTTCAGGTGGAAACCTGCCAAGGTTTCAGAGGGAAAGTAGTGTAGACAACATGTAAGTTGAATGAGGACCAGTGAGAAGCAGATCATGTTTATTGTCACTAATCTTTCTAAAAGGGCACATAGAATCATAAACCTTAGAACTTAGATAGGCTGTAAGCTGCCTAGAGTCATAGACAAACATCCTTTTCACACTGAACTATCACAGTCTTCACCTTGCAAACCAGAGATCCCTTGTGGGTACCAGTTCGTGTTCTGGCTGCTCCACTTTCTATCCAGCTCCCTGCTTAAGACCTGTAAAAGCAATAGAGGATGACCCAAAGTTTTGGGACCCTGCACCCATTGGGAAACCTGGAAGAAGCTCCTGGCTTCAAATTGGCTCAGTACCAGCCACTGTGGCTGTCTGGGAAATGAACCAGAGGATGGAAGATCTTTCTCTCTGTTTCTCCTTCTCTGTGTAAATCTGCCTTTCCAATAAACATAAATAAGTCTTTACAAAAAATGTTGCAGGCTTAATATTACTGATCTGTACCATGAATATCAGCAAGATAGAGAGAGAGAGAGAGAGATACCAGGAGAGAGAGAGAGAGAGAGAGAGAGAGAGAGAGATACCAGGGAAAAGAATTAGATAGTGAAGACAACAGCCTCAGGCGTAATCCAAGTAAGATCTATTATGGAAAAAAAAACAGTTCTAAAGCAGTCTCAAAAGGCAAAGATGAGTGAGAAAACTCAAGAATCAAAAAAGAACATTTCTGTCTAAACTTCCATACTCTATTCCTTTATGTACACTGATGTGACCCTAAATATCTATTGGATTACCATCTTGTGTTTGCAAAGCCTATTAACATTTACTGAGGAGGGTGCACAGAAGAAAAGCAAACAGAACAAAAGCCTACCACTTCTCTCATTTACCTTTTAAAGTCTTGAGGACAACACTCTTGGATTTACCAGAGTCACCAGTGTTCCTCTTGGCTCGATAGATGGGCCCACAGGTGCCGTTGTAAATTAGCTGCAAAATTTCTGAGAGTTGCTCCCGGGGCACCTGCAGCTTCGCCAGGACAGGTGCTCTGGTGCGTAGAAAGTTTTCCACTGAGGTTTCGTTAAGAGGCACAAGCATATTTCCTCCATGTCCAGTTTCTTCCCAGTTTAGGCCCCTGGCTAAGGGCACAGGGACAACACCTAGGTCAAAAAGATGGCATCAATCAGATTTTCCTGTGCTGGGGACTCTAGGAAAGCAGAACCTAGAACAAACTACTTCAACAAATTTCCCTCCACCCAATGTGTCTTCCAGGCCAGCTATATGAGCCAGCATCTACAACAAGCTTGCAGAAGATCAGTAATCATCCTTATTACTTCTCAAAGAACCCAAGACAGATTGCTTGCATGTTGTCATAACACTTCTTTTCTGTCTTCCTCAGCATTACCATTCAGTATAACCCACTAAAGTAGTCTGGAGACAATTAAGGAAGTTCCTAAACAGATCCTCAAACCACGGATATCTAAAAGTGGTGGCAGCTACCAGTGAGGATGACCATTTAAGTCAGCTTCCAAAGTTGGAGGAAGGGCATGGATGATCAGTCATCTGTCATTCAAACTGTCCTAGGAGTCAAATATTTCTTTGACTCCTGGTCAGGAAATTCTTCTGGCACTTTCTCCTTCCTTAGCCAGCATGAACCATCCTTGAAATGGGAAAGTGGGGTTCATTCCTATTAAATCTTCATTCATTTATTCATCTATATATTCAGCCAGATATCACCTACTCTATACCAGGTACTATATCAGGTATTGGGAATAGGTAATAATAGAAAAGAGAAGATAATATAGCAAGCAGTGAGTGATATGGAAGAAAATAAAAAGAGAAGCAGTACCAATTATGCTATTTTAGACAAAGGTGTCAAGAAAGGCATTTCTTTTAAGATGGCAGTTGAGAAAGACCTGGAAGCAATGAAGGAGTAATCATGCAATGTCAGGAAGAGCATGGAAGGCAAAGAGAGGGAAGAGCACCACAGTATTGAGGAAAGGGAATACTATTGGTGAGCTTGAAGCATGAACCTAGCAGTACTGATTTACAATGTAAGAGAAACAATTCTAGTATTAGTCAAAAAGTGTAGAGGCAAAAGCAGAAGTGTGTAGGAATCTGTTACAATGATCTGTGAGAAGTAAGAGCCACTAAATCAGAAGATGGCATGAAGAGGATTTGCTTAGGGACTGGATACGGACTGTGAGACAAAGAGCAGAGTCAAGGAGAGCTTCAAGATTTTAGATTGAAAATATAGGAGATTAGATGTGTCCTTTACTGAGGTTTGAAAGACTCTTTGGAGGGGTCATTCATAACAGAATTTCAGAACCTCGGTTTCAGAACTAACACATGTAAAACATATAATATCGAAGCATATAGTTTATGATATACATTTTATATCCAAATTGCAAAGTGGATAGTTTTATATAAGAATCTAGAGTTCAAGGGAGCATATCAGAATAAGAAACGTATTTTCATTCATAAACTTAAAATTATATCATTTAGGAAGTGATTTTACATTTTTAAAAACATATTTTGGGTCCGGCATGTTAGCCTAGTGGCTAATGTCCTCGCCTTGGGTGCCAGTTCTAATCCAGGCAGCCCCACTTCCCAACCAGCACCCTGCTTGTGGCCTGGGAAAGCAGTAGAAGATGGCCCAAAGCCTTGGGATCCTGTGCCTGAGTGGGAAACCCAGAAGAAATTGCTGGCTCCTGGCTTCAAACTGGCTTAGCTCCAGCCACTGCAGCTACTTGTAGAATGAATCAGTGGATGGAAGATCTTCCTGTCTGCTTCTCCTCCTCTCTGTGTATCTGACTTTCCATAAAAATTAAGTAAATATTTCTAAATTATATTTCAAGAAAGAGGAAGTATAAAACTGTCTCAAGTGATTTGACAGGTCCAGTAAGATGAAGACTGAGGATCAGCGTTGAACTTGTCATTCGGGTTCTGTTGTGAGCAAACAGCTGCTTTGGTGGATGAGGACGAATAAGCTTTATTGTCATGGGCTCATGGAGTTTAGACAACTTCCTTGAGAACTTTTCCATAAAAGTAAAGTATAAGGTAATTTAAAAAAAAACGTGCACAAGCCTCAGGGTCAGCCATTATCAAGCTCCATGTCATTATAAGGATTTATTTTGTTTCTTGGGTGAATTGATTCATTCATTATTTGTTTTATAATGCTGCAAACCGATCTGTTATTATCCCCTACCTGTCACCCTCTACTTTGAAGACTCATTTGTAATGCTCCTTTTCATCACCTTCTTGGGAGGCAAAAATTAGGGATGAAATGTATCAAGAGATAACGCCAGTCTTTGATAAGAGACCTGGTCTTACTTGTCAATCTTTAGACACTCAGGTAGTCACAGACTGGAGATTCCAATAGGACAAAGAGGACAGAACAGGTCACATGATGTCTCCTTTACTATCCTGTGTTCAGTCAACAAGTTTGTGGTGCATTTCTAATTCATGACTTCCCACTCAACACCACAGGAGGAAACCCATGCTTCTCTCACTGAAAGTAGGGAAACTAAAAGGTGCTTTTCCTCTGCCCCATCTTTTACTTATCTCTTCCCCAAAGCTGAGCTTCACCTTGAAGTCCAGGGCGCTGCTGCTGAGCTCTTTGTCCTCTGATGAAAAGCCACAGGATGACCGCAAGAAGGACTAGGAAGGCACCAACAAAGAAGGCTGGGATGACAATCACTTCATACTGCCCTTCTTGGACAACTGGGTGAGCAATCAAGCAGCAAGAGAAGACAATGAACAAGTCTGACCTGATGGCCACACAATTTCCCCACACACATCTTGTAAGAAAGGGTCATCCCCTCTACCTTTTGTGCTACCACTCAACAGAAGCACTACTTAAACACGAACCAAAAGTCCCACACTGTGTATTCTCTGTCATTTTCCCTACAGAGACAGAGATTGTGACATCTGGATCTGCGATTGGCACAATGACACAAGGACAATAGCTTTCCATCTCCAATCACCCCTCTCTTTATTTCCACAAGCAGTTAAGTCATCCCAACAGAAACTAGTCACATGCCAGTCCCTACAGCCCCAAGGTCAGGTGATGGGACATCTGTGGTGTCTCACTTACTGCACAATTTGTCACTGAAACTACACTCCAGTAGCATCCGTGTCATGCCCCTCCTGACTCCCATTGCCAGAGCGAGACACGTCCCTGCTGGGCCACCGTTCTGCTAGGTCCACAGAGAAGGCACAGGAGTCAACTCTGGGCAATCGCCTAGAGCTGAGTGGTTCTGGAAAAGAAAAAATCAAATGGAGCACAAATTTTAAAAGCTTTGTATGAATTTTATTATAAAGTCAGATATACAGAGAGGAGGAGAGACAGAGAGGAAGATCTTCCATCTGTTGATTCACATCCCAAGTGGCTGCAATGGCCGGAATTGAGCCGATCTGAAGCCAGGAGCCAGGAGCCTCTTTCAGGTATTCCATGTGGGTGCAGGGTTCCAAGGTTTTGGACCATCCTCCACTGCTTTCCCAGGCCATAAGCAGGAAGCTGGATGGGAAGTGGGGCTGCCGGGATTAGAACTAGTGCCCATATGGGATCCTGGCACATGCAAGGTGAGGACACTAGCCACCAGGCTGCTGCTTTGGGTCCTAAATGGCTTTTTAGAGCACAAATTCCTCCGTACATGGCCACTTCTCTGTATCACCCACTTTGTTCTGTCCACCTGCTTGACGTTCCTGTCTTTCTCCCTAGCATTTTTCTGCTCTTGTCTGGTTTTGTTCTTTCACTCCTTTGATACTGATATTACTTTTGATACTCCCCTCTCATTCACAACATCGATTCTCATGCTCAAGCATAGATGGACCTGTCTGAAGAGCTGTGGTCCATGAGTTACACGGATGAGATCTACCTGCCCTATCTTCTTTATACATATGTAATTTTCCTCACTGATGGAGCACATTTTTTAAGAACACACAATTTCATTTTTTGCAAAGTTAATTCAGATGTGAATAAGTAATTAGTTTATGGCAAGACAGTTATACAGTTGCTTTCTGTATCTGGACTAGCTGAACCCTCACAGCCAATGAACAGACAGCATGTATTAGTAAAACCTGTTTGATTGTTCAGTTCTCTGAGCATCAAGCTCTCTGCCACTCATACAAGATATAGACACTGATGCTGTCTTTAGCAAGAAAAAAATTTAAAGGAAGCAGCAGGACCAAGCTAGCTTGTTTTTAGAAATTGTTGAATTATGTATTTGTTTTCACTTTGTAGGAAAGCTAGGAAGAAAGACACAAAGACAGATAGTCCACTTATTGGTTCACTCTTCCCAAATACCTATAATACCTGGAGCTGGCCTGGCAAAAGTTCCCAGAACTCAAGCCAGGCTTCCCATATGGATGGCATGGACTCAGGTTCCTGGGCTATCGTCTGCTGCCTTCCAAGGTACACATTAGCAGGAAGCTGGATCAGAAGCAGAGGAAACTGAGCTGGAAACAAGGACACTGATAGGAGGCAATGCCTGCCCAAGAGGGACCTAACCCCTGCATAGGACACCAAGCAAATGCATTCATATGGGTCAAAAATAAAAGTGTGAAATAATATAGCAGAAAAATCTCTCCCGTTCCCATTGTCTTCCATTTATCTAATTTCCAATTCTCCTTAAGCGAATGACAGCTATGAAGTTCTTATTTATTTGACAAGATTCTTCATGTGTTTCACTTTAAAGTCTGTATAGATCAGCACACACGTTAAATGAGACCTTCAGAAACCTGACTCTTCAATTTTCGAAAAAAAAAATACTTATTTTTTTATTTGAAAGAGACACAGAGATAAAGATCTCCCATTTGCTGATTCAGTTCCCACATGGCCATATCAGCCAGAGCTGAGCTGGTCTGAAGCCAGGAGCTTCCTCTGGGTCTCTCACATGAGTTCATGGACCCAAGGACATGAGCCATCCTCTGCTGCTTTCCCAGTCCATAAACAGGGAGCCAGATCAGAAATGGAACATATGAGATACTCATATGGGATGTTGGTCCCACAGGTGGAGGGACCAACAGTTGCTAAACCACTGTACCAGCCCCTTTGACCCTCCTTTATAAAGTGAGCTACTGATTACCACTTTGATCTGTGTGTTGCCTATTCTGGCCCTGCTTGAAAATCCTCTCCCACAGTTGTATAGCAAAACCTGCTTATTGATTTGATTAATTTGAAACAAAATACAGTCTCAAATCATTCCAATTATGTCTCATCCCATTTGGTAGCGACTGTAGGGGCAGCATTTGCTGCAGTGGTTAAGATGTCTCTTGGGATGCTGATATCCCATATCCAAGTGTGAGGATTCAAATCAAAGGCTCCACTTAGCATTACAACCTTCTGTTCACGCATTCTGTTGGAGGCCATAGAGGATGGTTTAGGTACTTGAGTCCCTACTGTTAGGAACCAACTAGATAAAATCATTTAAAAGGAGATGTTACAGTAACACATATGTATTTTTAAACTTTGTAGCTTTATCAGAGACCAGGTTAGCATTTACCATCCATGGGGGAGTTCTCAGCTCCCAACTTTGGCCTCCTATGATGGGCATATGGTGAGTGAATTTGTAGCTAGAAGATCTCTTTCTATTCCTATTTCTCTGCTTTTCAAACAAATAAAAAATTTTAAAACTAAATATCCTATGACGTTATACTGTATCATATATGTGCTATATTAGCTCTATTATTGCTATCTTGTATTATCACATGTTGTGTTTTCTGACTGACACCAACAAGCAAGTTAATTAATGAACCTCTCAGTGTTTGATAGGCTTCTTTGTCAAGAAGCCTCCCAGTGGCGAGCTCATGACTTTTTCAGTTTTCCATAGGCTTGTCCATGGAGGTGGTAGTTGAATGATTCCTTTATAACTTCAAAGAGAAATAGATGTTAATTGATTGACAGAAGTCTCTGTTAACCAGAGGGGTAACCAGAAGGTAGAAAACTGCAGAGAACAGAAGCAAATTCTTATCTGTTTGCCCATGAACACATAGCTACAAAGCCAAGTTTTCACAATTCTATATGCACAGACTGCCCATAGCAATGGCGTATGACAGCCTGTAGAGAGTAGAGCAAAGAGTATGTTCCTCAAAATCATCCCTGAGCTTGGCTAGGTGAATCCAGAAGCTATCTGAATGCATCTTCCTGCCATTCCCACTCTTACTTTGCTTTCCTTTCCTTTCCTTTCCTTTCCAGGGCATTATCAGATGTAATTATTTCCATTCAGGGAGCAGCCAGTTAAACAAGTTTGGCCCCTGGGAGTAGGTTCTGCCAGAAAGCACGATCTCTCTACCACAGTTCAAGTGGTGGAAAAAAAGTCAATCAGCAGCCAACTCAGATGTGTGGGCTCTGCCCAGAAACTAAACTACACACCCACTAGTACGCACTGAAGGAGGTAATTTGAAAGCCTAGGTGCACGTCTGACACAGAACTGCTCACAGTGGACACACTACCTACAGGTGAATGACTAAACAGACCTATCCGCAGTGTTTCCAACCCATGTTTCTATGTCCCCTTACACCCTGACCCTCTTAGGATGCAATCTGATCTCCTATGGCGTTTTCTCACTATCATGTTTGTCCCTAAACAGTTTAATGAGGACAGGTATGTTAACACCTGGCAACGTGGAGAAATTGGAAGAGAGAGCAAGGAGATGAATATGTAGGATGATAAGCTGCACTCAGTGAAATTGCTTTCCTTGTTATGACTGCAGTCTGAATAGAGGCTAGGGAATGTGCCAAATGAGTCCGGGGTCTTTAACATACACACATCAGGTGTATCTGCATATCCATGGAAGCCTGCATGGAAAATCACACTGCAAGGAACCCACAAGAGTCAGACACCAGAAAGCTGCTTGTATCTACTTATAACAACAATACTTTCCTTCACAAGACTTTTCTCCCTGCAATTCATATTCAGTGACTCCATAGCTTGGCTTGTGTACTCTGGGTCAAGCTGAGAAAAATATGCTAGATGTCTTAAAATTTCAAGGCTGACACTATCCATAGGTTACATTCTAGGTCACTTGTCCTAATCCATATTTCTTTACAATTTGACTGATATTCTATCCCCTTTAATTATAATCTGGGCAGTTTCCCCACTGTGTCAACAATATGTGTGTTGGGGTTGGCATTGTGGTATAGTGAGTTAAGGTGCCAATTGTAATGCTGCCACCCCATATGAGCACCAGTTCAAATACCAGCTGTTCCATTCCTAATCCAGTTCACTCTGCCTGGAAAAGCAATGGAAGATGGATCAAAGGCTTGGGCCTGTGCATCCTCATGGGAGACCTGGCTGGAGTTCCAGGTTTGTAGCTTCCACCTGGCACAGGAGGCCATTGTGACCATCCGTAAAGTAAATCAGCAGGTAGGAGAGCTGTGTGTGTATGTGTGTGTGTGTGTGTGTGTGTGTGTGTGTGTGTGTCTGTCTGTCAGTCTGTCTCTTTCTCTTAACTTCTCTCTGTGTAACTCAGCCTTGTACATAAACAAGTCTTTACAAGATGTGTATGTTGGCTGCTACTCTTTCCTGGACTGTGAAAGTGCTCCCCCACAGTTTCCTCTTTACTGCCATATGTGACAAGCTCAGGGCACTGGTAACAAGGATCCAGTGAAGCTGGGAAATGTTTATTGACAAGTGCAAAATAGGCCTATGTATGCATAGCTTGCTGTTGTGCACACATATCTGTCTACTGTGACAGATCTCTTCGGGTAGGGTTCTAATTAACCATCAATGCTTCACTTGTGGTTGTCATTCCTTATTATTTTTTCTCCAGGAGAGAAATTGCTTCAGGTTTTCTCCAGGCATGGTTAAAGCTCTAGCCCCCCCTTGGACTAAGAATTCAAAGATAGAGTTAGCACGATGAGAAATGCATGCAAACAGGAAGAGAAGGAAAGTGAAAACTGGAGTGAAGTCCACCAGCTCTTTACGGAAACCCTAGAAATAAACGATTATGACTATAACTGAATTAAACATTAACTATCCAAACCTTTATACATACTCACAAGCATGTGCAAGCATAATGCCACATCGCATTTCTGCAGTTACTTTAAATTCACACAAAGTTTGATTTGTAGCCATAACAACTCTTATCAGTGACATTTCTGTTCAGTCAGCATGGTACTTTCTCTTCAGAAACCAGAAATTTACTCATGAGGGTCC